AAATCTTTGTAATTTGCCTACTCCTCCCCCAACCCTTCAAATCCTTTTGGAAAATTAGCGGACTAATCCCCCAACCCTTTCAAATCCTTTTGGATAATTGGTAGACCACGCCCCCAACCCTTTCAAATCCTTTAGGAAAATTTGCGGACCCCTCCTCATCCTTTAAGAATGTGCGGTAAACGGGGGAACAAAGTGGGGTGGATAACTACTCCTTTAGGAACTAACTAGTTTAAGGGAACATGAAGTTTATACAAAGGTATAATTAACAATCAAGATACGACTAAAAATTTCTTCAAGGCGTTTCACAAAAAAGTCCAGCTACAGAGGAGTCTTTTGATGATTAAAAGCTTTTAATGGATTAGAAAATGAATATACACTTTTGAACTGCCTAGTTAATGCGTACAGTACGAACGTATACTACAGGATATCGATATTTAAGGTGTCTTTCTTCTAAAATAGGTACCTTTCTTCTAATTTTTATCAAGAATCTATCTTCTAACTCATTAACAGAAAAATATTTATACTGACTTATTTTTTAATTTGAATATTTTGAGCTAAAAGATTTGCGCCTACTTGGGCCGTGCGCCTACTTGGCCTTGCGCCTACTTGGCCTGCGCCTACTCGGTCGCGCCTACTCGGTCGCGCCTACTTGGCCCGCGCCTACTCGGGCGTGTCCCAAGGTCGATTCAGTGATAGTTTGCACGGTTCGGTACTACGCGATACTCTCGAAATAACGAATCGGTATTTTCCGCTACTTTTAGTATTGGTGCCGCAAGAATCCAATTGCCGAACACTATTTAGAACATAACATTCATGATTTTCGTCTGATTCGAATAATTCTCAATCAAGAGACAGGATTTATATTAACAAGGCACAATAACGACCATGGCTATGAACTGGCCTTGTTAGAACAGAGTCTGACGGGTACAGCCCGATTAGGCGCGGGCCAATTAGGCGCGACCGATTAGGCGCGACCGATTAGGCGCCGGCCGATTAGGCGCGCGGCCAATTAGGCGCCGGCCGATTAGGCGCCAAGCTTTTAAATTAAATAGTCTAATTATAGTCAATTAGAATGGTCCCATTGACCATCAAATGGAACCATTATGAATTATAAAACAAAAATTTTCCAAAATTAAAAAAACCGGCCTAACTACAGTTTCCGTACCAGACAAAATTGGACAATTTATATGTCATTCGAAAGAGCTCGACGAGCTGAGTTGAATGACACCAAAATCAACTCGATTGAATGATTATAAACAAGGTTATGACCAACTGAATCTTCGCTGAAAAAACTGTTTTTGTGCTGCTACGGAGGGTAGGCCGGGCATGGTCTTCGCTACACGATGGCCGTGCTTCGCTGCGGTCGTGCTCGCTTCGCTCGCGGCGACCGTAGCGAAGCGGCGGCCGTCGTTCCGCTCGACATGCCCGGCTTCCTCCGCAGCGGCAAAAACTTTTTTCCGCGGAGGCCTTATGGAAGGGGGTGTTAATTAAAAGCTTGGCGCCTAATCGGCCGGCGCCTAATTGGCCGCGCGCCTAATCGGCCGGCGCCTAATCGGTCGCGCCTAATCGGTTGCGCCTAATTGGCCCGCGCCTAATCGGGCGTGTCCCGAGTCTGACTATTGTACAAGAAAGGCAGAAATGACCAGTGATAGATTTGATAAAAATGGGAAGATATCCTCACATTTAAAGCTTTCGAAAGATAAAAGATTTATTCGAATTGGTTGAAAGGCTAAAACATTGTCTGAAATATGGCCCAGGGACCCAACTTGCGGGACTCAAGACTCAAGATTGCGGGACTCAAGATTTCCGAACTTACCAGATTTTGTAACGCTTCCTCTCATCGAGCTAATGAGACTGGTACCAAAATTGATAAGGGTCAGAAATTTTCAAGCAAGTTATGGCTTTTATGGCCGCGCACTCTTGGCTGTACCCATAAATATTCTTATTTTTCTCGAAAAATACTTTTTCACGTTTCATTATTTCAGCTCTTTAGTAGATAATTTTTTAATAAATTTAGTTGAAAATGGGACGTCGTCCAGCTCGCTGCTATCGTTATATTAAAAATAAGCCTTATCCAAAATCACGCTTTTGTCGAGGTGTTCCAGATCCGAAAATTCGTATTTTTGATCTTGGACGAAAACGGGCAACTGTTGATGAATTTCCGTGTTGTGTTCACATGATTTCTAATGAAAGAGAACATCTTTCTTCTGAGGTTTTTTTTTCTTATTTGTGAGTTAATTTTAGTTATTTTTTTAGGCGTTAGAAGCTGCTCGTATTTGTGCCAACAAATATATGGTTAAAAACTGCGGAAAAGATGGTTTTCATATGCGTGTTCGTATTCACCCGTTAGTTTTTAATGTTTTTATGTCCTTTTATTTATTATATGTTTTATTGATTCTGTACATGGTTATAGTAATGAGTAAAAGTTTTAGTATATCTGCAACGGTTTTTAGTATCCCACTAATCAAACAACTCTCTAACTTTTATAAAATAGTTTTTTTTGCAAATGAAAAGTCTTGGACATAAATTAACCGTTTACTAAACAGCAATCTTTGTTTGAGTTTGTTTCGGCTTTGTTTAATCAAAACCTCAAGCAGAAATTATTTTCCTTTTAAGATTCCACGTGATTCGCATTAACAAGATGTTATCATGTGCTGGCGCTGATCGACTTCAAACTGGAATGCGAGGAGCTTTTGGAAAGCCTCAAGGACTTGTTGCGCGTGTTGGTATTGGCACTGTTTTGATGTCTGTACGTGTTCGTGATCAGGTTTGATTAAACTTTATTTTCTTGTGACTATTTATTTTTAAGCATCAAGCTCATGCTTTGGAAGCATTCCGACGTGCAAAGTTTAAATTCCCTGGACGTCAATACATTGTTGTTTCTCGAAAATGGGGATTTACTCAATTTGATCGGGAAGTTTATGAAAATTATCGTAAAGAAGGACGTGTTGTGCCTGATGGAGTTCATTGTAAGCTAATTAGAGAGCATGGTCCTTTGACTCATTGGATTAAGAATCCGATATAAGATTTTATTTTGATTGATGAATTGTTGAAGGATATTTTGTTGAGATAAATTTGTTGAATAAAAATTTGGATATTTTCTTGTTTATTTCGTTAATTGATCGATATTTTTATATTTTCTTTGTTTCGAATTTGTAATCATTTTATTGTTTTCTTTTTTATATATGGATTTTTCTGATCTCTTGTCGCGTCAAATGGAGAAGCTGAATATGGCTGATGCTGAACGTAATGAACGCAGAGAGGCTGCAGAGAAATTTCGTATGGTGATTGGGACATTGCTGGATAAGGATGAGGGTTATGCTTATATGAAGGTTTTTTAAATATTTCTCTAATTTCTCTCAAAAATTTATTTTTCAGCGAAAGCAGACAAAGCCAAAGGAATTAATTCCATTTCGTATTGTCTATACTCGTGAGTTCATTCTGCGTTGTTCTTCTTCGCCATATTCAACACTTCCACCAAAGAATATGCCTGGAATTGTTATGGAAATGCCTGATATCGCTGCTAAATTTCCCCGTAGATTCCTTCGTGCTGGTTGAGAGAAGAAAGAAAAAGTAATAACAAAAAAAAAGGAAGAAAGGTTATATATTAATAAAAAAAGAAAATGGGTATAAAAAAGAAAAGGATCTCTCTCTTTCTTTTAAATATATTAATTTTGTTTTATTTGATTATTTATTTAAAACTTGAATATCTCCTCTAATTATTTATTTTACTTGGCTTTAAAAAACACATATTGTCTGAATAAATTGTTTAAATATATTTTGAGGGTGTAATGAAGTTATTAAATGATTTTAAACAAAATATTTTTAAGATATAAAAGTGGTTCTTTTTTTCTAAAAAAACTTTTTAGATTAAAATAATTTAAATGTTTTCATCTTTTCGATTGACTTTTAATTTATTTAAAAATGTGAAAGAATTTCCTTTTATTCAAAAAGACTTTGGATCAATCAGAACAATTCATTCAACTTGTAACCTTAATTGGGACGGATTGTTGGATGTTTGTTTTTAAATTTAAAAATTAATAATTTTTGGGTAATTTTGATGAGGTTTATTTCCTAAGCTAGAGATCATCGAAATTTGAATTCATTTTCCCCCTTTAATCCCTCAGACACACTTATTAAACTTGTAACGAAAAAATATAATTTGAGTTGATCAAAAAGTTGAGGTCTTCAGGGTTGACTCCGAAATTTAATCTCTTATAAAAATTTTGAAAAATATGTAAGTTTCCGGTTATAGTAAAAATATTAACTAAAAGGAGAATATTAATTAATTTTTAAATTAAGCACAAATATATAAATTGGCCAATTAAATATGAACATCAACCAAAAGATAGAAGGCCAATTAAAGGATATCATTACATTAAAGGAGTTGTTTTGAAAAGTTTTTTAAATTTTCTTTAAGTAAAAAATTTTAATTTTTTTAGCTTTAATTAAACATCCAAAAAAACCAAATTCTGGGAATAGACAATGTGCTTTAGTTCGTTTAGATACTGGAAAGGAAGTTATTGCTTATATTCCTGGGGAGGGGCATAATTTGCAAGAACATAGCCAGGTTATTTTTTACAAAACTAGATAGTTGATGTGAGGTGGAGGGGGGGGGGTGAGTGAGAGACAGAAAACTTTTGTAATCAGACAGACAACTTCTAGAAATAGGAGAAGCTTTTCAATTTTATTAACAAAAATATTTAAAGGTCCATGTTCGAGGTGGGAGAAAAAGAGATTTAATTGGAGTTAAATGTTGTATTGTTAGAGGAGCTTTAGATTGTGCACCTGTTAGGAAAAAGAAAACAGCTTAATTTTAGAGGTGTTTTTTGTGAAAATTAAATAAAATTTTGGAGAGAGTTATAGTTTACCTTTAAATATCTTTTAAAAAATGAATTTAAATAGAAAATCCTTTTATTTATTTATACACAATACAAATCAACAACAACAAATACATACATAGAGAGAAGCTGCATACATACATAGAGGAGAAGCTGAATATGGCTGATGCTGAACGTAATGAACGCAGAGAGGCTGCAGAGAAATTTCGTATGGTGATTGGGACATTGCTGGATAAGGATGAGGGTTATGCTTATATGAAGGTTTTTTAAATATTTCTCTAATTTCTCTCAAAAATTTATTTTTCAGCGAAAGCAGACAAAGCCAAAGGAATTAATTCCATTTCGTATTGTCTATACTCGTGAGTTCATTCTGCGTTGTTCTTCTTCGCCATATTCAACACTTCCACCAAAGAATATGCCTGGAATTGTTATGGAAATGCCTGATATCGCTGCTAAATTTCCCCGTAGATTCCTTCGTGCTGGTTGAGAGAAGAAAGAAAAAGTAATAACAAAAAAAAAGGAAGAAAGGTTATATATTAATAAAAAAAGAAAATGGGTATAAAAAAGAAAAGGATCTCTCTCTTTCTTTTAAATATATTAATTTTGTTTTATTTGATTATTTATTTAAAACTTGAATATCTCCTCTAATTATTTATTTTACTTGGCTTTAAAAAACACATATTGTCTGAATAAATTGTTTAAATATATTTTGAGGGTGTAATGAAGTTATTAAATGATTTTAAACAAAATATTTTTAAGATATAAAAGTGGTTCTTTTTTTCTAAAAAAACTTTTTAGATTAAAATAATTTAAATGTTTTCATCTTTTCGATTGACTTTTAATTTATTTAAAAATGTGAAAGAATTTCCTTTTATTCAAAAAGACTTTGGATCAATCAGAACAATTCATTCAACTTGTAACCTTAATTGGGACGGATTGTTGGATGTTTGTTTTTAAATTTAAAAATTAATAATTTTTGGGTAATTTTGATGAGGTTTATTTCCTAAGCTAGAGATCATCGAAATTTGAATTCATTTTCCCCCTTTAATCCCTCAGACACACTTATTAAACTTGTAACGAAAAAATATAATTTGAGTTGATCAAAAAGTTGAGGTCTTCAGGGTTGACTCCGAAATTTAATCTCTTATAAAAATTTTGAAAAATATGTAAGTTTCCGGTTATAGTAAAAATATTAACTAAAAGGAGAATATTAATTAATTTTTAAATTAAGCACAAATATATAAATTGGCCAATTAAATATGAACATCAACCAAAAGATAGAAGGCCAATTAAAGGATATCATTACATTAAAGGAGTTGTTTTGAAAAGTTTTTTAAATTTTCTTTAAGTAAAAAATTTTAATTTTTTTAGCTTTAATTAAACATCCAAAAAAACCAAATTCTGGGAATAGACAATGTGCTTTAGTTCGTTTAGATACTGGAAAGGAAGTTATTGCTTATATTCCTGGGGAGGGGCATAATTTGCAAGAACATAGCCAGGTTATTTTTTACAAAACTAGATAGTTGATGTGAGGTGGAGGGGGGGGGGTGAGTGAGAGACAGAAAACTTTTGTAATCAGACAGACAACTTCTAGAAATAGGAGAAGCTTTTCAATTTTATTAACAAAAATATTTAAAGGTCCATGTTCGAGGTGGGAGAAAAAGAGATTTAATTGGAGTTAAATGTTGTATTGTTAGAGGAGCTTTAGATTGTGCACCTGTTAGGAAAAAGAAAACAGCTTAATTTTAGAGGTGTTTTTTGTGAAAATTAAATAAAATTTTGGAGAGAGTTATAGTTTACCTTTAAATATCTTTTAAAAAATGAATTTAAATAGAAAATCCTTTTATTTATTTATACACAATACAAATCAACAACAACAAATACATACATAGAGAGAAGCTGCATACATACATAGAGGAGAAGCTGAATATGGCTGATGCTGAACGTAATGAACGCAGAGAGGCTGCAGAGAAATTTCGTATGGTGATTGGGACATTGCTGGATAAGGATGAGGGTTATGCTTATATGAAGGTTTTTTAAATATTTCTCTAATTTCTCTCAAAAATTTATTTTTCAGCGAAAGCAGACAAAGCCAAAGGAATTAATTCCATTTCGTATTGTCTATACTCGTGAGTTCATTCTGCGTTGTTCTTCTTCGCCATATTCAACACTTCCACCAAAGAATATGCCTGGAATTGTTATGGAAATGCCTGATATCGCTGCTAAATTTCCCCGTAGATTCCTTCGTGCTGGTTGAGAGAAGAAAGAAAAAGTAATAACAAAAAAAAAGGAAGAAAGGTTATATATTAATAAAAAAAGAAAATGGGTATAAAAAAGAAAAGGATCTCTCTCTTTCTTTTAAATATATTAATTTTGTTTTATTTGATTATTTATTTAAAACTTGAATATCTCCTCTAATTATTTATTTTACTTGGCTTTAAAAAACACATATTGTCTGAATAAATTGTTTAAATATATTTTGAGGGTGTAATGAAGTTATTAAATGATTTTAAACAAAATATTTTTAAGATATAAAAGTGGTTCTTTTTTTCTAAAAAAACTTTTTAGATTAAAATAATTTAAATGTTTTCATCTTTTCGATTGACTTTTAATTTATTTAAAAATGTGAAAGAATTTCCTTTTATTCAAAAAGACTTTGGATCAATCAGAACAATTCATTCAACTTGTAACCTTAATTGGGACGGATTGTTGGATGTTTGTTTTTAAATTTAAAAATTAATAATTTTTGGGTAATTTTGATGAGGTTTATTTCCTAAGCTAGAGATCATCGAAATTTGAATTCATTTTCCCCCTTTAATCCCTCAGACACACTTATTAAACTTGTAACGAAAAAATATAATTTGAGTTGATCAAAAAGTTGAGGTCTTCAGGGTTGACTCCGAAATTTAATCTCTTATAAAAATTTTGAAAAATATGTAAGTTTCCGGTTATAGTAAAAATATTAACTAAAAGGAGAATATTAATTAATTTTTAAATTAAGCACAAATATATAAATTGGCCAATTAAATATGAACATCAACCAAAAGATAGAAGGCCAATTAAAGGATATCATTACATTAAAGGAGTTGTTTTGAAAAGTTTTTTAAATTTTCTTTAAGTAAAAAATTTTAATTTTTTTAGCTTTAATTAAACATCCAAAAAAACCAAATTCTGGGAATAGACAATGTGCTTTAGTTCGTTTAGATACTGGAAAGGAAGTTATTGCTTATATTCCTGGGGAGGGGCATAATTTGCAAGAACATAGCCAGGTTATTTTTTACAAAACTAGATAGTTGATGTGAGGTGGAGGGGGGGGGGTGAGTGAGAGACAGAAAACTTTAGACAAATTCTAGAAGCTTATCAATTTTATTAACAAAAAATATTTAAAGGTCCATGTTCGAGGTGGAAGAAAAAGAGATTTAATTGGAGTTAAATGTTGTATTGTTAGAGGAGCTTTAGATTGTGCACCTGTTAGAAAAAAGAAGACAGCTTAATTTTAAAGGTGTTTTTTGTGGAAATTAAATAAAAATTGAAGTTTAAATTTTTGAGAGAGTTATATTGTAGTTTATCTTTAAATATCTTTTAAAATAAAATATATTTATTTAAATAGAAAATCCCTTTATTTATTTACACAATACAAATCAACAACAACAAATACATATATACATATATTTTTTTTATTTTTTCCCTTCTCGTTCCGATAGAAATGCCGATATTGTAGGGTAAGGATCCACTTCCTCTTTTTTCAAACCCTCATTCTTAATTCTTGCCTCTTTTGCATCCAAGGCGAATGATCTTGGTTTGATTGGTTCATTACTTAAATGCTGCAAAAAAAGGGGAAAATTTTATTAAGATATTTTTAATGTAATTTATTTATGTATTTTAATTATATTCCCCTTCTAAATCGAATTAAAATTTCCTATCCTTTTTGTAAAATTAAAAATAGTTTTTAGGCTCTCTCTTTCCTTCCCTCTTAAAAATTTATTTTTTTGTTCCCGGAGTCTCCTTTTCTACATACTAACATTAAATGTAAACTATCAAATTAATTAATTAAATACTTACAACATCGTCCAAAAGTGATTGTGAATTATCTCCATCATCCCCCTTTTTGCTACGTTTGTGTTTCTTTGAATGTTTAGATTTTTTGGAATGTTTAGACTTTTTAGATTTTTTAGAACGTTTAGATATCTTTTTGGGTTGTTGTTTTGAATGGTTTTTCTTAGCTGTTGTTGGCTCTTCAGAATTAACTTTATTCTTCTTTTCTGCATTGTTTGCAGGCGGAGTTGGAGTAGTTATTTTTTTACCGGCATTAACATCAACTTCTTTCTAAAATTAAAGGGAGAGAATGATTTAGAATATTTATTTTACCTTCTTTACTGGAGATTTAGTTGTCTTTTTATTTGTAGTTTTGGTTTTCTTCGTCGTTTTCGGCTTTGCTTTTTCTTCTTTCTTCTTCGAACAATTAAAAAGAGTAATTGTTATAGCAGAAATTGAAAGAGAAAAGAATAAAACGAGAGATGGTGTTGCTGTTGTCCAAAACATTATTTTCTTTTGAAGAGATGCCAAACAACAAAAACCGTTGAAGAAAAGTATTCAGGAAATTTTTGCAGCAGAAAGGAGGTAATCGGGAAGGACGACATTTGTTTAGTTGCTTTTATAGTCAAAAAACTTCCTTTTTTGATTACCACAATTAAAATATTTTAATTAACATTTACACTCTCCTAAATGAATTTTTGATTGTTTTGGTTGTCATTTCTCATTTTTAAAAATAAAAAAAATAATTTAAAATAACAATTTATTTATTCCAATTTAAAAAATACAAAAATCAAAAAGAGATTAATTTAAAAATAAAAACATTCTCTCTAAAAATATTCTCTAATATGTATTTGAGAGAATTCCTCCATTCAATTAAAATTTTAATAAAAATTGCAAAAATAATAAAATTAAAAAATCCGGGATTGCTTTTGGGAGGAGGCTAATTCAATATTTGATATATAAATAGTTTAGTTAAAATTGTCAACACAGCAATTTAAATTCCTTCAAACAATTTTTTGTAATTTCTCGACTCCTTCCAATGAAAAATTATTTTTATAGAATTACTAATAAATTGCTGTGTCTAAATAACTAAAAAAATAACTCAAAAAGGCACACAAACCCACAAAATAAAAATAACAATAAAAAATTTTTTTAAACTTTCCAAAAAATTCTTTTTCCTTTCATTTTCTTTTAATGTTTAAATATTCCATTAGGTAAATGTTCATTTCCTTCTTTTTTAAAATTTGCCAATTTCTTAGCTAATTCTGGACGAATTTCTAATTTTTTTGGTTTTTCCCAAGGAAAATTAGAATGTCCAAAATGTCCATTAGCTGCTGTACGAGAATAAATTGGACGTTTTAAATTAAGTTCTCTTTAAAAAAAATAAAAATAATTTCTTTTTAATTTAAAAAAACCTTATAATAACTCCCGGACGTAAATCAAAATTGTCATTAACTATTTGAAGTAATTCGGCCTCCGTTAATGGACTTGTTCCGTAAGAGATTACAGCAATAGATAATGGATGGGATATTGCTATTGCATATGAAACCTTTAAAAGAAGAAAATTTTTAATTTATATTTGGAAAGAGGAATTCAAAAAATTTTTAAAATAAATTTTAAACAAAAATTAAAAAAAACCTGTACTAAACATCTACGACAAACTCCACCCTTAACCAAAGATTTAGCCACCCAACGAGCCCCATAAGCAGCAGAACGATCAACTTTTGACGGATCTTTTCCAGAAAAAGCTCCCCCTCCGTGTGCTCCCCAACCTCCATAAGTATCGACAATTATTTTTCGTCCAGTTAGGCCTGCATCGCATTGGGGCCCTCCAATATGAAAAGTTCCTTTAAAATTGGGAAAGATTTTGGATAATTAATTAAAAATTCCTTACCACACGGATTTAAATAATAAATTGTTTTTTCGTCTAATAAATTGCTTGGAATGACTTTTTTAATAACTTTCTCTAACAAATCATGACGAACAACTTCCAAATCATTTTCGAATTGTTTGTGTTGGGCAGACATTACAACCTTTTTTTGAAAAGAAAATAAATTTTAGATTTTTAAAAGAAACTCACAGTATGTACTCTAATTGGTATACAAGCTCCATTATTGAATTTATATTCAATTGTTAACTAAAAAGTAAAAAAATAAATTGAAAATCATATAAGGCAAGAAATTTATTAATAAATTGTCCAAATTTTAATCAAAAAACCTGTGATTTAGAATCAGGTAAAGACCATTCCAATTCTCCTTCTTTTCTTAATTTACACAATTTAGCTTGTAATTGATGTGCAAGAAGAAGAGATAAAGGCATAGCCTCATCTGTTTCATCAGTTGCATAACCAAACATTAAACCCTTTGAAGAAAAATTTTTTATATTGAAAAAAATTTAGGGGAAAAAATTTAAGAAATGTCAGAAATATTAACCCTTTTTCCTAACAAAAATGAATTAAAATATTTGAAAAATTTTCAAAAAATATTTTCAATCAAAAACCTGATCTCCAGCCCCAATATCCTCGTCACACCTATTCTCCCAAACACCTGCAGCGATTTCTGATGCTTGTTGCTCTAATGCAACCATTACATTACAAGTTCTATGATCAAAACCTTTAAATAAAAATTTATAAAAAAATTTAACGAATCAAAAAAAACCTTTACTAGAATCATCAAAACCAATTTGTTTAACAACCCCTCTAACTAATTTTTGATAATCAACGTGTGCTTTACTTGTTACTTCTCCACAAAGTAAAATCATTCCAGTTTTTGTAACAACCTCTAAAAAAGAAAATATTTAAATTTCAAATGTCCTTCTCTTAAATATTTTTTATTGTTTACACAAATCCCAATTTTTCTCATTAAAATTTCCAAAAAAATTCACTAACCACAAGCAACTTTAGCATTAGGATCTTGTTCTAAATGTGCATCCAAAACAGCATCAGAAATCATATCACACATCTTGTCTGGATGTCCTTCCCCCACAGATTCACTTGTAAACAGAAATGTTTGTTCTCTCGCTTCTAAATAATTTTTAGTTGAAAAAAAATTTTTTTAATTAAAGACCTGGAACAATATCAACATCCATTTTTTGTTGTTTAAATTAATTAAAATGTGAAAATTATTTAGTATAAAATTAGAAAAATCTAAAAAAATAATTGTGTAAAAGTAAAAGATGATGGAAAAAGATAACAAAAGACAGAAAACATCGAACGATTTTTACATAAATTAAATAAAATTACATCATTTTTTGAAAATTATTTTAATTTTTAAAAAAATATTTTACTTTCTGTAAAAAGGCAACTGTTTTTAAAAAAATGATTGATTGAAGTAAAAAAATATTTTTAAATTTATTTAATTATGTAGACAAACTTTGTTAAAAGAGTAAATTAATTAAAGATTAAAAAGCAAAAGAGAAATTATTTATTTTTACTTTTTAAAAAGTAGACAAATAAAAAAAAAGAACTTTTTCCTTCAGAAAAGAAAATCTTTTGTACAAATTAACAAAATATTTATTTATTTTAATCTACTTAAATTGTGAACTTTTATTTTTTTTAAAGTTTAAATAAAAGTTAAAATAAATAAAATTAAGATAATTTAAAATTAAAAGAAAATTAATTTTTAAGAAATATTTTCGAAAGAAAATTTTTTCCTTTTTTTTAAATAACATTTAAATTAAAAAAACATTTATTTATTTATAAAATATTTTTGTTGTCTCAGATTCAATTAAAGGTAAATAATTAAATAATTCTGTTGGATCCAAAATATAATTTAAAGCCTTTAAATAAAAAATATTTTTATTTTTTATTTAAATAAATAAAAACCTCTTTATTTAATTTTGAATAATTTTCTTCTTTTTTAGTCCATTCTCTTATCAAATATAAATTATTTTCTTTTTCACCATATAAACGTGTATCTAAAATTCTAACCATCACGTGATCAACTCGAAGATAAAAACGACACAAAACAAAAAAAGTGTCAGGCATTATTCTTATTCTAATCATCATCTTTAAAAAAATTATTATTTTTTTGTTGTCTCCGAAATAAATCTTTTTTAAATAAAAGTTGAGGGCAAAAAACTGCTTTTTTTGTTCATTAAACTTTTTTTAGATAATATCAAAAAAAATAAAAAAAAACAAGAAAAATAAGGATATTTAAATATTCAAAAAAGTAAAGGATTTGGAAAATTGGAAATAATTTCTGAGGCGATTAATTAATTAAAATAAAGAGTTTATAAAATTCGTGGCCATTAAATATTTTTTAAATTAAAATAAATAAATTACCTGTGCACATCCATTATCTGCCAATTCATCCTCATATAAAGCAATTTGTGAATAAAATTGAATTGGATCTTTTCTTTTTAATTTTTCATAATTAATTTTAACATTATTCCCCTTTTCTATTTTTATATTTTTCCCCAAAGTACCTAGAAAAATTTAAACAAATATTTTTATTTTAAAGATATTTTTTACCTTTATAATTACTTGTATATGTCCAGTCAAAAGGTTTTTGAAATTCTCGAGATAAAGTCTCTGGCCGAGCATTTTGCCAAACAGTACTTGGGCCGACCTAAATTTAAAAATCAAAAAATTGTAAACTAAAAAATATTATTGTTAGGTGGAAAATATTTAAAAAAGCATTCTAACTTTTCTCTGAATGAAATCTGAATTTAATTTAAAATAAATAAATTTACTTTAAAATCAGGTAATTGTTCTTTATTCACTTCTTTAAGAGCATCAAAAGCATTAAATTCAATAACAAGATTTCCATCACAATAAATTCCAATTTTATTAAAAGGGAATATCATTTCTGGTAAATGAGGTAAACCCAATTGTTTTTCAAAGCGACAGACCTTCAAAAATAATCATTTAATATCCCCCAAAACTATCTGTCAGGCAAATCGGAAAAAGTTTGTTTTATAATTAAAAAATTAGAATATTTTAAAAAATTTACTGAAGAAACTTTTTGGCTAACGAGAAAATATTTTTTAAACAATTAACTTAAAAACCCACTCAAGGATCCGAACACTTAAACTCCCTTTAAAAATTACCTGACATTCGTCTTCTTTAATATTTTCATGTCTACAAACAGATTCAAGTATATGATCCTGTATAGCCACAAATTCTATACAATTATGAAATAAATGTCTTTCCTTTAAGAATAATTTTTTAAAAATAAAATTACAAAAAAACCTCTTTTCTACTTTTCCCCAAAGCAGTAATTAATACTTGACTGTTTAAATTTGTTTTTTGCTTCTTAATTAAATTTGAATTTAAAATTGGTGGAAACTTTGTGTCTTCTGATGATGTCGACTGCATTGAAATAATTAAATAATGTTGAGATTCTCCTTTGGAATATTTTTTTAAATAATTTCAAACAAAAACTATTCAAAACTAAAATATTATGTACCTTAAAACACCTTCTAATAAATATAAAAATTATACATATCGATACTTTATCAAAATTTAAAAATAAAATTCTTTCATAAAATAATTCTTTTTATAAAACAGAATTATTTATACAATGTTCAAACAAACTAAATGAAAATTTAATTTGTAAAAAAATATTTTTTAAATCATTCTGTATATTTCTCTTTTTAATTATTTCCCGAATTATTGTAATTTGGCATAGTAAATGAAGAAAAAGGCTAAAAATTTATTTTTTAAATTATTTTTATCTAAAAAATAATAACCTCTTGAGTTGAATTATTTGGCAAAGAAGTGGCAGAATTAACGTCAGAATTATTTACATCCATAGAATCTAAAATGTTTTAATGATTTACAAAAGCAAGAATAATTTGGAATTAAAAAATTGAGAAATTTCCGTTTTATAAAAAGTAACTAAAAAACCCGAAAGAATAAAAACCAGTTTAAAATATGAGAAAATAAAATTAATCCCAAACCTCCACTTTCACCTCCACTTTCAGAAGTACTTGAAGGTCTCGATTGATCTCTTAAAATACTAGAATCATGTTGTACCATACAATTAACGATTGATTCAAGTGTTTGACGAACAAAAAGCGCAAATTGATCCAATTCATTAAATACCTTAAATTTAAATTAAAAAAGATTCAAAAAATTCCTTACAGCTTCTCCATTCGCATTTGATTGAGGCCTTACTCTAATACGTTCATTAAACATATTAGCAATTTGTTCACCTCTAATAGAAGGAATACGTTGACCAGATAATGAACGATTATGAAGAATTTGATGTGGTTGTAATTGTGGAGGTGGATGAAGACCCAGAGCTATAGTTTGTGGGTCATTCCAAAACTCAGCGTCTCTCTTTAAAATTTAAAAATAATAAAAAAAATTTCAAACAATATTCACCGGATTGACTGCAAGAATAGGTGGATGAACATTAGGTAAATGCTGACCCATAGGCAACAGATGATCTGTAGATTGAGAACTAATGCCAACTAACATAATATTACGTGGCTACAAATAAAAATAATTAACAATAATATATTTTAATAAACTAACAGTTGGACGTGGATCAGCAGGTCTAGAAGTTTGTTGTCCCGTAGAAGCAATACTCTGCGATATTAATTGATAAACATGATTTGCAATTTCTGGCGGTAAATTTGAAGGAGGATTAAAAAAATCAGATGGAAGAGGCACTCGAGGTGGAATATTTGGTTGATTTTCATTAGAATTGGTAGATGAACGTTCAGAAGAGATAGAAGTGTCATCGTTGTTTTGGCGAGACATTACTTTAAAAATAAATTATTTAAATAATATTTTAGTCTAAAAAATATTTTTTAGAGAATGTTAATTAAATCCTTACATTGTTGTGCAAAATGAGTAAATCCATTAATGACAGAACTTAAAGTACTAGAACCAGAAGCTCTTGTTTGTTGACGGGGCAAAGAATTCGAACGTGAAGCTTGGGTAGCTTGAGTTCGATATGTTGGTGTCTGACTAGGCAAATCTAAAAAATAGATTTTAGTGATTATTAAATATAAATGTATATTTATACACTTAAAAAATTTAATCTGAAAATATTCCAAAAAAATTAAAAAATACTTGTAGAAGCATCAGAAAATAAAAGAGAAATTTCAGCCCGTAAAGGTTCTTCTATTCTTCTATGTTGGTCATAAATTGGATATAAACGATTATGTTGATTTTGATTTAGATGTAAATGAAATGCACTAATTTCAATATGAATATACCCAAGAATATTTTGAATACGAGAAATTCCATTACAAAAATAATTAAGTAAACGAGATGCATAAGAATTATCCTAAAAATTATATAAAATAAAAAGTTTAAACAAAGAAACCTCCAAATTATGATTTAAAGCAAGAATTTGATAATAACGATTCATTAAATGTTCATTGATTTTAGCTTCAATAATAGACAAAATAATGAGAATAGTACTCAAATCATGAGAAGTGCAATGCCTAAAAGTAAAAAAATTGAAAATTTCCGAAAATTATAAACGAACAAACCTAACAATAGCCGGATGATGTAAATTATTAATATGCTGAATATGGTTTTCATCATTAGGTATTTGCCAATTATTTAACTGTTCAATTAATGAACAAATCTCAATATCTCTCTCATTTTGAATTAAATTATTCATTTGAATTTCATCACAAGCATCAAATGCATGCATAACCCACAAAATATTTGCAATATTTCTATATTGCCTTTCAATGTCCAATTCTTGTCCATAAATTATTAAATCAATTTTATCAATTAATTGAGACTAAAAAATAAAATTTTTATAAAAAAAAACTTTTCTTAAACCTTAATCAAAGCAAAAAGCCACGCAAGACTTTTAATTGAATTTTTTAAATTGTCAAAACGTTCATATGCGGAACTATCAATAATAAGCTGTCGAACACTTCGAAAAGTAACATTTATTAAAAAATCATTATTGCGTGGCATATTCATAACCAAAGCGTGTTCCGTCTCCATTCGATAAATATTTCTTAAAGTTTCAGTAATACCACCAACAATTGTCTAAAAAATAAAAATTTTGAAAACAAAAAATCTTTACCAAAGCATTATTTGGCTCTCTAAAAATTTGAGTTCTTTCAAACGGCACTTGCCCATAAATAACATTTTGAGTAACAATATGTGGCTGATTTGCTGCTGTATAATTAATTTGAATATTTGGTGGAAATTGATGTTGTTCAGTTGAAGAAGAACTAGAAGTGGTGGGATTATTAGTTTGAGGAATTGGTCGAGTAACAACATGAACAGCCATTTTATCTTCAAAACCACAATTAATAAGTTTTAATGAATTGTCATTTAAAGGCTTTCCACGAAAAATTATTCGCTGGTCATCTCTCGGAATTAAAGTTTCTTCAGCAATTTTATCACGAAGTTGTGAGATTGTACTCTTAAATAAAAAAAAATCAAAAAAAATAATAAATTTAAAAACCTGATCATCAATAATAATTGATGCATCTTCACGATCAATCAATTTTATAGGTAAATTAATTAAAACCATCTAAAATTTATTGAAAATTCTAAAATTAAAGAATTTTTAATTATGTAAAAAACTAGTAAAAAATTGAAAAAATGAACAAAAAAATTAAATGGATTAAAAAAGTCAACCATTTGTTTCTTACAAGAAAAGAAACAAAAAGAATTACTCGCGATTTCGGGAAATAATTAAATTATAAATTAAATTTATGAAACGAAGTTTTGTTTTCTTAAAACAAATTGGTGAAACGGGTAGGAGATCATTGTGTACCGGCCGTTTGTGTACCTGGCCATATTTTAGGCCATAACTTTTTGGAGTTTCAACCAATTCGGATAAATCTTTTATCAATCGACAGCCCTGGAAGTGAGGATTATTTTTGCCAACATGAGTTATTTGATCAGATCAACAAACAAAAAGTTACAGCCAGATAAAGATCAAAATCACGATTGCACGCATTTATCTGGCTGTAACTTTTTGTGTAATGATCTGATCAAACAATTCCTTTTGGCAAAAATAATCCTCACATCCAGGGCTTTCGATTGACATATAAATTATTTAAATCAATTAAGAATCGAAAAAGTTATGGCCCAAAACATGGCCAGGTACACAAACGGCCGGTACACAAGTGGGACGTTCCGTGGTGAAACAAATAATTTTTAATGATTTGGTTAATTGAAAATTGAATTTTGAAATTTCGACATTTTGAAATTACGAAATGTTAAATTTTAAAATATCAAATTAATTGGATGATTGAAATGTCAAAAGTTGATATTATTCTTAACAAAAGATTGAAGACCATTATTTACTACAATTTTGATTTAAAAAATATTTTTAGTGATATTTAGATTGAATTGATTGTTTTATTAGTATTTTTGATAAAAAATATTTACTTAATTAAAGAAGCTGAAGTTATTAAAGTAAAATGTCCAATCCAGCATTAAATACATTTTATTCATTATCTACTATTGGAATTTCAATACTTTTAATTATGGGTTTGTTTTTAGATGATTTTTAAAGATTTATTTAATTTTTAGGTTTTTATTATATGTTTACTGGGCAAGGCGATCGTTTTGATATTGCATGGTTTTTGACTGAGACACCTCCTCATATGTGGGCTGGTATTGGCATCGCTGCTTCCCTTTCTCTTTCTGTTATTGGAGCTGGATGGTTTGTTTTTATTTAATTTGTTAACACTTTCCAATGAGAGGTTATGGTCTTTTTTGAATTATAATAAGTCTCAATCCTGTATTTCAAACTAGATCCAGGCTTTGCTTTTCTCAATCAATTTAAAATTTGCAAACAAAACAAAGGTTTAATCGATTATTAGGGGAATTTTCACAACTGGAGCATCAATTTTGGGTGGAGGAGTTAAAGCGCCACGAATTCGAACAAAGAATTTGGTTTCGATTATTTTTTGTGAAGCAGTAGCAATTTTTGGAATTATTATGGCCTTTGTTTTTGCTGGAAAATTTGCGGTAATTTCTTTAAATTTTTGTTAAAATTTCATTCCATTATTTAGCCTTTTGACCGAAATACTGCCACTAAAGAAGTTCTAGCCAAAAATCTCGCTGCTGGATATGCAATTTTTGGTGGTGGATTGACTGTTGGATTTAGTAATTTAGTTTGTGGATTGGCTGTTGGTATGTGCTTTTTAATTTAATTTTTAAACAAATTTTGTTTAAAGGAATTGTTGGTTCTGGTGCTGCACTTGCAGATGCAGCAAATCCAGCATTATTTGTTAAAATTTTGATAATTGAAATTTTTGCTAGTGCTATTGGACTTTTTGGTATGATAATTGGAATTGTACAGGTTAGAATATAATATTTTTTGTTAATAACACTATTTACAATTTTTAAGGGTGGGTCTCTTTTTAACATATTCCCTTTAAAGTAAAATTCTTCCCTATCTTTGTTACCTATATTTAAATTCTAATGTTAAAAATTTTTATTTAGACAAACAAATTCACACTTGGAATGACTTAAAAATGATTTGTTTATCCAATCCAACATGTACTACTGCTGAATTATTTCCAGAAAAGAGGTTTTAAACGTATAGTCTTTTCCATTTTTAATACATTTTACTAGATTTTTTTGTTTTGATTTTTCCCTTCTCATTTGTAAAAACGAAATTTTTTAGAGAAAATATATCAATTTGATAGGGAGATTTCGATCATTTAATTCTTACATACAAGACCGACGGTTTCCTCCCAGCTAGCAAATAAAACAAAAATGAAAATGATCAGTTGGCGGTAAGGGTGGTTGGCTAACCTTTTGATACTCTATGGGATGGATTCACCGCTTTACTATTTCTCCCTTTTATATTTTCTTAAATCATTATTATTTAAGTCGGCAAATCTCTTGTTTAAATGACCCACTAAGTCATAGCTTAAAATCTTTTTTTGATGGTTGTGCTTTGCTTTTTATTATTAATAAATATATAATTTACCAAAAATACTTTTTTTAATCACAGATTAAATAATAATAATCCGAGAAAGTCGTCTCTTCCTTTCTGGACATGGACAATAACTTCCATCAGAGCCAGGCTCTCCGTCTGCTCCTATAAACCCGGGAGGTGCTAAAATGTTTTAAAAATTATTTTTTGTTTCTGTAAATTGAATACTCACCGAAAAGGCCAGGAGCGCCAACTTTACCTTTTTCACCTTCTGGGCCGGGAAGTCCTTCTCGACCTTGTTTTCCAATAAGTCCAGGCTCTCCAACTATCCCTCGAGGGCCTTGTTTTCCAGGCTTCCCTTGAAGGCCAGGTTCACCTTTTTCACCGATAATACCTTCCTTTCCTTGTATTCCTTGTTCTCCTACCATTCCTGTCCTTCCTACTTTTCCTGCTGGTCCTTCTTCTCCAAGTAGACCTGGTTTTCCTTTATTTCCAGGTAATCCTTTAGGGCCTCGCTCGCCTGTTGGGCCCTGATTTATAGGAAATTATTTTTTAAAGAATTATCTTTACTAACTGGTAATCCAATATTCCCAGGTTTTCCTGGTGCTCCTTTCCTTCCTCCCGGACATTCTCTGCACATTTGATTTTCAATTTTAGAGAGGGGTTCAGGAGCCTTTCCTTGTATTCCTGGCTCTCCCGGAGCACCATTATGGCCGTCAGCACCTGGTTCACCTACAATTTAATTCCTCTTATCGTTTATCTCAAAATTGAGATATAACCTGGTAACCCTGGAGGTCCTTCCAGACATTGCTCCGCATTCTGCGTGCATTGACAAACTCCTTCCGGTGGGAGAGGAAAGTCATTTACTTGTGACCGATCACCTTCAGACTGTCTCTTTGCTTTTTGTATTTTATCTTTTTTTCGATATGTAGTAAGTTCCCAGAAATATTCACTTTCAATTTCCCTCCATGTGATCATTTCCTCATTTAAATACAAAAGTATTTGAGTTGTTTTATTAGAGATATGCCAATAGATCCTAATATGTAAATATGTATTATTTAATCAAAAAATATTTTTCTAACCAGAAAGTTATACAAAATATACTTATTGTTGAAATTATTGCCAAACAAATACTTTGTTGCATTTAAAACTTATAAATTAAATCCAAAATTGAGTTTTTATTTTTAACAAATTTAAAATACAAAAGTAAAAATTAAAAAAAAGAAAATGTCTTTAAAATGAATGTCTTTTACTTTAAAAAATGCGGTCAATCCTTTATTTTTTAAATTATTCACAAAAGTAATCTCAAATAATTTCCTTACCAAACCGATTACTTGTGAATAAAACAAGCCAGTTCTAAAAAGTGTGTGGTCAAAAAAAAAAGAAAGAACTGGCCACCCGTAAAAAATAATTTACAATAAATAAAAGTGTGTGGATGTTGTAAAAACAATTAAAATGTGGCAAAATGAGTTAAAAATTATTTTGATGGGAATTACTTTGATATTGGGTTTTTAATTATTTATTTTATGTCACTTCTCGAAGTTATTAATTTGCCAGCAAAAATTCTTTTTTTTTTTATTTTTATTAGATTCGTTGCATTGTAAAATCTTCTGGTGATTCTTCTGATCCTTCTAGCCAGACAATATCTCCAGTTAAGTGTTTCTGAATTAAAAATATTACTTTCACGAAAGAAATATTTGCTGCAAATGTAATTCAAACTCCCCACAAACTCCCTAAATTCTTTAAAATATTTTTAAAAATCCCCCCCCCCCAACAAATTTACAAAAAAATACTTTATTGTTATCACTAATTATATTATAGTAAAAACACGTTCTGTCTTTGTCATTATTATATCCAGGCACTAATAAATCAAAAAATGTTGCCCCATCATCCAAAGCTTCAATTGTATGTAAATTAGCCATATTTGGTTCTAAAATAGCCATCTTTAATGATGAAGATTTTTCTGTTGGTGGAGATAAAATTACTTGGCCTTTAAAAAGAAAGAAATTAACTTTAAATGTTTTGTGAAAGTTATGGAGGAAAATGGAATTTGAAGGTGAATTAATTTATTTTTAAATTTAATTTTGATTTATGAAGACTTTTAAAAAATTAAATAAGATTAAAGGAGGAATTTATTCATTAATTATAATGGAGACCCATCCCAATTTAAATAAAAATATTTATTTATTTACCTTCATATCTTGCTGGACGTAAAATATATCCAGGTTTTGCATTAAAATTCGGATTATTCTTTCTTTGTTGTGAAAATTGTTTATTTTCTTCATTTGCATCTAACCAAGAATATGAAGAAACTTTAACTTTTCCACGTAAAGGACGAATAAATCCAAACATTTTTGGATGGTCGTGAAGTGGAATATAACATCCAGAAAAACGAAAACCAAAAATTGACATTTCAAAAAGATCAGCTCTTTCAAGAACGGGAGAACAAAAAGTACTTGCCCACATGGTTCTTGGATCAACAGCTTTGTGCTGTAAAAATTGAGAATCAAAAGCAGATGCGAGTTCGCGTAATTTATTAATAATTGCTGCTGGCTCTGAAAACGAAAAATAAATTTTAATTAAAATTGGTTCTTATTTAAAATCCCTAATTTAAATGAAAAATTCAAAAATTAAATTTTAAATAAAAAACCTTTTCCATGATCAGCAGTTCCATTAACCAATTCTGTCCCACAACATTTTGAATGTCCAATTTTTCTTTCCTCAGCCTCAACTTTAGAACATTCCAATAATCGTCTACAAAGGGCTGCCAAATCCCCCAAAATTTTATTTCTTCTAGCATTAATCATTTCTTTTTCAGTAATCAAAGGGAAAGAAGATGATTTTTGATTATCCATAAAAATATTCCAAAAAAATTAAAAAATATTAAAATATTAAATAGAACTTAAAAAATAAAAAAAGAAAAGGTTTTTTATCTTCCTTTTTTTCTAAATAATTTTAAAAGAAGAATAAATATTCTTTTATTTTTTAGAAAAAAAAGTAAAAGGCACACAAAAATAGATAGGAGATCAAAGAATGATTTAAAACAAATAAATTATTAAAAGCTAATATTTGCGGACTAACATTTACTGACGAATTTATTTGGGAGAAATTTAAAGGAAAGAAATTTAAATTGGAGAATGTTTCAAGAGAAAAATTTTAAATTAAATTGAAAATTTTAACAAATTTTTAGCCAAACTTAATTTAAAAATAAATATTAAAATCCGTAAAAGTTAAATCCGCAAAAATAAATAACAAAAAAAAACGTTATACATACAAAATATTCCCTTAAAATATATTAATTCCTTGTTGGCCACATAAAGCAAATAAAATATAAAAATAAATAAAATATAAAACAATTTCGTACTTTGAATTTTGTGTGCTCCGTGCAATAAAATAAAAATGATGATGATGATCGATTCATGAGACACTGTATATACAAACAAAAAAATATATATAATTTGTAATGTTCTAGTAATGACATTTCTTCTCCAATAAAATAAAAGAAGTAATTAATTAATAAATTAATTTTGCATGTCCCAATTAATTAATTTTCTCTAAAATATATTAGAAAAGAATTTAAATATTAAAATAATAATTTTATGATTAATTACACAATTCTCACTTTCAATCATTAAGTGGAACATATTCAGACAAACGTTTAAAAAAGAGAAATGATCAAAAATTTTTGTTTAAAAAATTGTTGCCCAAAAATTTTAAAAATATTTTGTTTTTAATTTAAAAATAGTCAACAATTTTTTGTTAATTTAAAAAAAGAAACAAACCAAAAATTAATTTTTTCTAATAAAAAACTACTCCAATTTGTATTTAAACAATCATTTAAATTATTTTTTAATTTAATACACCAATTTAAAATATTAAAATTATTTAAAGTTAATTGTTGAATTAAATTAATTATTGGTGTTGAATTAATTGTAGAAAAAGAAGGAAATATTGGAAAATAAATTTTTGAAATTTTTGTTGAATTAATAAAAAGAGATGCTGACCAAATACCTTTTTTAAAAATAAAAAGATTACTAAAAGAAACTTTTTGGGATGAGAGCCAGTCATAACGGTACGGAATATCGGGGTATTTCAATGTTAAATTGAAGGAAAGATTTTTTTAGCAAAAGCGTAGCCAGGGAGCTGGAGCTCTCCTCCCCCTCCACAAATGGGGGAAAGAGGGAAAAATTAGAAGGATACCCATGAAAATTTGGCTACGCCCGTGTGTTTTAGAACCAACGTAAAATCCCCAATCTCTCCATATGTCTCCCTCCCTTCTTGGATACCCTTCACCTACCCCCTTTTTTATTAAATTTCCCAAATATTTAAAAAAATTACCAGAATTAACATTTGGATTTTCATTCAAAATATTTTTTAATTTAATATCAACAAATTGAATACCATTTAAAGAATCATAACTTTTTATTTTTTCATTAAATAAAAGTTCATTATTAGGTCCATTCAAAATTAAATTTACATTTGGACTTGTCCAATTATTATTTTCTTTATTTAAAATTAAATTCCATTTCCATTTTAAAGTAAATAAATTATTTAAATTCTTTAAAAAAATTAATTAAAATTAATTAAAAAATAAATTAATTAACCAAATCAACAATTGCTGGATAAATTCGAAAAATTTCTTCTTTAACATCAAACCCAATACCAAATTCAATTCCATCAATTAATTCAAATATTCCTTCCTCAGTAATTATTTGAAAATCTTTTTTATTTTGTTGATTAGTAATTTGTTCAATTAAAAACTAAAAAAATAATCAAAAAAAAATAATTAAAAAAATATTTTTTTAACAAAATTTCTTTGATAAATAATTTAAAAAAAGAAAAGATCCTTTTAAAAAGAAACAAATATTTATAATTTAAATTACCTCAAATACTTCAAATCCTCCTCCCCCTCCTTCTTCACATTTCATTTCAATTTGAAAAATATTTTGAAATTTTGCAGTTGAATTGAAACGAAATATAAAAATATTTAAAAGACGATTAAATAAACAATTATTTTTATTTATTTTTTTAATAAATAATTTTGAAATTAAATTAATTAATTCAATTTTTGAAGCTAAAAGAGAAATTTTTTTTTAATTAAAAAATAAAATTTTACAAAAAGGAGAATCATTTGAAGTTTCATAATTAAATATATTTAACCAAAATGATTGAGTAAAATTAAAATTTAGTTGTTTTCCTCTAAATCGAAGTACTTGTTTTTGTAAAAAATTAATTGGTTCTATATCAATAAAAGAATCAAATTTTCGTCCAAAAAATAAATTCTTTTCTTGACATCTTTTTTGTTTTAAAAATAAAAAAAAAAAGAAATTTAAATAGAAAAACCTTTTTAAATTAATTTTCTTTTCAACATCAATACTTTTAACAGCCAAAGGTGAACACCCACACCAATCAACTATTGGCTTAAATGCTGAACAACGACAACCTTGCTTTCTTTCCCAATTAGTAAAACGCAAATTTTGGTTAAATATTTGATTACAAAAATTTTTTGAATTAATTGAAAGCTAAAAAATTAAATAAAATTATTACAAAATCTTTCAATAAAAAAATCCAAACTGTGTGGAAAAAACTTTCCAACGGCAACAGAATTGTCGTAAATAACAAACGAAGATTTGAAGGTAAATCTTCATTAGAAACAGAATATTTTGCCAAATCTCTGTGTATAATTAACCAATCAGAACCTCCATCCAAACGAAGATTTAAAGGAAAATCATTTCTTTTAGCGACTCTCCACATCCTTTTTTCACATTCCAAAAAATGAAAATTAAATCCTTGTTTGTTTAAAAAACTTGCTGTATTGTAACCGTGACTGCTCAAAAATGATTTGTTAGAAGAACTTGAAAAAATAAAAAGCAAATTTAATGAAAATTTAAAGAATTAACCAAACAATTATCGCCCATCCCCCAAAGCGTAGCCAGAGGGTCAATTTCAGGGGGGCTATAGCCCCAGAAGCCCCCCTCTGGCTACGCCCTTGCCCCCTCCATATATCCAAAAACAACACCTCCCCCCTTCCTTTTTCTAACACAAAAATATATTTATTTATTTATTTACTTTTCCAATTGTTTTTCCAATTCTTCCAAAGAAAGTAAAGGCATATCTTTTTCACTTAAATTTATAATGTAATCCCATTCAATTTCCAATTCAAAAATTGATTGATTAATTACAAAAAGAAATAATTCTAATAAACTAGTTCCTCCCCAAATTGTTGCAAATCTTTTCTTCAAAACTTTAAAATTAAAAAAACCTTTAATTTCAAACTCTTTTTGGATTTTTAACATTTCTGGGGAAAATTAAAATTTTAAGAAAATTAAAAAAGAAAAAACCTGAATATAAAAATTGTTGTCTACTATCTACATGAACAAAATAAAAATGTTTTTGGCTATAAATCATTCCAAGAAGACGTCGAATTTGGAGGTAATCACGTCCATTTAATTGCAAAAGAAAAAGTATTTTAATTTTATTTAACGAAGATTTGCCGTTATATGGAATAAATTTTGGAAGAATTTTTGTTTGTTTATCTTAAACAAAAATAAATATAATTAAAATAATTTAAAAAATAATTTATTAAAAATCTTTATTTTTAATAAAAAAATATTTAAAACCTCCCACACAAACCTTTAATTCCCGTTTTATAAACAAATAAAGTTCCATTTCCACCACAAAATAATTTTTCCTTTCCCGGACAGGCATAGAAATTACACAAATTTTCATCAACAAAATTTTCCTCATTTTTATCAATTAAATAATTAAAACAATAACAATTTACACCAAATCCAACACCTAAAAACTTTTATTTAAATTTTAAAAAATAAACGAAAACCTGCAAAAGAATATCTAGAATTTAAACATTTTTGAATACAAAATTCTGGGGAATTTTCTGAAGAAAAATTAAATGAATTTTTAATTAATTTTATTGTAGACAAATAAAAACATCCAATTTTTGTATTTTGTTGTCTCAAATCTTTTTAAAAAAAATCTTAAAAATTAAAAAAATCAGACAAACCAAAATATTCCTCACAATTATTTTCAATTTTTTCAATTTCCCAATAATTATTAATTTCACATAATTTTGATTTAATAAATTGTTTACAAAAATTTGTATTTATTCTTGAAATTGCTGAAATAGCCAAATTATTTTTTAACAAAAAACAATTAATTTCTTCTTTTTCTTTATAATTTTTAAATTCCTGAAAAACTTTTTTGGAAACTTTTATTTAAATTTAAATTAAAATTACTTTAGTTAATTGAAAATCAAAAATAAACAATAAAAGATTTAATAAAATAATTAAAAATAAAATTAAGAATAAATAATTTTGTTTAATAATAACCATTTAAATTGTACGTAAAGAAAATGAAAAAAAGAGAGAAACTTACTAAAAAGTCTTTTTTTCTTTTTCTCTTCCCTAAAAGTAAATATTTTAACAAGAAATAAAAAAATAAATAATTATTAAAAATTTCCATTAATTAACCAAAAAAAATTATTTATTTAATCATTTTTATCAAAAAACTTCAAAACTTCAATACACATAAATACAACACAAAGAAAACATAATTGTTGACAAAAAATCCGGGGGAAATTTAAAACTAAATATTTAATTCCCTCAATTCCTTCACAAATAAATTCTAAAATAAAATTCAAAATATTTTCCTCACTCTCCACAAAATCTTCTCCTCTTCCTGTCAATAAAGAACTGCTAATACTTCCAGCAATACTTGTAAGACTTTCTGGGTAGGGATTCACAAAAACTTCAGAATTTGTGTTTATTGTTGTGTTGAAATTTGGAATATTTTGTCGATAATTTTCAATAATATCTTTTTTTTAAATAATTAAATTAATTTGAAATAAAATACCTTTTAAAACATAATTAGTTTTTAAGCCACTACTGGAAAAATAAGTCAATTCAAAACATAATACACATTTAACATTAAATACTAATTTTGTGTTAAATCCTAAAAATTAAAGATTTATTAATTTTTTAAGTTTCTAATAAAAATTGAAGAGCAGATTTATGTGCCAAAAAAGTGTAGTAGTGAATAAATAAAGACTATTTTATATTTTAAACTGCCCTACTCCCTTTCGTGCCATCCTCAAATTATCTCTATATCTTATTAGGTAAGAACTGGGAAACCGATCATCAAAGCTAATAAAATAAAAATCTAATAATTGATATAAAATTTGATGGAATTTTTTAAATTTTAAGTTTAAAAATGGAGAACAAAAAACTACAAAATATATAAAAAAATATTTAAACCGACCAGAATTATTAAATAAAGTTGTTTGTTTTAAGCTTTCAAGGCATTCTGTACAGAAAGTGTGTCCACAACAAAGTTGTTTTGGCTCAGAAAAAAATTCTCTACAAATTGGACATTTAAGAGAATAAATAAAATTTGTTAAAGACATATTACAAATAAATATACAACTAAAAAAATAAAAAGAAAATTTAAAAATAATTTTAGAAAAAAAAAGAATTATTTAAATTACGAACATTCACAGAAATTACATTTTTCTTTAATTTTCTCATTAATCTAAACGTTTATAACAAATAAATACATTATGCCAAACAAATAAAATTTGATCAAAACATTGATTTAAATATTTATTTCAGTCGTAAGGTTGGCAGTTCCTAGGAAATCTTTGGATATCCAAAACTGATAACCGACCCAATAATTTCCAGATACCCAGAATTTTCTCTTCCAAATACCCCCGCTAAAGTTAACTCAAATATATTTTAATAGTTTTTTTAATTATTCTAAAATTTATCGAGAATCAAAAAATAATTGTTTTTAAATGTACACACAATGAGGTTTTTATAGACAAAAAATTTTTAAAAAAATATTTAAATATAATTTTAAATAGAATTTCTGTGTTTTGATGATTGGTTAGTATGCCTTTTCATATGTAACTAAAAGAATAAAAAATAAATTATTTAAAATTTTTATTTATTCTTTTAACCTGTAAATGGTCTGAACGTGCAAAACAACGACTAAAAAAATAATTTTTATTTAAAAAAGATTAAAAGAAATAAAAACATACACACAAAATGAACATTTAAACGGTTTTGCCCCTGTATGTTTACGTAAATGTCGAGTTAATTCATCACTTCTAGCAAATTGCCATTGACAATTAGGGAATATACAAATATAGGGTTTTTCCCCTAAAAAATTAATTTTTTTTAATTTTTCTCTCAAATAAAAAAATATTTTTTAAATAAGTACTTTTAGTTAATTAATTAGGTATTTACTTTTGTAAATTAATTAAAAAAGAATTGCCGAAAAAGAGATTTATGAGGAGAGGGGAGGGGGATTTTCCTTAAATAAATATATATAAAAATACACTTAATTTGTAAATAACCGAGAGAATTACAAATATTTATTTAAACTATTTAGTAGTTGATGTCCTCTTCCCCCTCCTCCCCTCTCCTTAAAACAAAAGGAGGAGCGGCCCTTTGGTTTTAAGATTTAAAAAGAAGGCGGAAGTTGAATGAGAGATTTGTGTCAAAAGTCTCTACTACTACAAAATTATACTTGTACTTAAATGACAGGTAACAAGAGAAGTATCAAAAATGTGCGCGGAAAAGGACGGGAAAAAAGTTTTCAAAGTATTTTTATTTTCTCTTTGATCATTAATAAAACAATTTCTCTCTCTAAAAATCCCGCATTTTGAAATGACCGAGAAATGAAATCTTCATCAGAAAATTGCCACCGTAAATAAATATTTAATAGTGGGAAAAAGGAAAGATTAAGTTGTAAAAAAATGTAAAAGTATAGTGTGCGCGTAAAAGAAAGAAAAATATCAAAAATCTACAATAATCAAAAATAAAATATTTTATTTTTTATTTAAATTTAACTATTATTTTACCAGTATGTAGACGTTGATGTGCTTTTAAATGGCTTGATTTTGTGTAGACTTTCGTACAATCTTTAAATAAATAAAAGATTAAGAAGGAAAAAGTTTTTATTTTTATTAGTTAATTGCGCAACAATATTTAAATAAATTATTTTGGAAGAGTTGGAAAGATTCATGGGGAAGGAAAAAGGATTAAAAAAAGAGAAGAAAAGATTTACTTAAATAAATCCAAAAATATTTTATTTTCTTAAAACTTAATTTTTTGTTAAATTTATTACCCATTAATTTACCTATTTATTTAATTTCAATTAAATTTATTATTGCAAAAAACGATAATATTTAATATCCTTAAAAGTTTTTTTGAAAAATAATTTCTCTAAAAATATTAACAACAACAACTATATTTTTCTCAAAACAAGAGTTTAATATTTCACCCATTGCTTAAGAAAGAGGTACTGTAAAAGGGAAGAAAAAGAAAAAACTAACATATGTACATAAGTAGATTTTTAATATCCTTTTTTGTTTGTTTATTAATAGAAAAATAAACTTTTAAGTTGAAACTTTCAGATTTCCTTCCAGGTTTAGGGGCTTTAATTATTTTTACATGGACCAAAAGAGGATAGAGGCTAAAACTCTCACTTTTCAAAATTCAAGTCAGAGACCAGTTTTGATTCGAATTCTTTTTTAGACAATAAACTCTTTGAAAGATTAACTTTTGATTAAATATTTTTTTAAATTTTCTTTTAAATAAATTAATATTTTACTTGGAAAGCAGCATTTATGTACTCGTTTATGATTTAATTCTTGACGACTTTTTCGAGGCATTCGACGTGTTGATTTTGGATTAATTGAACTTGGGGGGCAAAATACTTTTGCAGAAATTTCTGGAGGTAATAAAGCTGCTAATGTTGAAGAGAAAGAATTGGTAGAGGAAGAGGAGGAGGAAAAGGGGGAAGAGGAAGAAGGAGAAGGATTTTGAATTTGTTTATTATTTCGTTTAGATTTTACAAAATTATTAACCACAAAGGAGGATGAAGAAGAAGCAGGAGAAGAATTGGAGGAAGTTGAAGAAGACAATTCCTTAAAAAGAATTTTTATTTAAAGAAATTATGGCCCTATCTGAATAAGAGGGCGGTTTGATTTTTCCCATCATTTTTTTCCTACCTTAATATATAAATAATGGTCAGTCTTTTCTTCCTCGTTCGATTCCACTCGTTTTACCTGTGGCATATTCAAATGAGAAGAGAGAACACACACATGGACAGACAAAACGGACAAAGTACACGGCCGTCCGTGTTTTGTCTGTCTGTGTCCGTCCGTGTTTTGTCTGTCTGTGTCCGTCCGTGTTTTGTCTTCTGTGTTCGTCCGTGTTTTTTCTGTTCGAGTCCGTCCGTGTTTTGTCTGTCTGTGTCCGTCCGTGTTTTGTCTTCTGTGTTCGTCCGTGTTTTTTCTGTTCGAGTCCGTCCGTGTTTTGTCTTCTGTGTTCGTCCGTGTTTTTTCTGTTCGAGTCCGTCCGTGTTTTGTCCGAGTCCGTTCGTGTTTTGTCTTCTGTGTTCGTCCGTGTTTTGTTGTCTGTGTTCGTCCGTGTTTTGTACGTCTTTCTTCGTCCGTGTTTTGTCTGTCCGAGTCCGTCCGTGGTCAGTCTTTTCTTCCTCTTTGAATACGTCCATGTTTTTTTGTCCTCTCATTTGAATATGCCACGGGTAAAACGAGTGGAATCGAACGAGGAAGAAAAGACTGACCATTATTTATATATTAAGGTAGGAAAAAAATGATGAAAAAAATCAAACCGCCCTCTTATTCAGATAGGGTCGAAATTATTTTTAATTTTTACTTTTTCAGACGACAGAGGAAGAAGAGGAGGGGAAGAATTTGTCGAGAAAATATTTGATGGAGGAGGGAAGCTGGATTGAAAGGGAGGAGGAACAATTAAATTTTCTTCTTCAATAAATTCTCTAAAATTTAGAATTATTTAATTCAATTAATTTCCAAAATTATTTACTTTTTTAAAGGAATAATTAAATTATTTTCCAATTGTTGGTTGTTGAAAACTATATTTTGTCCAAAATTTGGATTTTGAAGTAAATTATTGCCAAAATGTTGTGGGTGGGGGTGGTGGTGAATTCCTTCATTTTGTTTTGATTGTCCAAAATCAGAATTAAAAGAAGTTTGTTGTTGTTGGGTAAATAAAAGTTGTGGATATTGGGGGGAATTATTATTATTAGAGATTATTTGTTGTTGTTGTTGTGTATTCTAATAAAAAATAAATTAAATTATTAACAACAAAAATATTCAATTATTAACCTCTTAATTCTTAAGGTAATTTTCATTATTCTAATTTTCCCTATCACAAACCCAAAAGGAACAAGTAAATTAAAAGTCTTTAATGATTTTTTCTTCTAAATTTTCCTCATTAAAAATATGGAAAAACTTAAATTCTTGAAAAGAGAAGAGGGGGGGGGGGGAAAGAAAGGTATTTAAAACTACTTGATAATCAATTCCATAAAGATTTGTTGTTTGACATTCAATTATTGTTGGAGGACATAAATTTGTAAATAATTCTTTGGAGGAGGAGGAGGGAGGAGTTGAAGTAGAAGAAGTTGGGGATTTTGATGGGGAAATATTGTTGTAATATTGTTGGTGTTGATATGGCATTGAAATTGTTGTTGTTAAATTATTTTGTTGAGAAGAAGAAGAAAATGTTGAATTAAAATCTTTTTAAAAATTAAATTAAAAAAATATTTTTTATTTTAAATCGTTATCATTTTTTTCTTTTAAAATTTAATTCAATACCTTTTTTATAACACCTTTTCTCCTTACAAATTTGTAGATAAAAATGAATAAAAAAATAATTTTTATTTTCGCGGGACAGCTTTTTTTGTTTGTTTAATGACTGGCATTGCCCCAATAAAAATATATAAATTAAAAGAAAATTATTTATTTTTAATTCCTTTCCCGACCTTTTAAAAATAATTTCTTAATGTGAATCATCTTTAAAAATATATTAAAAGAAGATATTTAAAAGAAATTTTTTGGATTAAATTAAAAAAAAATTTTTAGATGGTTAATTGGAAGAACTTGAAAGGGAGGGGAGGGGAGAGGGGAGGTTTTGTAGGAGTATTTGGATTGAATTTAAATATATTCTTGACTAGTTTTTTTTGATTATTTTTAAACATTATTTAAAATAAAAAAACCTACAAAAAGAAGATTTTTCTAAAATAAATTCTTCTCCCCCTTCTTTTTCTTCCTTTTGATATTCAAATACGTCGTTAAAATAAAAAATAGAAGGCCAAAAATATCCAGATAATAAAGATTGGTCATTAAAAAAGAATTGTTGTTGGTGTTGTTGGTGTTCATCTAATTTTTGATAATAATTGTTGTAATATTGCTGCCATTCACGAAAATTATTTTGTTGGAAATTAAAAGAATTATTAAACGATGAATTTAAAGTTGTTAATTGTTGTTGCTGTTGTTCTATCATATTTTTAGCTGTTAAAAATAAAATAAAAATTGAAGTACTTTGAATTATCCTGCAGTATTTTATTTTTTCTTCTCCTTTCTTTAAAAAGTACAAATGGTTAAAAGTAACATGCTGTTAAAGGATAATAGCGATCTATGGCGACACGGACCAGGATCTGTTTGTTAGAAATTATAGCCGGTATTTTTCACGTGTATCAGAGCTTTGAGCGAATAGAGCTCTCATTTCCATTAAAATTAACTTATTGAAAATAGAATTGTCACACACAAACAACGTTGACGAAGGTCTAATTTCTGAAACTGATGATTCAGGACATAGACTCACTTCAATCTATGTGTACTTCTTGGAGGAAAGAAAAGGAAAGGAGAATAAAAATAAAATGGTGCAGAATAATGCGATGGTACCAAAATTGGCAGAAAGAATAATAAGGGGATTTTTCAATTGTTTTATTTAAAAAATTAAAAAAATAAAATAGAAAGTAATGAAAGAATGAATATATAATTTTGAAGAAAAAAGCAAGTAAAAGTATTTAATAATAATTTTTAAACATTCCCTCCCCCCGCCCACTCATTTATTTATTTTTCCTTTATAAACAATAAAAAATGTTTTGGTTTGTAGAAGAATAAAGGGAGGAGAAGGGGGGCGGGCGAAAGAACGGTATTTTATGTGAATGGATATAAGAAGAAAATAATGCGCGAAAATAATGAAAGGGATTTATAAATTATGAAAGAAAATCGAGATAAGAACAAAATTAAATGAACACAAAAATTACTAAAAAAGTATCTTTTACAAAAAAATGTTTTAATTTAAAAAAATAAGAACAAAAAACAAGACAAAAAAACTTATTAGCAATTTATCGTTATTTAAATATATTAACCAAACACGCGCACCTAAATATTAAATTACCTAAAAAATAATATTCTTCTTATTTTTTTAAATTAACGTTTATTATACTAAATAAAGAATTAAGAAAGAAATAAAGCTTTGGCTGGATCAATTTCTTGTTCAAATAAAACAATTATTATTATTATTGTTTATAGAAAAAATATTTTTTTAAGGAGAAAAAGCAGTAAAAAATATTTTTATGTATTTAATTGTGTTTAGGGTAAAATAAATAAATAAATATTTTTAGCAAATATATAAAAGTTTTCCTTTTTTAACTTTAATAATAAAAAGATTTTTTTGACAAAATAAAAATAATTTGGAATATATTTGGAAATTTAAATAATTTATTTTTTGGTGTAAAAAAATAAAAATATCTCCAAAGAAGCCCGCTCTTGCCTCAAACAATTTTAAAATTTATAGTAATTTTAGTAAGAAATTCCAAGCATTGATTCTGTGAAGAAAAATAAAATTGGAGAATAATAAAAATAAATTTGTGATATTCTGATTTGTCTTCACAAAAAAGGGGAACTAAAATTAAAAGTGGCAAGAGAGAAAAGAATATTTAAATATTTTAAATAAATGAGATTTTAATCAGGCATGTTCACGGCTTCAAATTTCAATATTAGGATAAAAATTCTGGACGATATCTATATCTAATCGCGGCACTTCTTTACCATACCCGTCCGCGGATATCCTCGGATATATCCAATTATTCTCAAAACGGTTTGAATAAAAAATTTTACTTACAATGTTGGCAATCTATTTTGGCAATATTTGGCAATCTTGGCAATGCTTTGGTCAAAAAATCTATATCTTGACAATACTGGGGGCGCTGTAAAATTTTTTTGCTTTGCAAGCGGAAAATATCTGAAGTAGGCAATTAACAATAACATTTTCGACTTTTGGGTTATACTTATTGGTTCTGTGTGCTTTAATTTAATGCCGCAGCAAAAAATTGATAAATTTGGAAGGCCAAAAAGCCAGAATTCTTCATTTTTAGGTCTTAAGTTGTGCTTTTTTAGCCTTATTTTAGGTGCTAAAAACCTCCAACATATTATAATGAATACTAATAATTTTTTATAAAAAATAAATTTAAAATAATTACATTTATTAATTTATTTAAATAGAAACATTTCTTATTAGCAAAAAAAATTTTTTTTCATTTCAGATCTGTTCCAACATTAAAAGAAATAATGGCAAAAATGCTTGTTATAATTAATTTAATTTTTATAAATTTAATTTTAAATCTAAAATAAGGCTTTCCATTTTCTACCAAGTTTATTTAATTAAATATTTATTTTTATAAAACTTTTTTTAAAAAACAAAAATTATTTTAATAAATTGTTTAAATTAGCTTAACTAAATATTAAATTTGTTGCCAAAAATTATTTTTATTTAAATATTAAATTATAAAACAAAAATAAATAATAAAATCTAAAAAAAGTTTTTAATTAAAATAAAAATAATCTTTGAATTTAAAAAAAAATAAAATAAAAAAATCATTTTTCTGCTCCCCTACAATCCAGGATTAACACCAAACAAACACACCACAAAAAATTTCTTCTACAAAAGTGGCAAAAGCCTTTTTTTCTTCTTTTTTCTTATCAATTGGTCGTTGAATTAGTCACTGATTAAACATTTTTAATTTGTCTAAATGTGTCATACTTTCATAAAATAAAACACAAAAAAAATAATTTTAGAAATTATTTTTAAAAATTACTATTACAACAAAACACACAATTTAGAACCCAATTACATTTAATTATAGAAGTTTGTGAAATGTCAAAAATTATTTTGCAAAAATATACATATATAAAATAGAAATGAAATATTAAAGCCGTTTAGAGAAAAAGAAATAACTTTTTTGAATTTTTAAATATTAAATTATATAAATCCTTAAAATGCAAAATTCTGAAAAAAACTTTTTTTAAGCAGAATAGTAATTCAAAATAATATTTTCTAAAAACAGCTTTTTCTACCCATTATTAAATAATAAACTATTCTTTGATGTCAAATCAAGTCAATTTTCATCCCTTCATTTCCCCCAAACATTTAGCGACTATGGCCTCCTTTCCTTCCCTCTATTTCGCCTATCAAAAGGATTAATTATGTACAAATGAATGATAAAGGTTGATTGAAATGTGACAATAAGCGACTGGGTGAGCGACAATTCGATGCTTAACTCAATAAATTCGGACCTCTATATGGGAAGGAAGGAGAGGCATGGTCGAAAAACGATCAAAGAAATGAAGAGAAGAAAAAATATAAACAATATAATTACCCAAAAAATTTCTTTTATTTAATTTGTACCCAATAATGGCTCATTTTCTCGTCTATGTTCCCTTGCACTTTCTTTGCTTAACCAAATCAGCTTTAAATCGTGGAGGAATCTTCTCATAAGGCATAAAACAGAGAAAATATTCTATTTAAATTTTTGAAATAAATAAATTAATTAAAAAAATATTTACCATTAAAACAAAAAGGTAGAAAACCCAATTCCAACCAAAATTATTTTGTATCAACGGAATAAATAATTGTCCAAAAGCTGAACCAGCCGAACCCGTTCCATCAATTAAACCAGTCACGGTAGACATTGCCTAATGTATTTTAAAATTAGCTTTTGACAAAACAAAAATTTACTTCAGCATTTCCAGCAAGAGATGATTGAGAACCAAGATCAACAGATATTGTACTAACAATTAAATTATAAGGCCCAGAAATAGTAAAACCAAGTAAAGACATTCCAATAATATGAAAGAATGTGTTTGGACCTAGACTAGCATATAAGAAGAGTAATGGAACAGAACAGATTAACATAAAAACCAAAACAGGACTTCTATGTTTAAGTCGATCCTTAAAAAATAAATTATTTGATTCAAATGATTTAATTAATAAAAACTTTGAAAAAGGCAAATAGAAAATTTAATGTTTAAAAAAGGTGTGTCGAAAAGTCGTGTGGGTACTTTAATGAGAATAAATTTGTTTCTTTTCCTTTCTGCTTCATAAAGTCCGATTTATTCTGGTAAAGCTTGAAAAGTACCAACTATTGTACTAAATCTAGACATAGTCTTAAAAATGTTGACTTGCCTATCACATAAATTTCCAATTTTCCTTATTAATTTTGGCAAAATAAAGGATCTTCTTCCCTATAAAGATTCTCGAATAAAACGACAGACTTCCGAATGAAAAAAGAACCATAAACTTTTCTTCCATCCGATTTAAAACACTTATTGTTTACAGTTAAAAAATAAAAAAACAAACAGAAGCCATTCCACCAAGTATAGAACCAAAAATTCCTCCAATATCATACCAAATAGAAAGTTGATTTGCTTCTGCTTCATTCCATTGATATTTAAAAGTCAAATAAAACGGAAGCCAGAAAAAGAAGGCATAATTAACAAATTTAAGACAAGCATTACAAAGACAATACTTTAAAAAATATTTATTCTAAAAATAAACAAAATATAAACCGGAAGAACACTGGGAAGAAAAATTGCTTCGCACATTCTGATAGGTCTAGGTGTTGACGTTCTTGGACTAAAAAGGAAAAATGTTATGCGCATAAAAATTAAAAGAAATATAACTAACTAGAATTTATTATTTATTTTTCTTTATAGTTCAAGCCAGGCCCGTAGCCAGGGGGGGGTAGGGGGGGGGGGAATTCCCCCCCCCCCCCGAAATGGGAAAAAGGGAAAAATTTGGGGAAGGGCTGGGGCAAAAAAAGTGAATTTTTTTGACCTACGGCCTTCGAAATTTTCAGAATTTTCGGCTGCGGCGCTAAAAATGGAAGAAATCTGGCTTCTTGAGGTCCAAAATTCAAAAAATTTTTGCCTGCGGCGCTGAAAATCAAAATTTTGGCGCCTGCGGCGCCGAAAAAGTGAATTTTTTTGGCCTACAGCCTTCTAAAATTCTCAAAATTTTCGCCTGCGGCGCTGAAAATAAAAATTTTTGTCGCCTTCGGCGCCAAAAATTTGGCGCAAAAAATTTTTTCCCCCCTTGGCCCCCCCCCCGAAAAAAAATCCTGGCTACGGGCCTGGTTCAAGCAAATTAATAATAAAATAAAATACACCTAAATAGATGGTAAAACAAACCTCATAAGTTCAGCAGTTTCTTCATCAGATTCGACAGAATGTATTCCATTAGATATTACAGTCCTTCGCTCAGTTGGCATTTCAACAGTCAAAGGATTTTGTACCAATTGAGGTTTTGGCTTAACGAAAACTAACATCACAATTGCTCCAATTAAAATAATTAAAGAATTGAAGACAAATGTGGACTTAAAGAAAAAAAAAGTTTTAAAAAGAAATTTTTAAAAAACCTGATAACCCATTGGAAGGGTAAAAGAGGCAATAATTGCACCAACAATATTTCCAACTGGTTGACAGGCTGACCAAAGTCCCATAACTGCTCCCCTATTTGTTTGGGGAAACCAGTTTGCCTATAAAATTTGAATTTAATTCTTAAATTTAAAATTATTTAACCATAATTGTAACTTCATTAGGCCAACCACAAGCTTGAACTATACCAAATAATGACCAAGTAAAAAGGTACCAAGGCAGTGAATACCAAGCAAGCCAATAAGGAAGTGAACCAAAAGCAGTTAACTGAAAAAATTGAAGTAATTTATTTATAAAATATTTATACAAAAATTAAGTATAAACCGTCAATGCAGATCCAACCATTCCAAAAACAACAACACAAAGAGGATTCATTCGATCTCCTAGCCATCCCCAAAATACAAGCGAAATAGCATAGAAAAACATAAAGAGAGCATCAAGAGAACCAAGAAAATTCTGTGCGGAAGATAAATCATTAAAAAGTGGTTGATGGTGAGTAATCGTTGAATTTGCAATCCAATCCTCAGAAATTGAAGCTTTAACACCGCTTAAGGCTTTTCGAGAAGAATGATATAAAGCATAACTGGAAAATAATTAATGAAAAAATGGGGAAATTTTTAAAAGTAATTTTTTAAAGAAAAAACTATTGAATCACAACCACATAAAATGTAAAAGTCTAGGAATTATCAAAGTTAGATTTAAAAAACATTAAAAACTCAATACTTAAACCCAAAATTTGCAAGAAAAGATAATTGCTATCAAATTAAAAATTAAGTCGGTTAAACTGAAAAACCTTCAAATTGTTAAATAACCAAACCTGGAAAAAGTCAAAACAAAAACAATTAAATGATCCTTCCGCACATAAATCATTAGGTCTTCTGAAAAATTATATGTATGTGAAAGCTATTAATAAAATTTTAAATATGTAAATGTAATAATTCAAAAATAGAGAAAATTGTTGGAAATGCACAACAAATAAACGTGGATTTTATCTAAAAATGTTATTGATAAAGAAAAACGATCAATTGTAGATATTTAGTAAATACCGGTGATGAACTTGACGCATTTGAAAAAAGGCGAGGGATTTATAGGGATAACGGCGGATTTGTTTGTATCAGGCGATATAGAATTAATGAGGATATCGGTGACTTAAAGGGCATATCGAGGGATTAACAGATTTGGAAGGATTAAGGTGGATATCAGGACTCAACAGGGCGAACTCATCGTGTGGACTCAACTGTACTGCTTGGTTACCGTAGTTTTATTGGTTGAAATGTCAATTTCGAAATACACAAAATATTTTTTCTGAAAAACAAAATTTTGTAATTCGGAGTTTCTTATCCATTTAATTATTTTTAAGTTAGTTTAAATTTCTGAGATAAGTGTCCACTTATATTTATATATTTTTTCATTATAACACTTTTCAGCGACCTTATACTAACCCCTAATCTAGCTAACAAATATTGTTTTACCATAAAAATGTTGACTAACACAGAATATGCTCAAATGATGGAAAATTTGGTAATTTCGACAACAAGTTCACCACCTTCATTTCCGATTGACAATTTATTGCCGACTTGTGGTTTGGACAGCGGAACTATTCGAGTTTTGGACTTTTCTAGTCCGAATCGTTTTATGATGATTCGTGACGAAGAGATTATAAAACTTGCAAAAAATGGCATCAATACTAAGTTAATACAACATCAATTGCATCACCATGGTGAGCTACGACAACGTCTTTATGATTTGTTCACTGAACCAGCTAAGGGAAAGGAATATCTTTTGCGAATGGCTACTGACAATAATGGGAATTTCCTCATTCAAGTGAATTTTCGATAATTTTACAAATTTTACTTCAAATTTATAGGAACTTTTGGCAAGTGAAAACCGAACCTCAAGCCTGCTTATTCGTGGTCTCGAGGAGATTGCTTCGACTTTGGCATTAAATCGTTATGGTTGCCGAGTTCTACAAAAACTTGTTCAAACCTTGCCGCCACATTCTGTTGAAGATTTAATGAATGTTAGATTTGCTGGAATTGAATTTCAATTGATTACCGATCAAAACGGTCAGTTTGTTTTTTATTGCTTTAGACATTCTTGATGTGTCTTATAGGGTTATAAGTCCCAAAAATTTTCTTATGCTTTAAAAATTCAGGTAATCATATCGTTCAATATATTGTTAACAATCTCGAACCACAAGTCTACCAAAAATTCATTGAATCTTTAAATAAGTCTGTTGGTCTTAAACAAGTTGTTGAGAACAAATATGGTTGTCGTGTGTTGCAATGCGCGCTAGAAAAGGTTATTCTGATTTGCCATCAAAACAATGGACAGCAACGGGATGCTACCACCAAGAGGTTTAATTTCAAGAGTTTTCAAAAATCATCTTTAATTTTCGGTGAGAAGGCTTTTCGAAAGCATTGATTTAACAATAAGACTAATTTCATTTAGAAACGTGTTTCTAGATATCAGGAACAATTAGCTTTCGTATACTCAATGGGAAAATTTACCCTTTGGCTAATAGTTGGGAATTGTTATAAGCTCATTCAGAAATTTTATGTTAGCATTTTTCCACTTCTGATTTTACAGTATTTTGGGGAAATAATTAGTTTTTTTTCGTTTTTAGTGCTGCTTATGAAATACTTCATTTAATGATTTCGACTGTTTTGCAACATGCTCGCTCATTGGCTGAACAAGAATTTGGAAATTATATTGTCCAGGCTATTCTTAAAGATGACTTTTTGGCGAGACAGCGCTCTTATATAATCAAACACCATTTTATGTAAAATAATTTGATTAAAGAATTCTTTTAAAAAAATTTAGGTCTAATATTTTGGAACTGTCACAAGGAAAGTACTCTTCTCATGTTATTGAGGTAGCTATTTCACATGCAGATGAAAAGTCTCTTGAGGCTATATTTTTTGAAGTGTTTGGAAGCTATGACACTGACAAGTTTGATTATTTTTTTAAATTGATATATTTAAAATTTTTAGACGCGGTCAAAATGCTCTTCATATTATGCTTTTCCATCAGGTACAGATATTTTAAATAAATTCTCAGTTTTTATTTAGTATGGAAATTATGTCGTTCAACGAATGCTTGAAGTAGCGATTCAAGTACGGTTGGGACAACGCCGTGGAAATCAGCAATGGTTTGACAAAATTGTGACTTATGCTTACAGTGTTGGTCGACAGCTTTCACGTTATTGTGAGTAATTGCGAAGAAAAATTTCTAAATTGGAAATAGTCTTCCCCCCTTTTTATTAAATACCTTTAGGAGTATTCTTATTCCCTTTCTAAAAAAACGAGACTATATTATCACAAGTCTTTTAATAAATTATTTTTAAGCATCTGGCAAGAAGGTTCTTGAAACAATCAAAATGACTCTGGCACATTTGGCGCCTCCTCTTTTGCAAGTTCAAATGCCGCAACCATTACCTCAATACTAAATATAATTAATATAGAGAATATTTCTTTACCAATTTTCATTTTTTAAATTATGAATTCCTGCCTATTAACCTAAAAGAAATACAATATACTATTTTTGATGTTATATATCCACACGGGGCAAAAAATATTTAGATTAATTTTATATTAAAATTTTTTGCCCCATTTTGTTATTATTGCTTGTTATTCTCTCAGACAATATGCTCAATGAACATATTAAAATTGTTTTAGTTATTATAAAATTAATTATACCCTGTACTTTTTGATCTTTATTGATGGTATTACAAGGTTTTATCGGTAATACTTTGGATGAGACCCCCCACCCCATCTTTCTCCGGTTTCCTTGTCCACTTTGACCTTACTATATGCTTGAGTTAAATATTATTTGAAAGGGCACTTCAAGCTGGGTCGAATGATACCAAGATCGGCTGGATTTGGTGATCCTGAACAAAATTAAGGATGTAAAGAGAAAAAAAGGGGGGAGGGTATCTCATCCAAAGCATTACCGCTTTATCATTTGTTTTTTACAATTCAAAATATTTAAAATCAAAATAAATCAACAAATTATTTTATATATTTTTCCATGAATTTTCTATGAAATTCAGAACGTATAGCATCATTAATAAAAGATGGAGTCTTTTTACGTTCATCAATTCCACGTGCACAATTTTTGAAGACGACATCATCATCCCACCGACGTTTAACTTTAAAGTCAGTATTTTGAGTTAAAAGAGGATTTCCATGTAAAATGTTTTCTTGACGAATTTTCTCCTGAAAAAAGTAATTTCTAACGATTGAGCATTGCTTGGATACACTTTTAAAACCTTAAATAGCTTGGTTGGGTTTTCTTAGTTACGAGTCGTCCCGAGATTAGTGAATTAAATTAAAAGTGAAAGCCTAGGATTGCCTTAATCTCAAACACATTAAAATTGTTTTATCATCTCTAGATTCTCCTGGAGTTCACGTAAATAACACTTGCGTGTCAGCCCAAAAAATCGTTAGGGGTAATGCCCAAACGTTAAAAATATCAGAAAAGTTGAATAATATTATTGATTTATATATACCTGTTCTTCTGCTTCTTTAGATTCTCTTGCAGCTTTCTCAGCAGCCCTCTCCTTTCTAATTCTTTCTAACTCAGCCATTAATTCAGCTTCATCATCAGAATCATCATCTAAATCACTATCTTCTAAAACATCATCCTGTGGGAAATCTGCATCCAAATTTTGAGGATCATCTAATCTTAATTACAAAAGTATTAAAAAAAATTTTTTTCAAAATTAAACTTTGGTCGTTTCGAAATACTGCTAGATCCTGAAGTAGTTCTAGATTCACGGGAATGACGATCTTTTGAAGTTAATTGCTCTTTTTCTTCAACATCACGACGAAGATCCTAAATATTTGAAATGGATGGAAACTAAGTAATTCCTTAAAAAACCTTTGTATTAATTTCATCAGGATGTGCTTGGCCTTTTTGGCGATATTTTAAAGTCATATGAGACGGCATATCTCTACTAGAATATTGCTGAGATAATTTTGCCAAATCCCCTTCATTTCTTCCTGTGCCACCTTTTGCGGGATCGAAAGTTGGACGGTGAGCAGTTGTCATGTTTTAATTAAATTTTTTTTTCTAAAATACAAAATAAATTTAAAATAAAAATCAAAAATAAAGAAAAAATTGTATTAATTTGTAAATTGTAAAAAAATTAGTAAAAAGTTGTCATCTTGCCAAAATGAGCATTTCGCCACTCTAGCAAATAAAACCAAAGTAAGCGAGAAGTATCCAAAAATCTATGAGTTTATTAATTTAAAGGGATGTAGTTCTAGGACAGACTCTAAAAGGTTATTTGTTAGAAGAGCTTCGTTAAATCTAATATCTTTACCTCAATTTTTTCTCATGAATGCATGAGCATACTTTTACCTTCACACTTAATTTTACCTGTTATTCTTTACATATGTTTTTAATTTTTTTGATATACGTATTTTCTCCCCCTTTTTTTATCCTATCACTATAGAGTATATATTGATGAAGGATTTAATGCTTTCAATTATCCTCTCTTCCTTTTCATCACTTCTTTTTTTCATACAAACATACACTTTATATTAATAGTGATATATAAAGGTATTATGTAAAAGGGTACATGTATGCAGATAAGTAGAAGAAGAAAAAGAGAAAACTAACAAGAAAGACGTGCATCAAGAAGATTTTAACTAGGGAAAATTTTGGGTGCTGATTATGAATTTAAGGTGGCTATCATGCCATTATTTTAACTAGCAATATGCCGATCTTTATTTAAAATTTAAAAAAATTAGAAAAATTTATTCTTGGGAGATATTTACAAATCATCTAACTTAATATTTTCTGTTTTATTTAATTTTCACGTTTAGCTAAGGCACGATAGTTTAAATCTGCAAAAAATATTATTTTCTATTTTATCTATTTCAAATGTCTACAACGGCAGGAGGGGATGGTAAACCAACTACTCACACAATTCCACCACCTAAAACATCTGGAGCAGCAACTGGCGGGCAACAATTAAGCGCATCTGCAAATCAATTTGTGGATAAGATTGACCCTTTTTCTAAGCGTGGAAATTCGAGACGTAGAAGGAGACTTGTTGGAAGCAGTCGGTATCATACTGACAATGAACCTGATTTGGTCCAGCTTCCGTTGATTAAAGGTTCTACTGAACTTTGGAAAAATTAACTTTTAATTCTTTAGATGCATCGCAAGCAGAACAAACAAATTTGGCGATTCAAAAGCTTCAACAATGTCAGAAGATTTTTGATTTTTATGATCCTGTTTCACAGCTAAAGAGCAAAGAGGTAATTTTCTTATGGGTAAAATGATAATTATGGGCACTCTTTTCAAATTTATGGGTTTATTTTTCCTTTATGATAAAGTATCATTGTTTGGGATCCTTTCCTTTTACTCTTCCTTAGTCTAGTACCTGATGACATTAACCATTTTGTTATGCTAGTTTCCTTCCAATTAAAATTTTTAAAATTTAGATTAAACGAGCTGCTCTAAACGAATTAATTGACTATACAACTGCCACTAAAAATGCTGTTTGTGAGCCGCTTTATCCTGAGATTATTCGGATGGTTTCAAGAAATATCTTTCGTGTTCTGCCACCTAGTGACAATTCAGAATTTGATCCAGAAGAGGATGAACCCACTTTAGAAGTTTCTTGGCCGCATCTTCAGGTATTTTATATATTTTTTCTATTATTTTTATCATGTCTTTGGACATCTTATCAACAAAATGTAAAATTTCTTTATTAAAAATAGCTTGTCTACGAACTATTTTTGCGATTTCTCGAGTCTCCTGATTTTCAAGCAACACTTGGTAAAAAATATATCGACCAGCGTTTTGTGCTTCAACTTCTTGAACTTTTTGATTCTGAGGATCCTCGTGAGCGTGACTTTCTCAAAACAATTTTACATCGTATTTATGGGAAATTTCTTGGACTTCGTGCTTTTATTCGAAAACAAATCAATTATATGTTTTTGTCTTTCGTGTTTGAAACAGAATCGTTTAACGGTGTTAGTGAGATGCTGGAAATTCTTGGGAGGTTTAAAAAAATTTTTTTTTGAATTTTTAAATAATTTTTTAGTATTATTAATGGATTTGCTTTACCGCTAAAGCAGGAACACAAAATATTTTTGGTCAAAGTTTTACTTCCATTACATAAGCCTCGGTGTTTGAGTCTGTATCATGCACAGGTTTTTTATAAAAAGAATTTTTAAAATTATTTTTAGTTGGCTTATTGTGTTGTGCAATTTATAGAAAAAGATTCTACTTTAACTCCTCAAGTGTTCGACGCATTGCTCAAATTCTGGCCTAAAACATGTAGTTCTAAAGAGGTTTTTAATTAATTATTAGGGGCTATTTAATTAGCGCCTACATTTTCTTCGATGTTGTCCTTTTAGATTTAGCCATTTCGGAGCCAATTTTTGATATTTGCGTGTAAATTTTAAGAATTTATTTTTAGCTCCTGTCTACACAAATTCGGTTAAATAACTTTCTAAATGCTGTCGCTTTCCCCTTTTTGTTTTTCCACTTACCCATACTCACAAGCACTGCTTTCTAAAATCCTTAATCATTATGTGTCACCTTTTGTAATTCTGACATGAATAAGAAGTAGGAAAAGAAATTGTGGGCGGTAATCATAGCCATATTACCAAATATTTTAAAGGTTATGTTTCTTGGAGAGGTTGAAGAAATTTTGGACATTATAGAGCCTGAACAATTTAAGAAAATTATCGACCCGCTTTTTAGACAACTGGCTAAATGCGTATCAAGTCCTCATTTTCAGGTTTGAAAGTCTTAAGGTTGTTTAAAGTATTTTTTAGGTTGCCGAAAGAGCGCTTTACTTTTGGAATAATGAATATATTCTCTCATTAATTGAAGATTGTAGTATTCATGTCATGCCAATCATGTTCCCTGCACTTTATCGTATTAGTAAGGAACATTGGAATCAAACAATTGTAGCTCTAGTATATAATGTTCTTAAAACATTTATGGAAATGAATGGAAAATTATTTGATGAACTTACGGCTAATTACAAACTTGAAAGACAAAAGTATTTTTTAGTAGTTAAAATTTATTCTTTTTTTTAATTTTTAGAGAAAAGAAACGTGAAAAAGATCGTGAAGAACTTTGGAAGCGAATGGATTCAATGGACATAAATTCAATATTGGCTCAAATTGAACAAGGAAAGAATGTTCCAGAGCCAAAAATTCTCGAGAAAACGTCTTTGACACTTTTTATTGAAAAAGCTCCAAATTCAATTGTTCCTCCGCCGCCTGCTGCTGGGGGGAATGGTCAAGAGGCTAAAAGTGGACAACAGGTGAGCGGAACAAGAGAGAATCGAACATCACAGTCACAAAATCCAGAAGGAGGGAACGAAACGGTAGTTGCTTCAACAGGCGAAAATTTGGCTGCAAATTCACAAACAGTTTCTAGTGGAAAGAAGTCTTGATTCAAAGTTTGGAATTGTCAATAATTTGAATCTAACAAAAAATTTTAGCAACAAGAGTAAAAAAAGACTTAAAATTTTTCCTGCTTTGGATCAGCTTGTTTTCATTTCAATGGGTGAGGGGCAAAACACAGTCCGGATTTTAGAATAAAACATACCTTCCACATAGTTATTCTTTGTTAGTCCCCCCAAATATCCCTAAAATTTTTATTTTAAAATTTATTTTGTAACTAAAACGGACATGTTTTGTCTCGACACGCCTTTCAATAGTGTGTAATCAATATATAAAATTAATTAGGGATTGGACGAAAAAATATCTTAAAGTTTAATTTGTTCATTTTTATATTAACGAGTACTTCAATCCTTAGGTAAAATAAATTCCTTCTTCCTGCCGCTGCTCCTCTTTTTTTATTTTTTTCTACCCAGCCTGCCAGGCCAGCACATATTAAGAATATTTAACAATATAATATTACCAACCCTCTTAAATATTTTGTTCTGCTGTTCCTGTGCCCCTCCCTCACCTTACCAAATATATAATAGGAATGATAATGTTCTCTCTCTCTTTGATTTCCCGAAGACTTGAAATATATTTTTGTTTTTTACTGCATGTCCACCACAAACTCATTACTCCAGACTTTGTCAAATATTGTCTAAATAAATTTTTTAAATATTGATTTTATTGTTTTGTTAATTTTTAAGTAAGGGAAATCTCATTTATAAAAAGGGATAGGAATCTTAGATTTTAAAGTGTACGAAACCAAAATAGTGCCCTTTAGAGGGGGGGTTGAAAAATACCGGCAGTACTATTTGAGGAAAGAGGCTATCAAGCCTTACACGACAGCGAATATCTTCTCCAAAAAGGAAAATACAGTTTTATCAATTTTAAAAGGAAAGTGTTTTTTTAATTTTGCCAGATTCTAATTGATATAATAATAATCTTTATTCAACACTTGGAATATAAGGAATTTACTAATTTAATATATTCGAAGTATTTTTTTTATTTTTACTTGAAATACAATTAGATACAAATTTGTAGAAAAATCAAACCAGTGTTAAAAAGAAAAAAATGTTTAAAAGTTCAGTGAAAACGCCCCCATAATTAAATTTAAAACCCTCTATAAATGACAATGAACTTCAAAACTTAAAAGAGATAAAATAAAAATTATGTTTCCTTTTCCCCCTCTTCCTTAACATTATTAATACCAATACTGGCTGGTTGTTGGCCTGTATTGATAATTGGTTCAGTATTGGTAATACTCTTATTAATAGAAGTATTACTATTTAGTAAAACAACATCATCGTCATCATCTAATATACTATCGTCATAATCTTGTTTAATTTGGGATGATGGATGCTTCTTGTTTGCAGCAATTTTCTCCAAGTGTTCAATTTTCTTTGAGAAATTTTCGACCTCGGAGTTGTGAAATTTTCTTATTGAATCAAGTAAAAGTCGAAGATCAGTCTGAAAAAGAAAAATATTTAAAATAAGGAAATTAAATATGTTAAAAAGAGGAAATCTGAAAACAAAAGGATCCGATTAGAGGGGAATTCGGGACAATTCCTTCTCCCGACTAAATAGGAAAAAGTGTCCCCCTATTTGATCTAAATTAATTATTCCCCCCATTACTTCAATTCATTATATGCTCTTATTAAATTATACAAAACAATTTTAAAAAAAGTTAAGATAAAATTAAAAATAAGTAAAACAAAAGGAAGATTTCTTTTAAAAAAGCGAAAAATACTCTTGGGAATTAAAAAAATATTTTAAAGAAATACAGACAATCTGCTTGAAAAAAGCGTCTCAAACATTAAAATATTTTTACGTTTTTATTTCCAAGTTTATTTTTCCCGTTTTTTAATATGTTGTTCTCTCAACTAAACAAACAATTATTTACACAAAGATTAGTCAGCAAAAAAAGAAATTTTTGGAGAGAAAATAGGCCCTTTTTTAAACAAAACGTATTTTTTAAATACAAAACTTGATTTGTTTGATTTTTATATGGCAATATTGTAGGTATTTTTATGACAATAAATAAAAATAATCAAATATATTCTCTCTTCCCTCTTACATTTACAAACCTCAAAAATTATTTTTTTTAAATAAAAATATTTTCTTTAAAAAATGCAAAATAATAACAAAATAATTATTGCTATTTTAATTTTATTTTCATTAAATTATGTAAATTCACAACAAGCTTATTGTTGGGATTTAAATCCTTGTATTGAATTTAATTGCCCGCAAATTGGACCGAGGTACTTAAAAATTAGAATTATTTTGTGTTTATTTAAAATATATAGATTATGTCCACCCGAAAATGTGTTAATTTATTATGATTGTTGCCCAACTGATGGATGTTGCCCATTCATTAAATGGCCAAATTTGTATGTTTAATTAAAATCTTGTTAAAGTGACCGTTCCTAAACATTAAAAACGGGGCTTATTGTTAGCATTTGGGGATTCTTCTAAAATCTCAAAAATATAAAAAAGGGGGGCAAAAAGTCGAAAATAAATTACTAAAATAGTCATCTTTTAACACTCAATTATTCAAATAATAAAAACATTTTCACAACAATTAATTATTTTTTAATTTAAAAAACCAGATTATTTCTAATTTTTATAATTATTCTCTTAATTGCTGGATGTATTTGTTGTGGATTCTTTTTATTAACCGATGCCAGACAAAAAGTATTTCACAGAAAACAAAGAGAAGAAATAAATAATCAAAGAATTAAAAGAGAAACAGGAAAATATATTAATGGATTTAATCACAAAAATCATTCAACAACTATTGTTTAAATATTTAAATTAAGATTTTAATTTTTTACAGGAAATTTTAAAAATATTTATTTTTTCCAAGATTGGGGGGAGGGAGGAGTAGAGGAGTGTAGATATTGATAGTACATACATATTAATATATTTTAATTCATAAATAGATGAATAAAAATTAATAGGAAAAGGAAATTTTTTAGTACAAATATTGCCCCGGTTTTCGAAAAAGAATAAAAATTGTAAAAAAAACTTACAGAATGTCTATCCACGTTATCCTTTTCTGCTTTCGAAATCCCCATAACCATTGGTTGTTGTTGCTGTTGTTGTCTAATTTTTGCTATTTCCGTTTCGTGTTTTGCCCGAATGTCAGCAATTATTTTTTGCCAATTTTCAGCATTTTGTTTTTGCCTTTCTTCCATTTCTGTTTTTTCTTTAATCCAAATACGCTCCCTCATTTCAAACATATTAATTCTTGTTGCATAATTTCTATAAAAAATTAATTTTATTTAAATAAAATATTTCAAAAAGATATTTTACCCCTAAAATTTATTTTCCTTTTAATTAGTCCAAAAAAATCATTTTAAAAAACATTTTACAGTAAATATAATTTAATGTAAAATTTCACATTTTCCCCTAAAAATTAAACAAAAAACCTATTCTTTTCATTTATTGCATCAAAATTTGCCTCCATTTCTTCATAACGAGGTTTAATTCGTTTTAATTCATCTTCATAAATTGTAGCTCTTAAAAAATTAGAAAAATTTTAATTTTATTTAAAAAATCAAAAAAAAACTTTTCTCGAAATTCTTTGGATCCATCAAGTAAATCAACACATTTTTTAGAAAGTGTAGAATTCCTTTCATTTAAAAAAGTCACTTGTTCACTTAACATTCTCGAATTATTTTCTGAAGCATCCAATTTTGTTTTTAATTCATCTCTTTCAGAAACTAGAGCAACTTTTTCTTGTTGAAGTGTTTCTACTCCAATTTCTAATGTTTTCATTACCTAAAAGAAAAATAAAAGTTAAAATTTGAAAACAATCAGAAATTCAAGGTAATGATAAATCTGACAAACACGGCAACAGATTTAATAAAAAGGCTTAAAAACAGAGATTTACATCTCCGTGGGCCCCTATCCTAAATTTATGTTTCTAATAAAAATGTCAGATAGAAAAATCAAGCAAAATTACCCCCCCCCCTCCCTCTGCCCAACAAACCTCAACAATTTCAGCATTCCTTTTAACGACAGCATTATATTCCCTTTGTAACGTCAAAAGTCTACTTTCCGCATAAGATTTAGCAGTATTTGTGTTTGAAAGTTCAGTCTCCAAACGAATTACTTGAGATTGAGCAGCAGCAAGTTGTAAACTTAAAGACTCATTTCGAGATTCAAAACCCAACGAAGATGAAGAATTTGGTTTTTGGGTAGAAGTAGAATTGCTTCCTCCATGTAAATAATTTAAATTTGTTGAATGTCTAAAAAAGAAAAAAAAAGTAATTTTTCTTCATTTCCATTTATTTTATTCTAATTAAGGCAAGGGCAAAAAGGAACACTCGGTTATATCAAAAAAAAATCAAAAATTTAACGATGACTGACTCACATGACAAATTGAAAACTTCAAGTTATTCGTATTTTGTCGCCTTGTTTATATTCACAAGAAAACAAATATTTTTTTGAAATTTCTGACATTTACTTTAGCTAATCGAAATAGAGGAAAGAAAAAATTAGGGGCTGAACGATACTTGCCAAAAATTTTATTAAAATTTATTTATATAAAAATTACCTTGATTCTTCTTTTCCGTCTTTTTTACTACTTTTGTGGTATTTTGAAGGAATTGGAATTTTTCTTACATCATCATATCTTCTCCCATTACTAATTGATGAAGACCCTTGATAGCTCATTTAATTAAAAGAAAGATTTAAATTTAAATGTAAAATCTGAAAAATAAAAAATCAAAAGAAATGAAATCAAAGATTTAAATAAAATTTGGCGTCGGCGAGACTTTTGTGTAAGATCACGCCGAACCGCGCCACGCCGAATTGATGGCGCCCAAACGTGGCGCACCCTTTTGTGGTGCTCCTCAGAAAAAAGATTTTCCGAGTCCGAAACGTTAAGATTTTTAACCTACTTTATTAAATAAATGTGTCAATATATTTTTTCTTTTTCAGTCAATATTCGAACAAATTATGGGTAGCAATTCGAATTATACGCCGCTTGGACAAATTAGAAGATGGCCAAAAAACGAAGAGGAGACTTTAGGTCAACAAAGTACTTCTGCTGGATTGTTAGCCCCAATTCCTGGAGAACAAATTGGTTTTTGTTTTATTTTTATTTTACTCAAAATCTTTTTTTTAAAGGTATTCAAGGAGAGATTTTGGTCCGTGCTCAATTAGCTACGGGTGCCTGTACAAAATGTGGGTATGTTGGCCATTTGCCTTTTCAATGCCGTAATTTTATCCAAATAAAGCCAAACCAAAAGACGGAAATTGATATTTCTTCAACAAGTTCAGAGGAATACACAACACCTTTGAAATCAAAAGAAGGTATATTTTTTAAAAGAAATTATTTTGGACATTTTTAAAATTTAAGACAAGAAAAAGCTCAAAAAAATGAAAAAACGTCAAAAGAAGGAAATGAAAAAATTAGAGAAGAAAATTAAAAAAGAAAATAAAAAGAAATATAGAAAGAGGAAACATTCCTCCTCTTCTTCTTCAGATACTAGCAGTAATTCAACAAGTTCAGAAAAAAGTAGAAAGAGACACAAGAAAAAATCAAAGAAAAAGAAATATTTGTAAAAGTTTGTTTAAATTTATTTTTTTATAAAGAAAATTTTTGGAAGATTTTCAGAAAATTAGATAATAAATCTAATAAAAGATTTGAGTTTAGCATATTTGGAAGACTAGAAAAGACCTATGTATAATTTATTTACAAAAAGTTTAAATAATTTTTTTGAAATATTTAAATGTTTGTTAAATAATAGTAAGAAATTACTAATTTAAAATAAAAACTTCACAAAAATTTAATAAAATGGCAATATTTATTTGAATAACAATCATAACAAATTAAACCGAAAGAATCACCAAAGAAATTTTTTTCAATTTATTCAAAACAATCAACTCTTTAACGACTAAACAAAATATTTTGGTCAAAACTACTTCGAGCAGAAACTCCTCGGCCGCGTCCCTACAAAAAAATTAAAATTTATTTTGATTTTTATAACTTCGCATCCTTCCCCCTCAAAAGTTAAATAATAACCGACTTTTTCCTTCCTAAATCTTACTCCATTCCCTAGGACATCCTCAAATAAGGATGTTATTCATTCAGAAACCCTTTTTTAAACATGAAAATTCGAATCATAAAATTCAAAATTACATAAATTTCTGGCAGAAATTTTTGGAATTATTCTCTTTAATATTAATTTCAATTAAAACAAATTTACCGAATTTCCCCGTCCTCTACCATTTGAAGAATTAGAAACAAGCCCACTCAACAAATTACTTCCACTTGTACTTGATGAAGTTGAAGGCTGCTGACTTTGTTCTTCCATTAATCTTTTACTTCGAGAAACATAAACTTTTTTACCCCTTCCAACAGCATATTTTGAACTTTTAAGTCTTTCTCTCTAAAAATTTAATGCTTTTTTTAAATTAATTTTTTAAAAAGTTTTAACCTCTTCTTCTAATTTTTCCCATTCATCTTCAATTCCAAATCGTTTTTTGTAGCGTTTAGCAAGAATTCTATCGGCATTTGGGCATTCACTGCTGCTGGTATTATTTCTCATACGGATCTTTCTGAATTTTTTTAGATAAACATTTATTTGTATGTAAAACCGAATTTCGAGCCACCCCCTCCCCAATTCTATTTTTCTCAAAATGTGCACAATGGATAGACTTCCCCAATTCAACTAATTGATTTCCCTTTGGCATATTCAAAATTGTTTTTTTTACAATTTTTGGAATCATGTTTCTCTTTAATATACTTATGAGCGTAATTCTTTTGTCAGCTTCAGATAACGACGCTGGAGGTTAACTCCCTTTCGGTCGAATGACCCTGGGGGTCAACTCCAAATATTTGGACAGAAAGTACTTGGAGTTGAAAATCAAGGTAAAACTCTCCGAATATTTGGAATTGACTCCAGGGTCAGTTGAACACTTGGGAGTTGATCTCTAATAAGGGTGGAGCCATTTAATCCCGCATTCCCAGAACTGTCAATTTAAAATTTAAACAAAAAATACCTATTTCTCTCCAATTCCAAAAAAGATGCCGCTTGCTCCCGATGAATTGCAGTTCTTTTGTCAGCCTCAGATAGCGGATAATGGTAGGTTGTTACACCATCCGAATTGTCAATTTCAATAAATTCTTTCATGTGTTCTGAGCGTAAAAACTCTTGAAAAGAATTGAATCCAAACTTCTGAGCTAATTTGAAAGGATCGATGCCGCTGTCTTCACTGAAAATTAAAAAACATTTTAGAATCTTATATGTCAGAATCTTCACCCCCGCCCCCGCCCCAATTAAATCTCTCAAATGCCAGTCATTTGAAAACTTACAAAATATGCAGTCCCAAATCCCAATCTCGTATATACCCAATTTCATTTGCCTTCAACGTCTTAAAAATCTTTTGACAAAAATCTTTTATTTCTCCACCAATATCCACATGTTGTTCACTACTTCCACCAGAACTTAAAGTAAAGTTTTGCAAATTAAACAAAGTTTGCTCCTCAACCATTTCTTTTTAATAACTAAATAAAATTTAAAATTTCTACAGAAATAGTATTCCCCAATCAAAAATACACATAACAAAACATTAAAATAATTTTGAGATAAAACACAAAATAATCTCTTTCTCATCCAAATTTAAATGTAAAAAATTAGAAAATTAATGTACATCCCGTTTTGTCGCAAAGGCCTGAATGTATTACTGTAGTACTGTATATCAACCAGATTTACTATACTAAAACCGCTTTTTATTAATGAACAATGAGTTTGTCGTTTATGTCTCCTCTACAACGAGCTGTTGAAACAATAATTACTCCAGGGTAATTATTCGACATATACATATTTGTTATCTTTTTAATAGTTTATTTATTTCTTATCTTATCTTTCTCCATTTTTCTTTCAAATTAGAAAAAAATATCTTATTCATTAAATAATAAAGAGACAATAATTATTTTCCTCATACATATTTATATTTTTTGGAATTTTCTTTTAATTTTTACATTAATTTAAATATTAAATTTTATACATATAGTACGTACATATTTTTTACAAAATTTAATGTTTAATTTTTTTTAAAGTTTTTTCCTTCAAACAACAAAATCTTTTAATTTTTATTTAATTAATACAATAAAAATTGTTTAAATAACTCAAGTGAGTTTTAGATATTAAAAAAAAAGAAAATGAAATTAATTAATTATTTAATTCTAATTTTTATATTAAATAATTTTGTTGTTTTGTCTAATAAAGAAAAAATATTTTTAATAAAAGAATTGCCAGAAGAGAGTTTAACAACTGTAAGAAAATTTATACTTTTTTATTAAATAATTAAATAAATTAGCCAGAAATAATTGAATATTATGGATATAAATGTGAAATACACAAAGTTTTAACTGAAGACGAGTATATTTTAGAAATGCACAGAATTCCTTTTGGAAGGAATTTTAATGAAATAAATAACAAACCAGTTATTTTTCTTCAACATGGATTATTGGCATCTAGTGCTGATTGGGCAAGTTTACTTTAAATCCTCTCCTCCCGTTTACACTATAAAGATCTAAATATTCTCTAAGCTCAGTTCCCTCATACCTTCTCGTTAACCAACTTCTACTACCCACCTCCTTCAAAAACCCTTCAGATATTTTTTCCCATTTCCCCCTATATTTCCACAAAGTAAACAATTCTTATCAGCATTCTTTTAACAACGCCCCTCACAGATAACTAATTTGCCCTATCAATCATTGGGATTTTTGTTAGCAGATGCTGGCTTTGATGTCTGGCTGGGAAATGTTCGTGGCAATTTTTATTCATCAAAACATAAAAAATATACACGAAAAGACCCTCAATATTGGAATTTTAGGTAATTAATTAATTAAAAATTCTTTCAATAAATAAATATTTAGTTGGGACGAAATGTCATCTAAAGATTTGCCAGCAATGATAGATAAAGCTTTAAAAGTTAGTGGACAATCAAAATTATATTATGTTGGACATAGTCAAGGAACAGAAATTATGTTTGCTCAATTATCTAATGGAAATCCAAATTTTTCAAAAAAGGCAAAGATTTATTCCTCTTTTTCCTTTTATTCTCCTTTTTAGATAATCAAATTTTTTGCATTAGCACCTGTTGCTTCTGTCAAACACATTAAGGGGTTATTTGCAATAATTGGTAAATTATTTGGTAAACATTTGGGAATTCTTAGTTGGCTATTTGGTTCACATGAATTTCTTCCACATAATTGGGCAACACAATTATTTGCAAAAATGATCTGTGGACAAAGCTGGGAAAACCCATTTTGTGATAATATTCTTTTTCTTATTGGTGGACCTGAAACTTCTCAATTTAATAGTGTAATTTGATTGAAGATTTTTTACAGATTAAGCCAAAAAAATTGAACATTTAAGTTGAAAATTAGAAATTTCGATTTTTCTCATAATTAGAAAATACCGTTATTTTTTCAAACCTCATGGGATCCATTTAAAAAATCTTAAATTTTTATTATATGTATTCTGAGTCAAGGACATATAAATTCAGATTTTTAGCTTTAAATTCTAGGTTTTATTGTTTTATTTGAAAATAAATTTAAATATTACAAACACTTTTAGAGTCGTTTAATGGTTTATATGGCACACGAACCCGCAGGAACTTCAACAAAAAATATTATCCACTGGGTAAAATTAATAATATAAATTTTCTAATAAATTTTTAATTTTCTAGTCACAAATGCAACAATCTGGTTTTGTTCAAAAATTTAATTATGGAACGGCAAAAGCTAATTATTTACATTATGGACAAGTAAAAAGGGAGAGAGAGAATATTTAATTAAAAATATATTTATTATTTAGAATACCCCACCAATCTACAATTTAACTAAAATATCGAATGTCCCAATTTATTTATATTATAGTGATTCTGATTGGTTAGCTACTAAAAAGGATGTTGAGGTAAATTGAGATCAATTAAAAAAAATATTTTTTTTCTAAAAAGGAAACAATTCTTCAACAAATTCCATCAAAATATATTAAAATTGCAAAGAATTTACCCAATTTTAATCATTTTGATTTTATTTGGGGTATTAATGCACATAAAATAATTTATGATGAAATTATAAAAGAAGCCTTAAAGGACTAATTAATTGTATATTTTTGGGATGTAAATACTGAATGAGACCAATTTTAGTTATTTTATACAGTCAGACCTCTTTTTAACGTTAATTAAATACCAAATACACTCTTTTTACAAGTGAGGTCCGACTGTAGACTTTAAATTTTTAAACTATCAATCTTTAGGAAATTATTATTATCTCAAATAATCCCTTACATTTTAAAGTAATGTCCTTGCATAATTGTTTACTGAGAATTTTCATTTTTTAAAATAAATAAAATTAAAAGAAATTAGTTTATTATGTATTTTAAAAGATTATTATTTTGTAATTAAAAACAGTTTTTTAAATATATTATTTAATTTATTTTATTATTATCAAAATCAACACTTTCCTCGATACTTTCTTCAAACCAACGCATAATATTAATAGCAAAATCAGCTCCAACCTCTACTTCTTCCAATGGATGATTTGAATTTGGATAAGAGAGTACTCTAAAAATATTTTTAAGAAAAAATTAAATGAAATAAATTTTATGGATTTTCTTTTTACAATAAATTGTACATTTAAAGGCAATTAAAAAAGAAATAAATGTTATATATAAACTGAACCCCTAAATAGAGCTTATTTGGATTTAATATTAACTGATTTAATATTAACACTTACTTGCATTTAACTTTATTTGCTTGTAAACAACGAATAAAAATTTTATAATGTGGTGCAACACGTAAATCCTTTTCCCCAATAAGTAACAAATAAGGCGTTTTTATATTATGAACATGTGCAATTGGAGAACTATTAAACATTGAATTTCTTTGTTCTTCAGTGAGTGGAGATTTGTAATTATTTGGAAAAACTCCAGTGCTTTCATAAATTGTCCTAAAAAATATTTTTATAAAATAACATTCAAAAACAAACCAATCAGTAATATCTGTTAAACTATGCATTGACAAAATATCAAGTACTGGATTGAGTGCAACACATGCACGGTAGAAATTCTTAAATATTAAATAATATCATAGGAGTTTGTTTTAAATATCCCTTGAGATTGGGGTATTGAATTTGGATAAGAAAGTAAACATGTGCAATTGGAGATGCACGCTAGAAAAAAAACTATGCATTGTCAAAATTTTATAGATGAATTTATTAAATCAAGTAAATTTAAAAAGAAAAAATCTAACCGGATATTGCCCAATCAAATGTGAAACTAAAAACCCTCCATGTGAACCACCAAAAAGCATAACTCGATTTCGATCAAAATTTGGAGAAGAATCTAATGTTGCACAAGTCGCATGCTTTAAAATAAATTTAAATATTTTTAATTTTACAAAAAAATACATAAACATCCTTCACATCCAAATCACCACAATGTCCAGGCAAGGAACGTACAAAACTATCTCCATAACCAAGTGAACCATGATATTGAACAAAGAGTATTGCATATCCATTTTGTAGCATAAGTAAAACTTCTCTACGAGGCCAACTATTTAAATTAAAAAAAACATAGAAATTTTATAAAATAGTAGAATATAAGTATTTTTACCTACAAAGCGAAGAATTATGAGGACCTCCATGTGGAAGAACAACTAATCCAATTTTTTGGTTGTTTTCAGTGGATGGCTGAATTAAAATTCCTTCATATGGACGATTCTCTAAAAAATAGTAAAAAATTAGAATTAAAAGTTTCTAAAAAATTTATATTACCTTCTCGCATAAATTTTACAATACGCCAATCCCAATTAATTTTAATTAAATCATCAGGAATTTGTTTTGATTGAAGAGGAATTATGTCATTTAAATAAATACTGTCGTCACCTTTATTTTCAAAATGTGAAAGGTAAAGTGAAGGGGGAGAATTTGGAGAATCATTAGAAAAAAGAAGAAAATCATCAAATACATCCAAAAGTTTATAAGAGCCTTTAGATGGTAATTTAAGTTGCACAAGTTTGGAATTTTTCAAATTCAATGCCATTATAACCTATAAATAAACAAAATATAATCGTGTAACTGGCGAGTAAGAGCTCATTTATTAAGAACGGGAATATGAAATAAAATTATTCAAAATCAGTTTTCGATTCAACTCCGACAACCAAGAAATTTGCTAACTATTTAAAAAAACTTGCCGTTTTAGAACGTGAAAGACTTGTTAAAAAGAAAATTTGTCCACTACTGTCCCATGCACGGTTAGATACATATTGACCAAAAATACCAACAAAAGAATTCTCATTTGTTGGATAATCAACAATTGGCACAACAATTTTTGATATTTTGTCACAAGAATTCCAATCAATCTTAAAATAAACTAAATTAAAAAATATTTTTTTAATTAAAAAAAACTTTGCAAAGTGCAAAACAAGCAGAATGAGGGCCATCAGCCTTTCTTGCAAAGAAAATCAAATAATTACCATCAGGAGAAAATGAAAGTTGATTGAAAGAAGCGAAATTATTTTTTAAACATTCATCTTGGGGGTTCGTTATTAATTGAATAAGTTGTTTTGTTTTGAAATTAAAAGTATAAAGTTTTCCTCTAAATTTTAAAAAATATTTTAACAAGTTTTTATTTTTTTAAAAGGATTACAGTTAAAATAACAGAGAAATTTAATAGAAATAATTTTCTAAAATAATATCAATCAAAAAATTCTCTTTTAAAAAAGGCTGAATAATTCAAATTATAAAAATTAAAACCTACGGTCTGTTATCACAAAATATCCGTCCAAGTTTAAAAGGTTCATTGTCTAGACCAAAGAAAGCAATTGAAGAATTATCTGGACACCAAACAATCTAAAAAAACAATTTCTTTTCTAAAAATAATTAAAATTAAATACAGATTCAGGAGTAATTTTATCCATCCATTCTTCATCAAAAATATCAATTTTCTCTTCATTAATATCCAAAATAGAAATAATAGGTCGCTTCACTTCAACACACTGTTCACCCCAACTTTCAACTACTTTAAATTTATCGCCCTAAAAATTAAAAAAAAATTAAAAATAAATTTAGTTTAACTAACAATTTTTAATTTAGCCAATTTTTCTGTATCATTCCATTCCAAGTCAGCATCATAAAATTCTGCAGGTTTTTCTTGACGTTCTGCCAGATAGAGTAGTTTATCTTCATTAGGAGACCATCTGAATACACCAAATACAGAATCTAAAAAATAAAAAGAATGTAAAAGTTAGATTAAAAAATATCAGTAACCAGAAAAAATTAAAAAGAAAGGTATAAATCCTCAATTTCAAGAAGGTTATACTCTTTAAAAATTATTTCCATCTAGCACTCGCTTCAATAAATAAAGACGGCTATCTACTCATCAAGACAACTAAAAAAATAATTAAACCTTTAATAACAACTCCGTGCTTCTTCATTCCAGTGACATTAATACAAAGAAGACATGCACCAGTTTGATTATCTGTAATCTAAAATTTAAATGAACATTTGTATTAAAAAATAAAATACTCGAAAAAATTGCTTTCGATCGCCGCCATTTCCATCCTTTATTTCAAACAAAGTCGCTGTTTTGCGTCCTGACGGACATACAGAAATTATTGAAGATCTAAATAATATGTATGATATTTAATAATCTCCTTACTCTGTAGTGTCATCAGGTAAAGCAAAGCTGCCCAGCTTATCTATTTTCTTAGTTTCATGATTATATTTAAAAGACGATACACGATGTTTGCGAACAGTTTTTTTCATTTTTTGTGCACGATCGGACCAAATACTGTTAACCTGAAGAATTGATAATCTAATTTACTAAGAAAGTTACTTGAATGATATCAGAATCCGTTCTCCATATACGACCATAAATTGCAAGAGGAATACGCGAAGCTCGATCATATAAATTAATCCAGCTTGGAAGTTTTGTAAAATTGGAAGACATTTACAAAAATATAAACAAATAATCTAGTCCAAACAAAAGAATTTACAAGAAACATTTTCAGTAGATTTAAATATTATTTTATATTTGAAAATATTCTTAATGACAATTTTTAACTACCCACTTTTAAAAATTTTACTCAAAATTTTAAAATTTTGTTGCTTTACTAGATGTTTAAAATTTATAGTCCCAAAAGTACAGAAATAAGGTGAATATTTAAAAAAATCAAATAGTCAAAAATAAACAAAAAATAAATCATGAGGAGAATGTTAAATAATTTTTTGAGATCGTCTAATTCTTATTTGTTAGGTTGCTTTTTCTTCTTATTGGTAATAACAAAATCATCATCATCGTCATCCTCTATTATCTGGCGCCGTTTTTCTTTCTTCTTAACAACTACTTCAGGTTCATCGTCGTCGTCGACTATTTGTCGACGTTTCTCTTTCTTCTTGACAATAAAATCAGAATCCGAATCACTATCATCTTTGACTTGACGCTTTTTTGCTTTTTCTGCCTTCATTTTTGGTTTGATTTTTCCAGCATTTGCTTCTTTAGTTTCCTTCTCTTCCTAAAATTATAATTTTAGAAAAAATTTAATTCAAGGGAAATTAAGAAAAATATTTTGTTAAATACCCAACCTGTGCATCCAAAGCATCCAAAAATGTTTTCAAGTCTTCCTCGTATAAATCAAACCATTCCTTTCCTTTCAAAATATTCAATTCCTTCTTTTTTGCTTCACTTTCAGCAAGCAATTTATCTTTGTCTTCCATAGATAATTTCCAAATAGCCATTCCAACTAAATAATCATAGTCGGAAACCTTCTTTTCAAGTTCGACGTTGACAGCTTCATTTTCTTCAGCCTCGTCCTAAAAGTAAAAAATAGTTGAGTGATGAATAAGTTATGAACGATCAAAATCGTCCCAATGAATTAGAACCAAATGACCTTTAGTCATGGTTAATCCAAAAATCTAATGACATACGTGCCCTACCCAGGCTGCCCCATCAATTTATATTTACTATCAATAGCAAATCAATTTGACCCAGGTAATTAAATCTATAAAAATATTACCTCTTCCTCATCTTCGGTAAGATTTGCTTCCCCACACATTTCCAATTCCTTACGTTTTTGTTCATCTTTCCATTGTTTTACAGGATCTGGCTTGAACTTATGCTTCTGCAATTGTTCAATAATTGCTGATTTTCTTTTATTTTCGATATGTATTTCTCCGTTAATTTTCATCATAATAAAGCGAGCCTTTTCACTTAATTGATTACTTTGTGCTTGCAACATTCCTTCAAGATATGCTTTCCTCTTCTTATACAATTCCTTTCTACAGTCAAAGAATTCTTGGCATATTTGTTCAGGCGTTTCAAATTTACGTAGACAACCTGCTGCATCAAACAAAACCTTAAAAATTTTTAAATTAAAAAACATATAAATAAAAATAAATAACCATGTTCGAAGTATTAATACTTGATTTAAGCGAGAACACATCGTACAATCCCTTTTGTTCTGCTTTTGCCATGTCATCTGGTTTTAATCTACAAATAAAGTGCACAGTAGTGTCTGTATGATATTCTTTGTAGTCTTGAAGTAGTTGCGGTTTATTCTTCTCTGAGCCATCAAACATTGGTTCAATAATTTTCTCTTTGTAAGTTTGTGTCCAAGTTTTGACAGGAAGTTCAGTAATTTCAACTGTGCCATTCTCAATAACATTAATAATGCCACGAGATTCAAATTTGCCGTTATTGTTGCTACCAACTATTTCGCCAGTAAAACCTTTATACCATGGAATCTGAAAAAATAAAAATTACACAACCATCCCTGAAATTATTAGATAGTGAGTTAAACTTTGAAAGTTAAGGAAACAAATTTCTCTGTTCCATGGAAAACAATAATTAAAGCAAAAATTTTGTCCAATTCCGGACTTATTTTTTGGTATACCTACAGCCAAACTACAAACAAAAATATCACGGGATCGCCGGGTGATACTCAAGGATCCAAAAATGACAATTAACATTCGAAAACAAAAATTATTAACCATAGGCTGAAGCGGCTCTCCTTTGATCAAACGACGCATTTGGTCGACCAATTCACGCGGATTGTAATTTGGAACTACTGTAGACCATCCAGTTCCAATACCTTCAGCTCCATTTGCAAGAACAGTTGGAATAACAGGACAATACCATTCAGGCTCAATTCGTTGATTTTCTTCATAAAGGAAACGAAGAACATTTTCATCAGATGGAGGGAAAAGAGTTTTAGTTACAGGACTAAATAATAAGTGATTTTAAAAACATTCAAACACATACTTAAGTTGAGTGAAAATATAACGAGGCGAAGCATTATCTTTTCCTCCTTGTAATCGAGTACCAAATTGACCAATTGGCATTAATAGATTGATGTTATTAGAGCCAACATAATTTTGAGCCAAATTCACAATTGTTGACATTAATGATTGTTCTCCATGATGATATGCTGACATTTCACCAACAGCACCAGCCAATTGTGCAACTTTGACTTCTTTTTTATCGGCGCGTTTGAAACATGTGAAGAGAACCTAAAAAATATAAATTACTTAATCCTTCTCCTAATTTTTCCCCCTTTCCCCCATTTCGGGGGGGGGGGGCTCTAGCCTCCACACCCAGCCCCTTGGATACGCCCTTGGCAGCTAATGCAATAGTATGCAACATTTTTATGGACAAATTCAATCATTTTTCCACAAAAGAAAAACAAAAGACTACCTTCCTCTGTCCAGGTTTCAATCCATCTACCAAACTAGGAATGGAGCGTTCATTGTCTGTATTCGAAAAAAGCACCAATTCTTTATTAATAAATTCCGAAAAGGTAACACTCCGAGTATCTTTATCATAAAGATAGATATCCATATCTCCACGTTCACGGCGCCGTTTTCTGTCCTAAAAATAAAAAATTAAATTTTCCATAAATTTTTCACAAACCTCCATCCATTTTGTTAACCAATCCTTTCGATCTTCAATTTTCTTTTTGGAAAAGGCTAATTCAATTGCACTGTCATCATCTTCATCTCTATATTTGAAAGGAATGCGATGGCGAAGCATATTTGAGAAATATTCTTTTGCTTCAATGGATGTTGAAGTACCCAATCCTTAAACAAAAAATTATTTAATAAAAAGAAATTCCAATAATTACCCTTATAATATTTTATTTTCCAAGATTTCCAATTATCAGTTGATTTTCTCCATTCAACATATTCCGGGATTGAAAAGAAACTGCGAGATTCTTTTCCTTTAGATGCCTTAACAATTGGAGTAATAAATTCTTCAACAAAGTTTCGCCGAATTAAAGAAGGCCAATTTGAATGAATAAAGTTGATGACCAATCCTTTGATGTGAGAACCATCTTGATCCTAAAATAAGGGAAAAATTAATCCTTATCCTTCATAGATATTGGTGTCTGTAAGTACATTCACACATTACAAAACAACCCGCTAATAAACCCATGAACAATGTTAAGAGGATTTATAAAGATAAAGGATTTAAAATTACCTGATCAGCCATTATCATAATCTTTCCATAACGAAGAGAATCCAAATCGGCGTCAACATCATACTTCTTTTTATATTGAAGACCAATAATTTTAATCATATTATTAATTTCAGCATTGTCTGTTATCTAGAAAAAACAATTCCTATAAAATTAAGTCATGAAACACAACCTGTTTATGATTTGCATCTCTAACATTTAAAAGCTTTCCACGAAGAGGAAAAACACCATAAAAATCTCGGCCGATAACTCCCAAACCAGCAACAGCCAAAGTTTTGGCTGAATCCCCTTCAGTTAGAATAAGCGTACATTTACGAGAATTACGAGTTCCAGCTTCATTCGCATCTTCCAATTTGGCAACACCCTTAAAATAAAAATTAAACTGACAAAAATTTAAGAAGAAACCTTAAGCTTTGCAGTCTTTTTCCCTCCAATTTTATCCTTTTGCTGATTTTGCTTAAATTGAACCCAGTTCAAAACAAGATCGACAATTCCACATTTTTGTGCTTCTTTCAAAAACTTTTCACTCAATTCACACTTTGAACCAAAGCTTTTTGCAGGTAATGTAAGCGTCTCCTTTGTTTGTGAGTCGAATGCAGGATTTTCAATTAAGGAATTGACAAAAACCCACATATGATTTTTTATTTGTGCTGGTTTAACTGCCATATTATTCTTTCCAACTTTCTTCTTTACAATTTCAACAAGACTGCCAGCAATTTGATTAGCAACTAAATCAACATGAGTTCCACCCTTTAATAAAAATTTAAAACTTAAAAGGCCCTCCTTCCAAAAAACCTTTGGCGTAGAAATGCTGTTAACAAAAGAAACTTGTTTAAAATTTCCAGTGTCAGAAATACACAAAGCAACCTCCCAACGGTCACTAACAGTCTCAAAGGAAACTTTGACAGAACTACCATCATCATTATGCAGTTGACTAGTATATTGTTCAACATATTGTTTGAAGCCTTGACACTAAAAATTTTTATAAAAAAAATTTAAAAATCAAAATCAAACAGGGATCTTCTTTCCATTCAGAAAAACTTTAACTCCACGAGTTGTCCCAGCCATATCATATGCTCGACGTGACATTAATCCAATAATATCATCATCCAATTCTTCCATTTTGAAAAGCTTCAAATCTGGTTGAAAAACAACTTTTGTGTAATCATCCTTTGTACTATCCAAAATTGTTGCTTCCCCTTGCTTTTTCATACTATTAACCCAAGTCTTAAAAAAGGGAAATTAGAAAGGTTAAAAATCGAAGAAAAGACCTGCTTGAATTTCCGACCATACTCAGAACTAGAAGTTTCAACAGTAAACTTTTTGCTAAAAATATTGGTCAGCTTAGCCCCATAACCATTTCGACCACCAGTTGTCTTTTTCTCGTTGTCATTGTAGTTCGAAGAGGTAAGCAACGTCCCAAAAATCATCTCTGGCACATACATCTTTTCAACCTTGTGCATAACAACAGGAATTCCACGACCATTATTCCAAACAGAGATCGAATTATTTTCCCTAAATTTTTAGATACAAATCAACTTTGAAATAAGGAAAAACAAACTTGTCAATATCAACTTTGATTGTATTCATTTTGGGATCCCTTTGTTTATTGTCAGCAGCATTTACAAGGATTTCATCAAATATCTTGTACAATCCAGGCACATAGGATATTTCTCGATAAACAAGTTTATCGGCTTCTGAATCGTAGACCCATGTCGACTAAAATATAAACTAATTAAACTTAAATCTTTTACAAATTAGATATTTAAACACACCGTTTGTGTGTATTGAATAGACCCTATATAAGTATCAGGTCGAAGAAGAACGTGTTCAAGCTGCGAGACTTTCTTATAAGTTGCCTCAATATCCACAGACATTGTCCGTTTTTTCCTTATTGAATCTCTAAAAATAGAAAAAAATTAATTTAAAGGTAAATATAAACATACAAAACTACTTTCCTACAAAAATTGAATAATTTTAAATGCAAGTTGTTAGGTGAGGTAAAAGTCGGAAATATATTTTTAAAAATTTCTTTTGAGATTCTAAAATGTTTTATGAAAATAAAATAAATAAAAACTATCAATAAACTTATAAAAAATAATTAAAAAAAGCATAACTCGGAAAAAAATAAAAATGAAGAAAATCGTGCAAAAGAGAAACTTATATTCACAAAAATACAAGCCAAACAAATTTAAAAAAGATTAAACTTGGCATAATGGCGGGTTAGGGGAAAATTTTAAATACAAAAAAACAATTGCCTAGTTTCACTTATTAAAATTGCCGCAAAGAGTTTTGACGTCCTAAACAAGGCTGTCGAAAACACCCGGTTTTGTACTTTTGATTAGTGAGTGATCGGCATGATTGCGGGCTCCGGCATGCGGGGGTAAGCTTTAAAAATGTTTGCTGGAGTAACTCGGGCGGGAATATCCCGCAAAATCTCGCAATCGAAAGAAAGTGAGTGCGGTCAGTATCCCGCAAAATCACGCGCGGGATCCCCCATCAGCATTTAATTAAATTATAAGTTAATTTAAATTAAAAAACCCGGATGCCAAAGAAGGAACGGGACAGGGGACATTTTTGGTTGCAAAACTCGGAATAAATAAAAATGAAGAAAATCATGCACAAGAGAACATTTTGGGGGGTTTTTATTCAGAAGGACATTTTCGGGTTAGGACATTTTGGGGCGAAGCCTTCTCAAACGGTTATTCTCAAAGGTAACACGACAATTGTCAGCGGACAATTGTACAGCGGACAGTTGTACAGCGGACAATTGTACAGCGGACAGTTGTACAGCGGACAGTTGTACAGCGGACAATTGTACAGCGGACAGTTGTACAGCGGACAGTTGTACAGCGGACAATTGTACAGTATTCAGAGCTTTTTAAAAAGAAATTTAATTTTGCGCTAAACGGCGGTTCAGTGTAGTTTTGATTTCAGTTTAAATTTTGATTTTACTTAAAATGTATGTAAAAACAATTAAAAAAGTTTTTGACTTATAAAAATATTTTAATAGAAATTTTTAAAAACAATATTTCTCGTTGTTGCAACAATCTTGTTGTTATTTTTCATTTATTGTTCTGTAGAATTGGCAGCGGGGTACCTTCGGCGATTTCTACCTTGGTCTACGGCACTCCGGCTAAAAATTTTATCTCGAATACTTATTCAATCCCTTTGGTTTTAGTCAAATTTTCTTTTGGTCATAACTTCGTTCTCAATTATCTTCAAAAATCTGTATTGGTCCAAAGGTCTTATTTTTTATAATACCTGTCTGAGAGAATGATAAAAATTCAGAGAAGAACATTAAAAAGTGTCTGTTGTTTATACGGAATAGCAAAATGTCATATATAAATCCTAACATTAAATTTTTTTATTCGACACAAAAATAAAAAAAAATTATTAGAAATAAAAGTTAAAAAAATATTTAATTTTTTAAAATTCATTTTTAAAATTTCAATCCAAAATTTAAAATATCATTAGCTAATTCTTTAGGCATTTCAAATGCTGCAAAATGTCCCCCATCAGTAAGTATATTCATTTGTGTTAAATTATAATTTAATTGAATTAATTCTTTTGGTGTTACTTCACCAATATCATAAGGAAAAGCAGCATAGGCAGTTGGAATATTTACGTATTTTGAATTAAAAATATTTTTACTCAAAAAATTTTCTTTATAATAACGTTGAGAACTTAAAATATTTCCTTGTAACCAATAAATACTTATTATTGTTAATATATCTTCACGAGAATATTTTCTTTTTAAAAAGAATAAATTTGTTTATTAAACACATTTTATTTTTACCTTAAAATCCCCCCATCAGGCAAAGAAAGAAAAGAAGGATTTGTCCATGTTGAAAATTTTTCTAAAATATAAGCAAGTAATCCAATAGGAGAATCATTTAAGCCGACACCTACAGTGTCTGGTTTAGTTGCCTGAAAATAGAAGAAAAAATTTTTAGAGGGGAAAATCCTTTAAAAATAAGCTTCCAGAAATTAACTGACAAATACGAGTACGAATTTTGAATGACTGTCCAAACAATTTGCCTAATTAAATACAGCTTACATGAATATTTGTACTTAATTTTCTATGTAACTACTATCTCAGAGATCCTGCCAATGCTTAGACGCTTATTTAATCAGAATTATGTTCTAATTATAAATATTCCATACTTGTATATGCATATATCCAGATTCTTCCAAAAGTCCCAAATATTTTTCTTTTATTGAAAAATTCTTAAAATGTTCAGGTTCAGAAAAAACCCATTCAGGTTTATAACAACCAATTAATGAAAGAATAAAATGTTTGCAACTATCAAATGGACTAATAAATGCCATATTTATGTGAATTCCAATTAAATTAGTTGAATAATAACGTCCAAGAGTTGAAACTATTAATGAGCCCCAATCACCCCCTTGGGCTAAATATTGTTTAAATCCGAGGCGTTCAGTCATTAAATGATTAAAAATCCGAGCAGTAGCTATTGAATCAAAGCCTAAAAATGAAAGAGAATTTCTTTCATTTTTTTAATGAAATTTTACAATATTTTCCTTTATTATTTACTTTATTTTGTCCAAGGCATTCATATTTTGATAAGAGAATGATGCTAAACTTATCGCAGAAAATAACAAAACATTGAAAGTAATTAACCCTGAGAGTCCAACGACCACCTAATTAATTTTACCTTTTTTGTGTGGCTGTTCAGAGAATCCATATCCAGGAATTGAAGGAGCAATAACTTCAAAAGCAATGTCAAAATCCATAGAATGAGACTTTGGGTCTGTTAACATTGGAATTATTTTATAAAATTCGTAAACATTTCCAGGCCAGCCATGAACCAAAATAAGTGGAATAATACGGCGATAAGCTTTCGGTTTTGGTGGTTTTACATGAAGGAAATGAATCTAAAAATTTTGAATCTAATGAAATGAAAGTTTTGTTTTGTGTATTTAATTGTTAATAATAATTATAAAATTTTTTGTTCACTATCAAAAAAATCCCCAAAAAATTCTCTCAAATATCAACAAATTCGAAATTGTCAACCTTACTTCTCTAACCAAAAACTTTTTTAATTACAACAAAACACTGACCATAATTCCCTCAATTTGTGTCAAATATTGTGGATATTTATTTAAATTTTCTTCCATTTTATTAAAATCAAATTTATCCTTCCAATAATTACTCCATTCAATTAATTCACTTAATTTAACCCCATAACTCCAATCATTTATATTTTCTAATTCAAAATGTCCAATTCTCGCCTTCCCAAGCCTTTCTTTTAATTGATTAATCTCTTTTAAAGAAAACTCAATTTTAAATTTTTTAATGTTTAAATCATCTTTTTTAGGTTCTCCTGTTCCAAAATAGCCTTTTTCTGGAATTTTGAACTTAAAAAATGAAAAAAGAATTATTTTAAAAAATATTTTTAAATTAAGAATAAATTTATATTTTTGACTAATTAATTCTGTGGTGGATAAAAAATATTAATTTTCTTTCCTAAATTTTCAATCCAAAATACCCCCTCATTTTTTAAATTTATAGATTATTTAAAAAACAAACAAAACAAACATCATCTTCCTTTAATCCAATAAACAAAAAACTTAAATAAATAGCCAAAATAATTGTTAAAATAATTGAAAAAATAAATAATTTATTCATTTATTTTTGAAATTTTAAAATAAAAAGAAAAGAAAATAATTTTTATTTATTTAAAAATATAAATTGTAAACAACACAAAATTATCAAAAAGAAAAGATAAATAAATAAAGTTTTTTATTTTTCTTTATCTTTTTATTTTTCGTTATTTAAAGGTTATTGATAAATAAATAAATATTTGGTGTTGTTGTTTATGTGTTTGTATGTAGTGTGTTGTTTGTTTGTTAAATTGAAATTCCTTCAATCCATGTAGTAGAAAAGACGAACAAATCAATTAAATATTTAAAAGAACACACAAACTACTTGTTTCTTAAACAAAAAAATTAAAAAAAAATTTTTTTGGAAATTTTTAAAATTGATTATAATTTTAAGTTAAAAAAAGAAAATTGATTAAATAATTAAAATAATTAAATAATGAACAGTTGTTTTATTTTAAAATTTAAAAAAGAAAAGCTTTTAACGCCTCCGTAAAAATTTTTAAAAATTGACAAAAAAAGGAAACAAAAGAAAAAAAAAGATTTTTTTAAAAAATTCTTTCAATCCAATTCTTTTTTAAATTAATTAACTAAAATAAATTTTTTTTTTGAATTTAAAAATAGAAAAAAGAGATTATGTATTGTTAATTAAATCCCAATAATTTTTAAATTTTAAATAAATATTAAAATAAATTTATTTTAAAAATAAATAAACTTTTAATTATTAAATAAATAATCAAATAAATTTTTATAAAAAATATTTTTTTAATTTTTTCCCAAATTCTTTCAATTAAAACAAAAAATTTTTTTCCTTATTTAATTTTAATTAAAAATATTATTCCTTAAAATTTAATTCTTTTTATTTTTTAATTCAGATTTTCTTCTACAAAAAACACTTTCTCTTTTCTCCACTCAAGATTTTACCATAAATACTTCTTTCCCCCCTTCCTCTCGCTTTTATTTTTTCAATTTTTTAAAAAAATATTAAAAATAATTTTTTTTCTTAGAATTGTTTTGACTTAAATTTGTATTTATATTTTAATAATTATATATTTTGATTAATTTTAATGAATAATATTTTTAAAAAATAATTATTAATTACAAATTAACAATTTCTTCTTCCTTTTTTGGTTAATCTTTTGTTTTTTAACTTTCATCTAAATTTAAGTAAAAACAAAAATATTCTTCTAAATTTTTTTATTTATTTTTTTGCTTGATCTGGGATTTTATTTATAAATAAATAAATGTAGAGTTTTGTCGATTTTCTCAATTTAAACGTTTAATATAATTTTCTGATAAATGTTTGGAATTTGGATTATAACCAAATTTGCTGTTGATATGTTTTTTTTAATTAAAAACAAAAATTTGTTTTTAATTAATTTATTTAAACATAACTCCTTTTATTTAATCAATATCCCTCAAGAAAGAAAAATTAAAATGATTAAAAAATTAAAGAATTTTGTATAGAATTTTTCTAAAATTTGAATATACTAATACAAAATTATTTCAATTTATTATTTCTTCAAAAGATCCATTTATACATATTTAATAAAAAGGGTTTAGCAAAAGTTTAGCCCCCGGTCAGGATTGAGTTATTGACAGTTATTCCTAGGCACTTTTGCTCACCATATACAGGAGCTCTATGTACCACTGAGCTACCGAGGCATTGACTAATTCTTTCTCTTTTATTTTTTTAGATCGTTTAACCCCTCTTAAGCGTTTTTAAATGCTCTAGGTGAATCATCCTTACATAATTAATTATTAAAATAAAAGTTTATTTTTTTTTTAATTTCTTTTTGAATTCCAAAAAATATTTATTTTTCTTTAGCCATTTATTTATCCCCTCTCCTCTTGCTTCCTTTTTTATTTAACCCAAAAATAATACACACAATTTTCTTTTCTAAATTAATTAAATTTTATCATTTTCTTTTTTTAAAATTAATTTAATTTAAAGAAATAAATAAAAAAAGATTTATTTCTTTTTTTAATTTAAATTTTATAAAAATTATCATGCCATAATACAAAAAAAAATAAAATAAATTTATTTCTTTAAAAATCATCTGGGGCCTATTTCAATTGTCCACAGATTCTGCATTCTGTGCACAGAACACAGATTCTGTGGAAATTCTGTTTCAATTAAATTCTGTGTGCACAGAATCTGTGGTGCCCGCAGATTCTGCGGAAACATCCAATGATTCTGTGGAAACATTCCGCAGATTCTGTGGATGAAAATTTCTGTGGAAAATATAAAAATCTGTGGATTTTTTCCACTGATCCACAGAATTTGTATTTCAATTATTTTTCTGTGGTTCTGTGTATTTTTTCTTCTAAATTCAAATTTTTTATTTCCGCGTTTTTGAAAATAACAGTTTTATTGAAACGAAAAATGGTTTGGACAGTTCGGTACTACCGCAGTATTAATGGTACCTGATTTTTTGAAGTAAAACTTTAAAAATTCTTAAATTAAACTGAAAAATATTGTAAAGATTTAAAAATTTTCCCTCCAAATCACATAACATCCCTTTAAATCTCTTTGATATCACTTTAAAACCGCTGATATACCGCTTAATTTTCTTGTTCATCCAATATCCTTAAATCTCCAATTAAATTAATGTCCTAAAGCAGGGTTCGGATCGGAAAAATCAGGAGATGTCGATCCGACATGTGGCTTTTTCAAACTACGATAGAAGTTGTTGCAAGGGAGGGAAATGTTTGGGGATTGTTTAGTCAGAAATTGAGGTTCCTGGAAATCGAAAATGCCTGGAATCCAAAATTATAGTCAAATCGGAACTTTAAAATCGTAGAGGAGTGATTAAGTGGGATATCCATTGATTTTGAGGTTTAATATATTGGAGTGATTAAGGAGGAAATCTATCATTAAATAGGAGGAGAGATTATGACGGATATCAATGAGAGATCATGGGAGATATCCCAGTATACGCTATACAGATATATTCTATAGATCCTGGTAAACATCCCCTCATTAGAGATATCCATGATGATTAGAACATCATAGCTCTAAATTTCAGAATCTCTCACGTTTTTTATTTTTTTATTGCTTGAATATAACAAAAACTGCGTAAAAAAGATGTACCTTTTTCAAAATTAATTTTAAGCAATAATTTTAGGTAATAAAATTATAATTTTTATATCAAAAAATAGAGAATGATTCAAACTTTAATAATCTTTAAAAATTTTGAAATTTGGTTAAGCCTAGGCCTAGAAAAAAATTGTTAAAGTTTTTCCACAGAAAGTTCGCAGAAAAAATTTTAGGGTGGATTTTTTAAAGAATTCTGTGTATTTTCCGCAGACCACAGAAATAATTGAAACAGAAATGCACAGAATCGACTAAAAAAGCCACAGATCTGTGGATTTTTTTCTGTGCACAGAAAAATAATTGAAATAGAATTCTGTGGTTTTTGCATGTTTTTGGATGTTTTGCAGAATCTGTGGATGTTTCCACAGATTCTGTGCATGTTTCCACAGAATCTGCGGACTTCTTTTTCCGCAGAATCTGTGGAATAATTGAAACAGAATTTCTGTGGTTCTGTGGTCTGTGCACAGAACGCAGACCGCAGAATCTGTGGACAATTGAAATAGGGCCCTGGACGAAATTTAGAAACATTAAAAAAAAGAAAAAAGAAACAAATCCAAAAATGGTTCTCGGTTTTTCTTTGCATTGCTTGAATGCATTTTCTTCTTTCTTCTTTTTAAATTAAATATTTAATTATTACAAAAATCTGTGCCAAAATATTTTTTAAATTAAATTATTTATTTTTTTGTAAAAAAATACCTAATTTATTTATTTAATTTTGTTAAAAATTAAATAAAAAAATAAGGAAAACATAAAAATTTAGAAAAAAAAAAAGAGTCCAATGATTAACTTAAAAATTATTTTAAATATTTTCCTTTTTTTGTTAAAAAAACAAACGAAAATAATATAAAATATATTCCAATAATTATTAAAAATTAAAATACCAATATGTATATTTATTTTTTAAGCATAAATTTGCTTAGAAAATATCTTTTCTAACCCTAATCTTCACAGAATTTCTAATAATTAATTTTTAATTAAACAATTTATTTTTAATTTTAAAAATTTGGAAATTTTTTTTGTTTAATTTTAAAATAAATAAATGTATTTTTATTTAAATTAAATTAAAGGAAGAAGTATGTATTTTAAGTAGGTAGTCAATTTATTCTTCTTTTTTTTTATTTTAAGTCACATTTTTATTCAACTGTTATTTGAGAAGAAGAAAAAATAGGTATATTAATTGTTTTTATTTTAAAAATATTTTTTATTTAAAGATTCTTTTCTTTTAATTTGTCTATATAATTATATTGTTAATTTATATGTATGTATATCCCTCAATAAATCCCTTATTCTTATAAACAATTTTTACAGTCAGGAAGCTTATAAAAATGTTATCCAGCTTTATATACTTAAAATACTATTTTTATTTTTCAGAATTAATTTAATTTTAATGTTAAATAAATTATTTTTAAATTTAAATTAAAAATTTTTTGGATGGAGTGTGGTCCTAACGAGCCGACATTATTTAATTTTGAAAATAATTCTACAAGACAATTTATTCATTCACTTGTCTTATTTCAAAAGTAAAAAAATTCCAGAAATTATCAAAAATTTTTTTAAAAATCTTTTAGAGCATATGCACCAATTCATGGAAGAATTTGTGTATTTTTGTGTCTTTTTGGTATTTACTTTTAAATAAATAAATATTTAATTTAATTTTAATTTCTAAAAAGGTGTAATAACAAATTTAATTCATTGTGTAGTTCTTACTAGACCACAAATGAGGCAATCAGCAGTTAATTCTATTATGGTAAATAAATGGAAAAATTATTTAAAGAAAATTTAATTTTTAAAGACGGCAGTAGCTTTGTGTGATTTAGGTACAATGGGCTCTTATTTAATTTATATTTGGCATTTTGTGCTTGGAGGGAATTTATGGTAATTATTTAATTTTTAATTAATTAAATAATTAATTAAAAGTTCAAATACCCAAACACATATTTGGATGTATTATTTATTATTACATATATTCCTTTCAATTGTATTACATACAGCAACACTTTGGTTAGCTGTTTTAATGGCATTTTTAAGAAGAATGACTTTACATAGAAATACACTTTATAGGTAAATAATTTAAATTTATTTCCCCCTTCCCTCCTCCTTTCCTTCCCTCCCCCTCCCCTCTATTATCCCCCCCCCCCTCCCTTCCTCAAAAATTTAAAAATATTTAATTTATTTTTAAAGTAAATGGCAAAGAGTAGCCTTAGCTAGACGTGCATCTTTAACTGTTATATTTATTATTTTATTACTTTGTATTCCATCATTAGCAGTTCATCAAGTAATTAAATACCCCCACGCTAATTGGCATCCCTCTTTATTGTGCCCAAAAATTATTTCTGGAATTTTGTCAAAAAATCATAGCGAACCAATTTTTACAATTATAATAAGAAATACAGCAATGGCTAATGGATGTTGGCTTTTTAAAGCTAATTTATGGCTTACTGGGATTTGCTTTAAGGTAAAAAATATGTTGGAAATTATTTTACATGAAAATAATTTTTTAATTAAAATAAATTTTAATTTAAATTTAAGAGAAGGAGATATAGGAGGTTTTGAATGAAATATATTAAAATAATTTATTTAGCAGTAGGAATATTCAATTAAGCCAAAGCATTAATCAGAATTTTGTCCAAAGGAGAAAAATAAGGACGGAACTTCCATTACACAAAATCTATCAATTTTCTATAAAAATATTTAATTTTGTTTATTACCTACATATTACAAATTTTCTTAAAATTTTCCCCCTTTTTTTCAGGTAATTCCTTGCCTTTTACTTCTAATTCTCAGCGCCAGTCTTTTACAAAGACTTAAACAAGCAGAGAAAAAGCGTTGTCAACTTTTATTAAAACAATTAAGTGATTCACCTAAAAATGATGGAAGAAATTCTGTTGATAATTTAAAACAACGTCAAAATGGAGGAATTAAAAAGTTTTTCTTTTTCTTTCAAAAATTCAAAAAACTTTTATTTATTTCTTAGAATGCATGCTGACAGAACAACAGGCCTTCTATTAGCAATTCTTTGTGTTTTTCTTTTAACAGAATTACCTCAAGGCCTTATAGCAATACTTAACGCAATATATACTGCAGATGTCCACAGATTTATTTATTTAACTTTGGGGGATGTTTTGGATTTACTTTCTTTAATTAATTCTTCTGTTAATTTTGTTTTGTATTGTTTAATGTCTTCACGTTATAGACAAACTTTTTGTTCCCTCTTTCTTCCAATTAAAATTTGTGGACGGTAAGAGAAAGAAAAGATTATTTTTTAAAAATTTTAAAGTTGTGTTGCTAATGGAGGACAGTCAGCCCCTCCTTTACAAAGTTTTGTGTCAGAAAAACAATTTAATGATAATTGTGATGAACTAGAATTAAGAGGAACTCTTGCACAAAGGCTAGCACAGAGAAGAAGGTATTTAAATATTTTTGTATATTCAAATAAAATCGTTGAAAAATATTTTTAATTGCCCAAGAATTAAAAAATTAAAAATCCAAAAAAAAATTTAATAAAAATCCAAATAAAATTTTAAATAAAGATCAACTCCAACACTTCGATTACAAAGAGTTGGAAGCCAACAAAGCCATTTAAGTATGCGTGATTGGAAAGAAAGACAACAAAAACAAAGGAGAGGGTCTAACTTTCCAAAATATTTAGGGGAAAAAATTAGAGAAGATTCGAATGATGAAAATAAACACCAAACAAATTTACTCACTCCAAATGCGGGTTTTTAAATATATTTTTTTGCTTTTACCTCAATTATATTTATTCTGTGATTTTGAAATGTTTTTACAATTTTATTTTAAAAATTAAAATAAAAAATAATTTTTTAAAATTTATTAATAAACAATTTATTTATACTTAAAATCCAAATAAAGCACAACAATTAAAGAAATTTAATTCTTCAAAATATTGCTTTATTTTAATACTTATATGTTATCCATAAATTGGGTGACTCGTTGGGATCGAAATTAGATGTAAAAAGTTCAAATTAAATTTTAATAATTTTTAAAAATCAAATGTCCTCAAAATGTCTAAAAATAATCAAAATTTCAACAAAATTTCCAAAAAAATAATTCACAAAAATCAAAAAAGGAAATACCAGAAATAATTTAAATATAAAGTTTTTCTGGAATATTTAAAAATATTTTGTCAATTAATTCTATTCCAATTTGAAAACAGACATCTTGATTAGATAATTCATATTTCCACCCACCAAATCTTTAAATTTTAATTTAAAATTAAAATTAAATACACACCTTCCTCTCGAATAAATTTGTAATTTTTCCAAATATTTGTGACATTCTTTTAAAATAAAATCCCTCTCTTTTGTCGGTATTGGATAACCAAAAGGTAAACATTTAATCCATTTTGAACAAATATTTTCTTTTTTATTTATTATTCCAACAGAAATTAAATCTTTTTATTTAAATTATTTTTTTCTCAATTAAATTCAATTAACCTTTAATTATTTTATCAAAAATTTTATTTTTTTGTTCATTTTCTAAAGGCAATTCTTTATCTGAACTCTGCCCTATTTCACATAATACTGACCAAAATTGGTTATTTTTATCTTCAATTAAATTAGAGGAAGAGGAGGAGGAGGAAGTGGAGGAAGAGCATTTAGGGATTAATTCTTCACTAAAGTTGGAAATAATTGTACATCGATAAAATAAAATCTTTTAAAAGAAAAACAATTCTTAAATTAAACAAAAATTAAACTTCTTTTCTTGGATAATATGCCCAACTTAATTTTTTAACAAAATCATTTTTCCCTCCAAATAATCCAATACCAACCAGAATTACTGTTGAATGTTTTAAAGGTTTAGATAAATTATTAATTCCAATCATTTTTTCTAATTCAGTTAAAGGAATTGTTGAAATAAGTATATTATAATTAAATTTCTATAAAATAATTATTTTTTAATTGCTAGTTCCCTCACCTTTTTATTTCCATTTTTGTCTAAACAAAAAATATTTTTTGTTTTTGAATTAATTTCCACAACTTTTTGTCCAAAATTAAATATTTTTGGGGGAAATCTTTCAGAAAAACGTTTCCACATTTCTCCAATCCCTCTACAATTTGCAGGGTAACGAAAAGCTGTTTGACGGCTTTCATCTTCAATTAACAATTTTTGGTGAGAAAGTGAACAACGACGTTTTAATTGTGATAAATCAATTAAAGGAACACGTCCTTGTAACCAGCTAGTTCCCATTTGGGAAATTGGGACAGTCCAGACCTTTTTAAAATATTTTGGAATTTATTAGAAATTATCTAAAGTCAGAGGTCGCAAGTTCAAATCCTGACTTTTAAAAAAAACTAAACTTTTACTAAACTTTTTCTATAGAAATACGAAAGGTTTACCCTAAAAACCCGACCCAATTTTCTTTTCTCAACCCGGCACATTCTTGATAACTAGCCAAAAATATAACGTAAATGTTCTAATAGAAGCCCGGCTCCAATAGAAGCACATGCCCTTAGAAGCCAACCCAATGTGACCCATTGAAAATTAGACGCCCAGGGCTTCTATTAGAGCATTTACGGTATATAAGAATACCTTTTCATTATATGGTCTAACAAATATTTTCTGCAAAGTTTCTCCAAAAAGTGAAAGAGAAAAAGAATCAAAATTTTCTTCTTTTTCTGTTATTTTTGTTGTTAAAAAATTATTTCCTTCTTCTTTTTCTTTAAAATTTAATTCTTCCAAACATTTTAATTTTAAATTTTTAGGAAAATAAGGAATTGAATTTTGAACTGGATAGGGAATATAATAATTAATTTTATTTAAATTTTCTTCTTTATTTTCTGTCATAACATGGGACATTTCTGCCTTAAAAATAAATAAAAATTATTCTTTTTTTCAATTCAAATTAGTGCTGGGTATGGCTCCGGGAGCTAGCTCCGGAGCCGGAGCCAACACCAAATACCCAGCACTGATCCAAATTATTTAATTACCATAGCACATCGAGGTATAATTTCCCATTCCGTCACACATTCCTCCATTGCTTCAACAAAATTTTTGTATTTACTAATTCCTTTTTAAAAATATTTTTAATTTAAATTAATTATTTTCTACCCATAACATGAACACCCAAATCCCAACAAAACCCATTTTCATCCATTACACTTCGTGCCAAACCTCCAATTTCTTCTTCTTGTTCAATTACACAAACATTTATATTTTCCTTTTTTTTTTAAATTAAAAATTATTTTAATTTATTTTTTCCTTACATTTATTAGTTTGTCTTTTTTAAGTTTAAAAATTTGATTAAGTGATCCTTAAATTTAAATATTTATTATTATTGTTTATTTTTCATCTAAATTACCTAAAGCTGTTGGTCCAGCACCTAAAATAATTATTTTAATTTCTTCATTTAAAGAATTATTAGCAGCTTCAACTTTTTCATTTTCAATTAAAGACATAAAAATAAATTATTTTAATTAAGAAAAATATTTGAAATAAATGCTTTTGTTGATCGAATGAATATATTAAATTGATTAAAGTAAATTTTATTCCTTTCTCTATGATTGACCCAAATTTTTGTTTATTAATTAAGAAATAATAAATAAAATATTTGAGAATATTGAACAGTATTTAAAAAAAAAATTAAAATTTTCTAAGGAATTATAAAAAAATTTTAAAAATCGAAAATTTCATTTAATAAAAAATAATTTAAAATAACTAGCTTTATTTGTATCCGGTTAATTCCAGCTATTTATTTTACATTAATAATTTTTTTCCCTTTATTTTCCGGAATGTTTTTTTATTAATTAAAGAATATATTACTTTAACAGGTTTTTACTTTCCATCACTATTTTACCTGTTCGCTTGAAGAAAAAAGACTTGATGGATTTACTTTATTTTTAAATTCTTCTCAAAATATCAAGCTGGCGACATTAAAAAATAAATAAATCATTCAAGTAAATATATTTAATTATTATCCGGTAAGAGGATATAGAGAAGGCGGTCCTTTTTTTGTTATTTTTTCAAAGGTTAAATTTTAATTTATTTTCTCTCTTATTTTTAAAATTTCCTCACTAATTTTTTAAAATAAATTTTATTTAAATTTTAAAAATGTCAAAATTTTGTAATAATTATTTAATTACCGGTAAGTTATTTAAAATAATGCCTTTTTCTATATAAATTCTCTCAACACTTTTTGATGAATTTTTATCTAACTTTTTATTTTAAAATATTCTAAATTAAGTCTAACTAGATTTTTTGAATCAAAATATCCAAACTTATTTAAACCAATTAATTTATTTACAGCTTTGTTTGTATTGTTTTTAACAACAAACTTGTCGTTAACTACTTCCAATTTTATCCAAAACAAAACTTCCATTCTATGTAAAGATGGAAAAGGCCCTTTATTAGAGGGAGAAGAACGTGTTTTTCAATGTTTTGACAATGATTGTCCGGCCGGTTTTGAATGTGAAAATAATAATGGAAGTGGAATTTGTTGTCCAAATTTACCCGAACTTTTCAAGTTTTTTTTTGAAAATAAAAAAAATATTTATATTTATTTAAAGATTTTACAATGAAGTAAGTGCTGAAATAAAAAGAGAAGGGAGTAATGAAGGAGTTAATAGAGAACAATTAAATAATAATGAACAGTTAAGTTAAAAATTATTTTTTGCTATTTAGTGGTTAGGAATATGAACAAAAAATTTTGATTTTTAATTAAAGATTATTTAAATATTTAAAAATAAATTAATTTTTAAATGAAAATATTTTAAAGAAATCAATCAGAATCTATCATTAATGCAATGGAACTTTTAGAAAAACATTATGGGAAATTAATTGCAAGAGAACGTCCACCATCTATTGAAAATGTAAATTAAATATTTCTTTTATTTTTTTTTAAATTTAAATTTCAAAAGAAAACAACAAAATCTTCAATATTTCCATCATTATCTTCACAAAATAATTCTCCAATAAATTCTCAATCTGTTAGAGACTCTCCAGTAGCTTTAGAAGAAATTAAAAAACAACAACTTTTTGAGGCAAATATTTGGAAACCAAAAAATTTATTTTCTAAAAAAATTTATGTTGATGCAAGTGGAGAAGAATTTAGTTGTAAAAGGCAACGTTTAGAGACTTTTTGTGAAAATGGAAATAAAAGAACACAATTTGTTATGAGATGGTTTGCTAAAGAAGGAATATGTTATTCATATCCTTGGGGGTATTGTCCAGGTATATTTTTTGAAATGAGAGGGTGAAATTAAAAGAGATTTACAAATTTTTTGGGGGCTTTGGAGAGTTAAAAGGTTTAAAATAAAAAAATAATTTTAATTTTAAAAATAAATTTCAAAATCAGAAAAATAATTAACAACATGAAAAACTTCTTCCCAAAGTTTTTTGTTTGATAGGCTGAAAAATAAAATAAAATTTATTTCCAAAATTTCAATAAAGGAGAGCCAATAGCAACAGACAAAACAATTCGAACACTTAAAGAATGTGAAGCTTTATGTACAGATAAATTAGATAAATATTTAATTAAAGAAGAAGAACAACCAAATAATAAACAAATTTCTGGTGTTGTTAGATTAATGGAGAAAGAAGAAATTAAAGAAGAAAAAGAAACAACAATTACTACTTCAACTTTACAAACAATTAATATTGATTCTGAAAATGAAAAAAATAATTTGGAATCTTACAAAATAATTGTAAATTAATTTTTAAAAGTAAATATTAAATTAAAAATTAAATTTAAAGGCCAATTCCTCATCATTTCATTACCCTCCTCAAAATAATCCAATTAAAGTCCCTCCTTCCTCTGCCTCAGCAGAATTAGCAGAATTTTTACTTTCAGAACAACGTCCAAATATAAAATCAAAAAGATGTGAAAAAATAACTCCATACAGAACAATCTGTCCTTCAAATGGATTAACTAGCCAATTTACTCTTCGTTGGTATCAAAGAGGGAATAATTGTTTTGCTTATCCCTATGGATATTGCAATGTATTTAGTTTAAAATTTAGATTCGTTAAATTTAAAAAAATATTTAAAGGATTCAATATTTGAAGAAGAACCAATAAAAACAGAAAAAGAATGTTTACTAATTTGTATACAAAGAAGGGAAGAAGGTGGTTGGATGTCGAGAAGAAGACGTTTATTGAAAAAATGAAATTTAAATAAATAAATTATTTTTAAATTAAAGCTACGAAATAATATTTTTTTCTTTAAAATCCCAAAATAATAACCAGAATACAATTAAATATAGAGTACCTAAAGAGGTAAACTATAAAGAATTTCGACTAGAAAGCATCGAATCGGTATTTTCAGGTATACCGATACAGACATCGTACGGAGCAGATTTTTCTACACGGTTTCGACTATATAAAATACGTATTTGTATTTTCCATTAAAATATTGCTAGCGAGTTTTTAATAAAAGTGAAAAGATGGGAGAATATATTAATTTAAATAAATCACTCCATAATTATTAAAAAATAATAATATTATTTTCTAATTTAATTATTATTGCATGAACTTGTAGATTCTCCTCCTGCCCCACCACCTCCCCCTCCTGTTGTTCCTCCTCCTTTCAAAGCATTTGCTAAAATCTAAAAAAAATATTTAAAATTAAATATCCCAATTTAAATACTTGTTGAGCAGTTAAATTAGCTAAAGGCAAAATTCCAGCAGTAAGTAAATTTTGTAAAGCATTTCCGGTGGAAGAATTATTTGTTGTCAAATTATTTTCTTCTTTAAATAAATTATCATTTCCACAATTAATTGGAGTGGAGGAGGATGTTGATACACCTGAACATACTGCTGCCATACAACTTGCTTTAAAAATTAATTTTTATTCTTTTTAATAATTTAAATAAAAGGGAATGTGCAAATTAGAGAAAAATGTTTTTTGGGTAAATTATATAATTATTCTTTTAATTTTGGGAATTTTGAATTAAATTGTTGTTTGAAGAAGAACAAACTTTGAATTAGATTGTTGCTATATTTAATTATATTTTTATTCTCTTCCTCTCCTACTTCCTCCTCCTCCTCATCTTCTTCTTTTTCTTCTTCTTCATCATCTGCTGCATAAACAACACCTTGAGGCATTTGATAAAGAATTGGGGGGAATTGTTTATTTTGTTGTTGTAATGAATGTTTTCTTTTATTTATTGGGGAAGGATTTGAAGGTGACGAAATAGAAGAAGGAGGTAATAATAAATTATAATTAGAGAAAGGGGAGGGAATGGTTGTAGAAGTAGTAGAAGAAGAGTTTGAAGAACATGCCATTAAACCTTCAAAGAAATTTTTGTTTAATTTTTACAAGTTAGGAAAGGTGGAGGAGGGGGAGGGGGAATTTAGGGTGTAATTAATTAATTTAGGGTGTAATATTAATTGTTTGGGGAAGATTGATATGTATTTTTATTGTTAAAATTAATTAATTAAATGTGCAAAGGGAAAATAAATTAAATTAAAATAATTAATTAATTACCTTGAAGTAAAAAAGGTAACAAAGCTGCCCCCAATTGTTGACTATTATTATTTATTAATGAATGTTGCTGTTGTTGAGTAGATGTTTGTAGATTATTTTGATTATTATTTTCTTGTTGTTTTTGTGTTTTTTGTTGTTTCTGTTGTTGTTTATGTTGTATACGTTCACGATTTTCTGAAGCTGCTCTAAGTGCTTCTTTTAATGTTTTTAATTGTTGTTTGGAATCTACAAAGGTTTGAGCAGGTTCGAGATAATTATGAGAAGGGGAAGATTGAGAAGAGGAAGAAGGCTAAAAGAAAAATATTTTTTTGGAGAAAAATTAATGAGAAATTAATTAAAAGTATTTAAACTCGCCTTATCTTTTTTCATTTTTTTCCTTTGTTGTTCAACATTAGAAAATAATAATTCATCTAATGTCGGTTTTTGTTTATTTATTTTATTATCACAAAAAGTTTTTAATTCGTTAGAATTATTATTTGATGAAATATTTGGCGGAATAATTAACTAAATAAAAATTAATATTTTTTTAATAATTTTATTTCCTAATTAACTTTTAATAATTTACTAAAAATAAGAAAAATATTTTTAAACATTTATTTTAGGTAAATTAAAAATTTTCAAATTTTTTTTTTGAGAAAAATTTCCAAGAATAATTTTTTTAATTATTTTATTTTTTTCATTATAGCGTCAAATAAAAAATTTCTTTTTTTTCTTAAATTTTAACAAAATTAGCATTTTTTGTTTTAAAATGTTGCGGAAATGAAAAATAAAATTTTAATAAAAACCCCAGACAAAAAAGAATTTTTTTAAAAATTTTTTCTCACCGAATTAGAAGAATCATTAATTTGAAATAAATCAGAAACTAATTTTCTTTTTCTTGGATTATTTAATTGTTGTTGTTGAGGGGTTATTATTGGGGTTATTCCTAATGTTTGTGGTTCAAAGGTAAATTCTGTTTTTGTTGGCATTGGGTCAATTATTTGTTCTTAAAATCAAAAAAAATTTCCTAAAAGAAAGCACAATTAAAATAACAACCAATGAGGGAATTTTAACTAAAAAGGAAAGAATAAAAGAGGAAGGAAATACTGTAATTATTAAATAATATTTTTTGCATTAAATTAGCAATATATGTATTTTTCAAACTAAAATAAATATACCTTCTGTTGCGTTTAAACAATTCTAAATTTAGAAAATTCAAATAATTTAAATAAATTTAAAATTACCTGAATTAATTGTTTTCCAGGTTCAGAGAGTATCATAGGCTTTAATTTACTTGTTGCAAATGCATAAACATGCCCAGTTTCAGATGCAACAAGTAAAAGTACTTGAGTGCCTGTCAATGTTGAAAGTTCATTTGCCTAATTTTTAATTGAAATTAAATAAAGAAAAATTATTGGAGAATATAAATTCTTAATAAAAAATATTGACATATTCCATATTCCCCTCATTTTAGAAAATTATTTTAAATTTAAATCCAAAAATTAAAGAAACAAATTTAGAATTTAAAGGCAGACTTTTGCACTAGGCAACTTTTGTGCCGCCATTATCTTTAAAAAATAGTAATACTCTTTTGAAACACATTATTGGAATTTTTAAATTAAAAAAAAACTTTTTTCATAATTCCAGTTTTTCTTTTACTAAAAGTTGTATATCTTCTCAATTTATTTCCAATATATTCCATTTTTATTTTAACTCTTCCTTTTGTTTTTTTCCCATTTGGTAGAAGAATACAATTACTACTTCCTGCCCCTCTTTTTTTCCTTACTTCTTCTTCCGGTTGTTGATTATTTAGTAATTTTTGTTTTGGAATTGTAATTGTGTTGTTATTATTTATTAAAGAAGTCATTCCCTAAAATAAATAAAAAAAGATTTTAAATTTTGTGAAATTCTAAGGCACAAAAATAGTTGGACATTTTATTTATGGAATAACTTTATTCAACTTAAAGATAATTAGATCAAATAAAGCTTTAAAAAATAGAGAAATAAATAAGTAAAAATATAATTAGGAATTTTTGGAGTGCCTATCCTTTGTAATTGGATACAAAGTTTAAGGCGAATGAAAAGATTTTGGATGAGTAAAAAATGTAAACGAGGAAAAAGTTTATAATGAAATGAAAAGTGTCGAGATATCTTTGAGTCACACTGTAATTGGGGGATAAATAAATTATAATTTTGTTTAATTTTTCTTTGAAATAAAAATAATTATTTCTTTACATATTTTTTTATTTATTTTCATCAAAATATTTATTTATTTTTGTTTTTCTCTACCCATTAAAAATATTTGTGTTTAATAACCAGCCGTCAAAAACTAACAAATATGGAGAGAAGATGAAAATAAAAGAAAAGAACTATTGGATTGAGATGGAATATGACAAAAAAAAGTTTTGAATTAATAAGGTAAAACCAATAAAAATAAATCCAAAAAAGAAAAAAATGATGAGAAGAAATAAATTGGGAATTATTATATGGAAGATATTTCTGTTTTATTTTTTAAATTTTGGGTTTATTTAGAAGAAATTAATTTTCTCTTAATTTTCTTAAATATTGAGCTGTCTGCAATTGCGGATATAAAATTTAAAAAATTAATTAAAGTTTTTAACGCCGCAAAAATTCAGAACGCGTTCGAAAACTGTCAGGGATTGTTTGGTATTTCAGCCAAAAGCCGGCACTCCGAAATAGACTTTTATTTTCAATTAATTTTATTTAAAAATACAATAAATAATTTTCCCAAACATTAACGTTCTGTAAAATAATTGTTCTGTTTCTCCTATTTTTAACCTTATTTCTTTAAAAACACATTTTCCCCGTCAGATTTGACAACCATTCCGAAACCGGAGTTATTTTTCTTAATTTTTCCTGATTTTTCCAATTATTTGGCGACTCATTTTCAGTCGATTTCCATCCAAATAAATTCCTCAAAAATATACCTGCTCTTCCCTTTTCTTTAATAATTTCCTTATTTTTTCTAAAAAATATTTTCATTGGCTGCCTAATTAGCAATTCGCGGCTGGTTCTCTCCGAGTCTTTATGGCATTCACAGAAATAGCAAAATAAATATAAGAAAAATTATTTGGAAATTAAATAGTTTTTAATTAATTTTTGATAAAAACTTTTTTTTGGATTATTTTGTTTAATTAAAAAGTAAACACAAAACTATCTTGTTAAATAAATTAAGGGTATTCTAATATTTTGGTGTAAAAAAAGGAAAAAGGAATTTTTAAATAAATAATGGTCAATTTTTAAAATATAAATTTTAAATAAATGAGAATTTTTAAAAGTTTTTAATTTTAAATAAAAACCTCCCAAAGCACGCATAAATTAAAAGGAATAAATTTTCGCGGTAAGGAAAGGAATGAAAAAGGAAATAAAGAATTGTGGTTATAAAATTACTGTAAATTAAATAAAGAAAGAGGGAAAGAGATTGGTGAAATATTTTTTTAAATAATTTTTTGGTAAAAATTTAATTGAGGAAACAATTTATAACAAACAATTTATAACAAACCTTAGGACAGAAAAGGAAAGAAAATTGGAGAGATTCTAAGGCTTTCAATTAGGGACAGAAATAATTATTTTTCGAATTTTTTGATCAGTTTTTAATCACTCATTTATTTATTTATTATTTACTCAATATTACCCACCTTCAGTTCTTCCTCCTCCTCTTCCTCCCCATCATCCTCTTCTTCATCTTCTTCTTCCTCCTCTTCATCATTTCCATTTTCAATATTTTCTTCTTCTTCATTATTTTGTTTAGTTAATTGTTCCAACATTTTCTCGAATTCTGATTGTAAAATAAATTGTTTTTGGTGATTTTTAGTATTTGGATCAAAAGAAGAAGAAGAACATTCTTCATTAATTGGTGATTTATTTCCTGAATTCGTTTCTTGTTTTGGCTCCTCTTTTACTCTCATTTTTTAATTTATCTGAAAAATAACAAAGAAAATGAATATATACTTTCAAGAAAAATAATCTCCGGATATCCGTAAATTTTCCAAGAATCGACAACCCTAATAAAATTAAAAGAGAATCAATGCCCCCTCCAAAGGCTAAAAAATAAGCAAAAGCGCGATGAAGCGACATAAGGGAGAAAGTGATGGAATATAGAAAAAGGATTACAGCTGGGACATTTGGCCTGTAAAAAAAGTTTTTTGGTAAATGAATGGCCAAATGAGAGAAGATGAATGGCCAATTCAGGCAGTAAAGGAATTAATATATTTTATTTTTTATTTTCTTTTTTTCTTCTTCACCGAAATTGGGATATTTTTTGGGGGAAGGAAAAAAAAGAATTCTGTTTCGGTCTTTACTTTGTTGTAAAATAAAAAGGAAGATATTGAGAATAACAAGTACAGATACGATTTTCGGATAAAATGAAGACTTATGAATCTAAATGGATAACTTATGGAGTATTGAGGTATGACGAAAGGTTTATTAAGAAATAAGCAAAAGATAAAAAACAAGGATCTATAATAATTTCAAGAAATTGTATAATTGATAGCTTAATTGAAAGAGAAACAAAAATCAACGTATTCTTATTTAATTGGACAAAGTTACAAACAGTTTTTACACTCCCTTCATTATAGTCCCCAAGGGTGTTTTCAGTCTAATCAGCTCGAAAACAGGCTTCCCTTATTTTTACTAATTTCCTGTTAAAAACTTTTTTTTAAATTTCTTCATTTTCCCATCTAAATAACTTTATATATATTTATTATCCGCCCATTTTCGATCGCTTCTTGTGAACCAATTTCCTTTCTACTTTTCTCCTAAAGAAGAATTTTCTTATTGCCATAGGCAGTAATAACGCCATGTGTTGTGCGCCTTTAACCGCCCTCGAGAATATTTGGCCCGAGAAGGGAAGAAACTAAAAGAGGAAAGAAATAAAAAAAGATTTTTTAAATCGAGAAAGAAAAAGATTTGATAGAAATTGCCTGGGAAGGAATTGATGGGGGGATAAAAATAATAAAGCAATGAAAGGAAATGATGAAAACCAAAAAAGTGAAAAGAAAAAGATTTTAAATCCAATCACTCAATTTATAGAACAACAGGCAGCAAATGACAGTCAAATTTTAGGAAAAAAAATATAGTAAATAAAGATAAAAGAGATTAGAAATATAAATAAGAATAAAAGGAATAATTAAAAGTAATAATCATTTTGAAAGCAATCAACGCTTTATATGTAGTAGGAAAATGTGCTTTATGTCAGGGTTGCCGCCCGAAATCCGAAACCCGTTACCCGAAACCCGGCCTTTTTTTGTACCCGAAACCCGATACCCGAATTGAAAATTTTCCAACCCGAAACTCGAAACCCGTACCCGATATTTTTTCCAACCCGAAACCCGTGACCCGAAATTGGTTAAAACCCGAAAATCCTACCCGAAATCTTAGCCTTACCCGATTTTTTTGAATAAATTTGAAAAATTATAGAAAGCGAAAATTCTCAAAATTTTCACCTGCGGCGCCCAAAAGGAAGAAATCTGGCTTCTTGGTCTTTGAAAATTCCCAAAATTTTCGCCTGGGGCAAGAAATGGAAGATTTTTGGCTTAAGGATCTTCCAAAATTCTTAAAATTTTCGCATCGGCGCTAAAAAAGAAATTTTGCTCTCTAGCCTTCCAAAATTCCCAAAATTTTTGCCTACGGCGCTGAAAACGTGAGAAAATTAGAGGATTTAATGGAGGTAAAGCTGACAATCTTTCTTAATCCTATCCAACAATTGCTTGAATTTCTCGATATCTTTTTTAATCCCTGATATATCATTGCAAGTTGTATGTCGGAGGATATGCATGGATCAATGTAGATTTGGAAGGACAATGGGTGATTTGGAGGGATTAAAAAGAATTAGAGGAGGGATATAGGCGATATGAAAAGATTTGATGATCCGCTGATATTAAGGATGTTCATTAATCTTTCAATATCTCCCCAACCCTCCTAAATTTATTCCTTGATATCGCTCTCAATACCAAGATATCCCTCTTAATCCCCAAATCCCGCAATGTCTCTTTAATCTCTTCAAATTTTCCTCTCTCTATACATATCACCCAAAATCCTATTATGCAACATACATAGCTTGTCTCCTTTCAATTTGTGTATCAATACCCGAACACTCGAAAATAACCCGAATTTTTCGCCAAACCCGAAACCCGTACCCGAAATTTTTGCCAACCCGAAACCCGTGACCCGAAATGAAAATTTTATAACCTGAAACCCGAAACCCGTACCCGAAGATTTTTTGTACCCGCGGCAACCCTGCTTTATGTAGTAGGAAAGTGTATTCCTAAGTAAATTGCCAGAAGGCCAAACAAAATTAATTATTTTGAAAGTAAGTATTTTGAGGAATTTAAAAAGAGCAATTCGGCAGCTAACAAAAAAAGCAAAAAAGACATCCAAAACAAAATCCCCCTCTTCCTTGTACGGTATCTAAGAAAGAAATAAAATAAAGCCGACAAATATGCCAAAATGAATGTTGGAATGAAAAAGGATTTTAATTTATTGAAAGAAAATAAACTTCTGGCAAAAAAATAAATAAAAAGTTTTTTTTCCGAGGACGATCTCAATTCAAAAACAAATTTTTATTTGAAGATGCGCTCAAAAGAAAAAGAAATATATTCTCTTTTTTGTAAAACATTAATTTTAAAGTATTTTTGTGATAAATTTAAATAATATTTTACTAAAAGCTTTACAAAAAGTATTTTAGATTAGGACAAACAGTAAAAAATAGTTTCATGGATAAATACCTAAGTTAAATTCTAGCCTTTTTTATGATTGAACGGTCTAAATATAAAATTTGGTTGGTTCATTATTATTTAGCTTTAAATAAATTTGTAGCGAACACAATCTACATTCAACTTAAGCTAGTAAACAACCAAAATCCCCCCCCCCTCCCCGACTGACTTTATTTTCTTTAAAGTTTGCTCATTTATGGGAAAGTGAATGAAAACAATGCGAAAATGGGACGATCCAAAAGTGGGCCAAGAAAAAGTTTTGTGCTTGTCTGAGTATAGGAAGCTATAAAAGAAAAAGGTTGGAGAAGTCGCGCACGCGATTGAGGAAAGGATGTGTAAAGGAATTGAGTTTGAAAAGAAAAATTTTTATGTAAAAGTATTTAGGTAGTAGTAGTCGAGAAGGGGAGGGCCAAAAAATTATATCTTTCACTTTATATTCTTTTTGTCCTTCTTTTATAATTTTCATTTTTCCAAAAATTTCAATTTTATCTTAATACAATTAACCAGAAGTTTTTTTTCATTCACTGACAGCTCTCCTCAACTTGAATTTCTTCTTTTCATATCCCCACTTCCTTTCATTAATTTTCTTCTCTCATTTTCTTTAGGTAAAATGTTTTGCTGCTCTTCACAGAATCGGTTGTCCCAAAGAACGGCCAAAAAAGAAAGGTAAACTTATTTGTTAGTGAAGAAGGTAAACTAAAAAAGACAAAGAAAAAGAAAGGTAAGTAGTGATGGAAGGAAGCTATAGAAAAGGAGAATCCTAATTGTATGTATTTAGTCATTTCGGAATAAAGCTTAAGAGGAAAAATAAAAGAAAAAGGAAGAGGAGCGCTTTTGACTGCCGGTTGATCACTGCCACTATTTTCCATCTTTCCCCAATCAGTAAACATTCCAGTTAAATAAAAGTTAGAAACGGAAGTAGGAAAAAGCCCATATATTCCTCTTCTTGTGCTTCCAAATATTCTCTCTACCCCTTACATCGCTCACTACTTTTTTTACCTTGTTTGTTGAGTATATGAATGGGCCAAAAGAATAAAACAAGAAGAAAATATAAAAATACAACAAAAATTCCCGACCAAGAATTTAAAGAAGCAGCTTTTTCTTTACAAACAGAAGTTAAGGAAATGAGAAAAAGTCGGCTGTCTGTAAATAAATTATACCGATTGAGGGAAATAATTGGATAATGGAAAAGAATTCTATAAGAATATACATACATATTTGAATATATAGAGGATTTATTCTTGATTGAGGATATCAATACTATCAGGATTGCTATTAAATTGTTGTTAATCTTCTTGCCGAAGCCGTGCATTATTTTGCTTGATCATACATAGCAGCAGCGATCTCTCAATTGCAAAAATACATATGTATTTTTCCCCAAAAATCTTATAGTTTATTTCTAACTAAAAATATCGGAAATCTGGTCACGGAAATTTCACAAGAAATTACTACACCCGTTATACATATTTAACAAAATTCCAAAAATTTGTTAGCTAACTTCCAAAAAAATCTTGGAGACTAAATTTCCGCGACTTGTTAAAATGAGGCGTGTCAGATTGAGTTTAATTTTGTTATAGTACAACATTGAAATTGTTCCAATTTTATTTCCACAGCAGAATAAACTTCAATTCGATCTATTTTTTTAATTGATCAACTAAAAGAGTTATTAACTGATCAATCAGAGAGTGATCAAAAGGAGATTGATTGAGCCATACGATATTTTGCGAAATGTCATTTTGGGTGGGATATTTAGGGTCAGCGATATTCTGGGTGGCGATATTTTGGGTTTCGATATTCTGGGGTGGACTCGGAATATTCTTGCAATTCTTTCTTTCCGCTTTTTTCGGATTATTGTTAATTTGAGGATTACAATTCTTAATCGAAAACACATATTTAGTATTCATTTTTAAAATTATTTTATTTTATATTTTACTAATAATTTTAGATGATTTCCAAAAAATATTTAAATAATAAATCATTTATTCTTTTAAAATCAACAATTCCACATTCTAATTATTATATTAAAAATTTATTTGCAAGTAATTCAAGTACTTCAAATTCATCAACAGATTATATTGATGAAAGAGAAAATCATCAACCAATTAAAAAAGAAAAATTAATTAAAAATAAAATAATTAAAAAAACAGCCTTTCAAAGATTTAAAGAAATTTTGGAGTTTAAACCCGGAAATGTTCCTCAAACAAATTTGGGAGTTATCGACAAAAAGGGAGGATTGGTACAATTAGATGTGGATATACCTTTAAATGTTTTGTTGGAAGATTCTCCTAAAATTTTGAAAAAAGAAGCGAAGGTTTGGATTTTTTAGAAGGTTTTTAGTTGGGTATATATTTATTGATTTATGGCTAGTTTATATTTGTAAGGAAAGTTAACTTCTAGAAATGAAAACAAAGCTGGGGATGTCTTAAATATGTAATTATTTAAATAAATTTTTTAAAATTATTTTTTAGAAACTTTCTACTCATTTTCGACAAAAATTTTATCTAGTCGATCATCCAAATTTATTGCGAAAGCAGAGTGATACAGCACATACAGAAACATTTATTCAATATGAATTTAGAAATGATGAAGTAATTAAAATAGATTAATGTTTTTAATTTTAATTTTTTTAGGATTTTGAATATTGGCAGACGGGAAGTGATTCTGATTGGAGTGAAGGGTATTCTAAATGTGATTTTTACAAAACTGATAGAGGAACTGCTATTTTTGAAGGATATTTAAGTCAAAAAGTTGTTAAGGATGGAAGGACAGAATGTGCAGGATGGTGTTCGATAAAAACAATTGACATGATGTCGTTAAATTTGAAGAAAAGATATGAAGAATGGGGATATTACAGCCATTTACTTATTAAAGTTTTTCTTTTTAAATTTTCAAAATTTATATTTTTCAAGTGTCGAGGTGATGGCCGTTCATACAAAATAATGTTACATTCACCAGAAAGTTGGGATATAACTTGGGGAGGTTTGAAATTAATTTTAAAAAATATTTTTCTTTTTTTAATTCACTAGATACCCATTCATATCCATTACATACTCATGGAGGCCCTTATTGGCAATTTGAAATGATTCCATTTTCTAGATTTTTTTATACATATGGTGGAAGAATAATGGATAGACAATTACAATTTTATCAAAATTGTGCCAGGTTTTATTGAAATTAAATTCAAATAATATTCTTTTTAGTTCAATTGGAATAACTTTAATGGATAATCTTGAAGGACCTTTTAGATTAGAAATTGACTTTATTGGAGTGACTAATGATAAAACACACACAGAAGAACTCGCTTATGAAACTTTTAATACTCCCTTTACCTAAATTTTAAATTGTTTTTCTTTTGAATATATTAAAGCCTAAATTTTTATTGAAGACTTTTTTGATGCTTTTCTGGTTACTAGAAAAAAATTAGAATTAGCCAACATTCCAAACTTATAATGTTGATACGTAGAAATTGGTCAATGATTTTTTTCTAATTTACTCCTTTTGTAAAATGAACTTTCCCTGCAAGTTTTAACATAATATTTAATCTAATAAACATCACCAGAGATTGAAATAAGCATAGAATTTTTAAATAAAAATCATTTAAATTTTGGCAAAAGATACTTAATTTCAATCGATCGATGACTATTTATCTTCGATTTTGATGCCCTTGTCGTTCGTGCAAACCTTTTTGGATTTCATGTGTAGAAAATTTGTCATGTTTCAGACGTTCCATTGGAAGACGGTCTTCGACTAAAACCTAAAAATTAAATTAATTTATTAAAATTTTTGAAGAGTTTCAGAGAAAAACCGCTATCTATTTTTGCTAAAAGTAGTGACTTAAAGTTATCTCTGTCTTAGGAATCCAACTCATTGGTATCTATCGGAAGATTATTGAATGGACTATTCTATAAACGATTGTTTTTTATAACAGAAATAATTGAATAAATATACCAATCCTTTAAAACACGTTCTTATTACAGTCGAATGTTGATAGCACGTTTCCTTTGAGACCGAATTGTGCGAACGTAAATTGAAAGAGAAACCTATAGGGAGACATACTATCAAAACTCGAATTATTAAAAAATTTTGTCATTATTTATTAAAAGACAAGGCACCAAAAATTGTTTAAAAAACCTCAGCTCCGTCAATAAAATGAGGACGAGCACGAAGTGCGCCCTCAACAGAATCCGAATGAGCAAAAGTAATTGAAGCAAATCCTCGATGTAATCCAGTCTTTGGATCCTGAATAAGAATAAATTTATAAAACCAAAAATTAAAACATACAAAGAAAAGGCTGACATCTTTAATTTTCCCATAACGATCAAAATGTTTTTCTAATTGACTTCGACCAGTTACCCATTTTACATGTTTAAGATAAATTGTTGTTGGCTTTTGAATATTTTGAATTCCAAATCTTTCAAATAATTGATTTGTTAAAAGACGAGAGGCGAAACGCATTTCTCTAAATTTATAATCTAAAAAACAAAATCATTTACCGTTTTTTAAAGTTCCCCTTATTATCCCTACTTTACCTTTTTTCCATAATTTGTTTAACAAAGGATAAAAATTATCTCGTTTTTAGCTTTTAGTTATTTAGGTGTGTAAAACATGAGATACTTTGTTTGAGGAAACTAAAAGGCATAAACAAAAAAGGGAAAATTTAGCGAACATTTGTATAATTTATTTTCTCTAAACGCTAAAAACATGCTGCGCCGAAAAACTGGCCCCGAAACGTGCGCGCCGAACTGAGGTGTATTCGCTGATACTATAAAAGCTCGTTCTTTTTGCTTGCATCATCTTCAAATCAACTCGACTACTGCTACTTTCTTGGCAACGCTTCTCCTGTTATTCGAGTGAGTTTTGTCAGCGGCGTCTAGTACTTTCTAAAAAATTTTTGTTTTTAGCCATCGTTCGCTATTCAATCCGCAAGGTAACAGCGTCATGAAGAGGCTCGATTGTAAGGCTCTTCACTACCAATGGGGCAGAAAAGGCGCTGAAAGCACTGTGGCCCAGCTGCGAAAGGATACAATTGAGGAGGACGAGTTTTATGCGGAGGTTCTTTTGTGGAGGAAGATGAGATGTCTCATGTTTTTAAATTTCAGTTGTGGATGGGCACGCATGCAAGAGGACCATCGCAAGTGAAAGAAGGTGAAGCACGGATTCCGTTGGCGGACTACTTCAGGGATCATCCGGATGTTCTCGGGCAACACGAAAGGGATGGCGTCGGTCTTCAGTTCCTGCTCAAAGTGCTCTCTGTTGGCAAATGCTTGTCTTTGCAGTTGCATCCAACGCGGGTTTGGATCCTTGTAGTTTAATAAAGATCTTTGTTATATTTTGACAGGAACAAGCCAGAGAACTCCATGCCGCTGATCAAACCAATTATCCAGATGCCAACCACAAACCGGAGCTGACGATCGCTCTAACGAATTTCGAGATTCTCTGCGGATTCCAGATGCCGGACACAATTCTCAACAACCTTCGCTCACATGAGGCACTTGTTGAATTGTTAGGTGAAACGGTGTTGTCAAGTTTCGGCGCGACTACAGACGAGGAGGAGAAGAAGGGTGCATTAAAGAATATCTTCACACAGATCTGGACTATTCCGCCAGAAGAGATTGGGACTTTGCTCACAAAACTTCTTTCGGACATCTTTCTGAGTAAGTACTTCAAACATTTTGCCTTTCCATTTATAAAATTTCTACTTTTCAGAGGAACAACGGTCACAAACAGACGAATTGATTATGGGTCTCAGCGAACATTTTCCTGAAGACATTGGGATTCTGGCGCCGCTCTTCCTTAACTACGTCAAGCTCAAACCTGGACAAGCGACATTTCTCGGACCAAACGAACCACATTCATATTTGTCTGGAGGTGAGTGATTAACTTATTAAAAACCATAAAATATTTTTTACTTTTAAACAGATTGCATTGAATGTATGGCTCAATCCGACAACACTGTTCGCGCTGGACTCACGCCAAAATTCAAAAACGTCCCCTTGTTCTGTGAGAACCTCACCTACCGAATGGGAGGGCCGCCCATTTTTGAGCCACAACATCTGGCTGACGGTGTAGATGAATATTCGCCTGAAGTACAAGAATTTTCAGTCCACAAACTGAATGTAAGCTGATTTTTTTGTACGACTTTGAAAAAGTCTTTAATTTTTAAAAAAATTTCAGAAGGAAGTCTCTGTGGTCCAGCCAATCGCCGCTGCTTCAATCTTGATAGTCGTCAACGGTTCTGCCACAATACTCCCAAATGAAGGCAATGAGGAAAAGATTGAAAAGGGTGATGTCCTTCTTTTGCCGCAGCAACTTGGAGCTAAACTGAATGAAAAGAGTGACGATTTCTTGGTATTTCGGGCTTACACACCGCCGCCAAAAGAGAAGTAATATGGATATATAGAATTGTTGTGATATATATGTGTGTAATATAATAACTAAAATATAGGTATATTTGTTTTCCAATCTAAATTGTGATTTTCCCTTGTGTCTTAACAAAAAAACTTTGTTCCTCATCTATAAATAAATATTCTAACTATTATTTGTACATACTGTAATATATTGTATAAATTGTTTCCCTATGATTGAAAGGTTTTTTTAAAATTTAAAAAGCATTGATAGAAAACAAAATTGCACAAATTAAAAAATTAAATTAATTTTCTTAAATAAATATTTCTTCATTAAAATAATTCCCGTTTTATTATTCCTTCTATAATCCAAAATTTCCAATTGTTGAATTTGGAGAAAGTAGACAAGCTATAAATTTTGACAAATTTATTGGCATTTCTATTCCAATTTTGTGTTTATGCAAATCGTATAACTAAAAAGATTTTTGTTTTTAAAAATATTTAAGAGAGGGAATGTTTAAAAGTTTACTTTCTTTTTTAAAATATTTCTTAAAAAATATACCAGAATTTTCCCTTCTTTAGTCATCCAAAGCATGGAATCTTTATTATATTTCAAAACACCAACAAGTTTTTCTAATGCCAAATTTGGGAAATAATTAACAGCTTCTTTTGAAACAAAAGGAGCTAAATTCCAATAAGGATCATAAATAGCAAAACGATTTTTCTATAAAAATTTAAAAAATAAATTTATTTTACTTCTATAATACATTAGCTAAAATTAAATGTCCTCTATTCCATTGAAATCCTATACGAGGAACAAAAGTAATATTAAAAGGTAATTCTCGTGGACTATTCTTTGCCATCTAAAAATGTACATAAAAATTATTGTTATTTTTTTACACAAAAAATAGGATTGCCTCGGCTCGCTCGACCCGAAAGATCGAGCGAACCGAGGCTTTTCAGCTCGAAAGGCTCGAAAACGAACCGAATCGAAAAAAACCAAGCTCGAAAAATATGCACCGAACGTCGGCTCGAACCGAAAACGGCAACCCTACAAAAAATATATTTTTCTGAAAAAAACAGACATAAAATCGTTTATTCTTTTTATTCCATCTATAACGATAAACACTTCTCCAAGCAATTAATAAAGTAATTCCATTTTTCTGATTACTCAAAACGGCAGTAACTTGTCTTGGGCCATTTGGAAATAATTCTCTAATTAAATAAGCTTGTCTTGAAAAGAAAATATTTTTTTAGAATTTATTTAAAAGGAACCTTTGTTGAAGTCCATAAATATCTCTAAATACTTCATAAACAATTTCACCAGAAAATAAATATAAACGTTTATTATATCCTTGAATAAATAAACAATTAAAAATTTTTAAAAAAATATTTAATTTATACTTTCTTTTCAAAAATACTTATTTTTGGTTAATCTTTCTTTCAAATAAAGGATTACTCGTAATTAACTTAAAAATATTTCTATTTACTTCCCTAATTTACCTTCAGTAACAGCATCTAATTTATTTGGACATTTATTTGTATTTTTTGCGGTAATTATTGATAATAATGAATATTTTTTGAATTTTTGTTTTTTCTTTGCTTCATTATTAAAATAATAATAATAATTGTTTTTATTATTTCCATTTTTGTTTCTGCTAACATAGTAATATTTAACTCCAAAATTTGTATTACTAATTGCCCGTCTTTCTGTAAAGTTTATAATTTTATTTGATTAAATTCTAAAATTATTTTTTATTATCAAAACTATCTTGATGGGAGCAAACAACAGAGTTGCAGGCCCGAGATTCAAAAATCAAAAATTCAAGGAAATAACTACATATTTATTAAAAGTGCCTATTTTTTTGAATAAATAACGAAATAAAAAAATTAAAAACAAACTTTTAATATTCTTTTTAATTTGTGATTCTTCTTTCAAACTTTCAATTTCTTTTTTATTTTTTAAACCAAAAATTCTTTCTTTATTTTCAATATTTAAATCAGAATTATTTTCAGAAATTATATTTGAATTAAAAAATAAATTAATTAAAATAAATAAGAAAGAAAATAGGAGGAGAAAAAGTAATAAATATAAATTATTTTGGTGTTTTTGAAACATTTTTAATTGAAAAAATATTTCTGAAAATTAACTCATTTCTGAAGAAAATATTATTTAAAATAAAAATTAAAATTGTAATATATAAATAAATAGCTAGCTTTCTTTCTCTCCCAAAAAATACTTCTTACTCATACATATTTTTTTACAAAAATAGTAGCAGCAGAAGTAGTGAAGTATTAGTTACTTTTTTTTAACAAAATATTTATGTAAATTGACCAATCTCTTCCTTTTTTAAATATCAAAAATAAGTAAAAAATGATTGGCCAAATTTTGATTTTATATTTAAAAATATGTGTGTCTGAATGGAAGGGGTTCTGAATGGAGGAGATTTAATTTAATTGTTGAAAAAAATGAAATTTAATTTGGATTTTTATTTTTTTAAATTTATTTGAAGTCTTCAACTCTTTTAAATAAATTCTTCATTTATCTGTAACTTCTATTCAAATTTAATAAAATTATAAGTTAAAATGATTTCCCTGTTTTTCTTATAAACGAAATGAGTGAAAGATTTTAATTTTGTGTAACTTAAAATTTTGGAAAAATAAAGGAAGGAATATAAAGGAAGGAAGTATTTATTTTTTTGTAATAGGGAAATCCAAACTGACAGAGATTCAGATACAGGCTAAATAAGTATATAAAATTGTTAAATGAAGAAATATTTATTAAATTAATTTAAAAGTTTTGTATCAAATGCTAGGGACTTTCAAAACACAAATTAAATATTTTTTATTTTTCTTTAAAAGAGAAAAGGTAAATAAATAAGTGGGAAATGTTTGATCTAATGATCTGATAACTTTAAATAAATTGTGGTTAAAAAAATTGTTTTTTTAGTTTAACATTTTTGTTGTTTGAGAAGAAAAGTTTAAAGAATTTATTTTTTAAAAAGGTCTTGAAAAATTAATTTAAAAGGAGGGAGTCTTTTAAAAAAATAAACAAAATTGTATTTAATTTTTAATTTCTCTATTAATTTTTCAAAATTAAATTTTCTATGTACAATAACAAGCCTCTCTAATTCAAAATTAATTTTGGTTATCTCAAAATTTTTTAAAATTTTTTACCTTGGATTTTATTTTTAAATATTAAACAAAAAATTATTTTTAATTTAAATAAAAACTTTAACAAAATTAATTTAAAAATATTTTTAAATAAAAGAAATCATAATTTAATTTAGTTAAAATAAAGTAAAATAATTAATTACCTATTTTCAGTTAATAAAAAAGCATTATTTAAATTACAGAAAAGTTGCATTAAAAATATTTATAGAAGATTAGTACTACATAAAAACAACTTAATAATTACAATAATAGGAATTCTTCAAAAATTTGAAAGTTTTTAGGGGAAAGGAATTTTAAATAAATTTAATTTAAAAACACTAACGAAAAAAGAAAATCTTTTTAAAAAAATTAATTTCGATGAAAAAGCCCGGCAACCAAATTTGGCAAAGAAGAAACAAAATTAATAAAAATCTTTAAAGAATCAAAAACAATCCCCAAAATATTACTAAAAATTCTTTTTCCGTGCGTACATTTTGTTTTAATTGAAGGTTTTGGGTATTTAGACCAGCAATCGACTACTTGCCTTTAAAAATAATTTAAACAAAAAAAATTTCTAAAAAAACTTGTCACAATGACACAAAGCTTCTTTGCATCCATTTAAAGTTTTTGGACAATTAATTACTTTATTTTTACATTCCCAACCATAATCATCAATATATTCAAATTCTACATCAAAACAAATTCCTTTATCTACAGCCAAATCATAACATTTATCGTGTGCCATACAACAACTTTTAAAAATTAAAAAAATTAATTCATTCCCCAAACAATCAATTTGGCAATCCCCGAGAATATTTTCAGAATTTTTTTTCGAAGAAACCTTTATTCTCCGGGATTTCCGTTAATTTAAAACCCTCCAAAAATATTTAATTAAATAAACCTATCAATTTTATCCATAGGTTCTCCAACTCCCCCAACTCCACACCAACAACCATAATCATTATAAGCCAAAGCACTATACCCCAATTTACATTCAGCCATTTTATTTAAATTCCACAAAGCCTCATATCCCCCTTTTCTTCTTTTTGTTGTTAAATTAGTTAAAGCAGCTACTTCAATTAATAAAAATAAAAAGAAAAAAATTTTCAATAAATTAATTAATCGAGGAGACATTTAAACTAAAACTAAAAATAAATAAATTAATAAAATCAGCTGATATTAAAAACTATTCGGTATCCACACAAATTGCCAATGACTAATTTCGCCAATAAAGGTAAAAATGTTTATTTTGCCACAATAAGTGAAAAATTCTTTGTAAATAAATTTTTCTGTTTTTTTTTTGTCGCCAAAATCGGCTACAAAACCTAAATGAGGATATCAGTAAAGGATAAAATTAAACTAGTAAATAATTAGACGAACATAAAATGGACTAAACAATAAAAACCAAAAATTTAAATATAGAGTGTTTCAACTAAGAAGCACTATTTTATCGATATTTCCTTCATTTCAAAAATTTTAAAAAATTAAAAGATTAAATTGTATAAATTTATAATTCAGTAACAGGCAATATACTACTACAATTTCTTCCATCAACTTCTGCTAATAATTTAATAAATTCATTTTTTCTTCCATTATTTTTTCTATAAAATGTTGATTCAATTTCCGGCTTTTTATTTAAAGATTGAATAAATGTTAAATGTGAAGGGGTATTTATTAATAAATTGTCTTCGTCTTTCTCAACAATTTTTAATGTTTTACATTTTCCATTATTTAATGATTGTGCTGTGATTAAACAAGGTAATGGACTCTGGAAATAAATAAAAATTATTTTTTTAAATACTTATATGTATAAAGGTAAAAAATAAAAAAAGATTTCTCCCAATCTAAAGAAATATTTAGATTAAATAACTTTAATTTCTTTTCTCTAATTAATTTATAACATGATTATTTTAATTTATTTAATTTTGTTAGAAAATTCTTAAAAACAATTTAGCCTTCTCTCTTCTTGAACCAAAAATATTTTTTTCTTAAATTTAATTTTAATATTTACTCGAATAATTGGATGTTTTCCTTTTTTAATTCCTCCATTACAAATAAATTCATTTCCTTCTTTATCCTCCAAAATATTTTTTGTTTCATTTTCAATTTCTACATACAAATTTCCAGCTTTCCATTTAATTGAATTTAATTTTTTTAAATTTTTATTTTTTCTATATGGACAAGAATGACAAAAATTGTGTTGACTTTTAAATTGGGAAATACACGGACATTGAAGCCAAACAGGGGAAACTGATTCTGATATATTTGTTGAAGTTGTCGTTATTAAATGATTTCCATCATTTACTTGAAAAGGAAAAATTTAAAATTATATTTTTTTGAAATAAAAAATTATAAATTAAAAATCTAGGAAAAGGTAGAATAATCTAAATTCAAAAATTTTTTGAAATTTTTCCGTTTCTTGAAGAGGAGTGGGGGGGGGGGGGGGTTCCACAGGAACACACGGATTAATTTAAATATTCGCCTCCTCCCACTTCTAAATATTTTAACACCATTATCTGGAATTCAAAATCAACTGTTTATATTCTCTATTAAATCATCTTTTTGTTATGTTTTTATCTTTAAATTAAGTTACGAGAAAAAACTTTCTAGTCACCCTTTAATTAAAAGCCTTCTTCCTGTATTCTTAAAACTTTTACATGCACCTACATCTCGTGGTTAGTGATTCGAATTATTTATAAAGATTAAAAAGAATTTCTTTTAATTACAAAACTTACCAAATTTTGAATTATTTTGATTTAATAAATTAATATTTCCATTTTTTATTCCATTATTATTTTTATCAATATAATAACCAAAACAAGAAAAACATTTTGCAAAATATTTTCTTTAAAAATTTAAATATATTTATTTATTTATTTAAAATAAACTAAACTTACATAAAAACTTCTCTATATTCTTTATTAAAAATTAAATAAATAACACAATTAACAGAAGAATTAAAAACAACCAAAAAATTACTAGCATCTGATAATAAATTTAATAAAAGAGGATCTGGTTCAAAAAAAGTTTCAATTAAATTAACAATAAGTGAAAGAGTATTGCAACACAAAAATAAAACAACAACCTTTTTAATTAATTTAATAATTAATTAAAATTAATTAAAATTACCATAACCATAGTAATTGTTTCATCAGAACTTGGATTTATAGTTCCCGTAGATTCAATAGAAGGGGCACTTTTTAATGGAGAAAATTTTAAATTTCCATTTTTATGATAAATAATTGGTGAATTTATTGAATTATTTTGTTGTTGAATTGTTGGGGAAGAGGAAGAAGAAATGGAAATACTTTAAAAAAAAAAGGAAAATAATATTAATAGATATTTATTAAAGTAAAAAAGATATTACACCCTTTAGGGATGAAACAAAAGTCTTTCAAGGAGGTGTGGTCTAATACAGGCAAATTTTTAATGTCCAAAAATTTATTTAGATTTATTAAATATTCGCCCCCATCTACTTCTAAATATTCTACCGTCATTATCTGGAATTCAAACCCTTCCCTCCCATAATGGCCAAGCAAATATTAAGAATTGTATGTATTTTGAGAATATTTTGGGAGGAGGGGGGGGGGTATATTTGCGAGAAATTATTTTTATTTTTTAATACCTTTTCTTTAATTGTCTTGAATGTTTTGCATCAACAGATTTTCGAATAATAATTAAAGTATTTAAAAGTAACAAAATAAAAAAAGGAAATAAAGTCATTGCAAACATGTATAAATAAACTTTAAAAAGGATTAGAAGTTTAAATTAAAGTAAAAACCATTATAAATAGTGTTTATATGATAAAATAAATATGTTGGGCATATTTCAATAATCATATCCCCACTTCCATCGTGAATACATTTTCTCAAATTAAATTGTGGAAAACGTAAAGAATTGTAAATTATAGAGCAAATAATTGTTAAATAAATTATATTTTTGGCTTTTTTAATTGTGCAGTGAAAGGGGGAGTGTTTGCGCCAACAAACCTTTTTAAAAAATAAAATAAAAATTATTTTATTAAAATATATTCTTACACAAATATAACAATCAAAAGCAGCTGCTACAGTAAAATAAATAGAACAGGATTGTGCCATATATCCAAAAGGTAAAGTATATACCTTTTTTAATTAAAAGGAAAATATTTATTTATTTATTTAAAATTAACTGTAGTGTAGGGTGCTTGTACTAATTGGGGAATATAAGAACGTGCAGAGTCTATCCAAAAAATAAATAATCCAGTCAAAACAACAGAAAAGTCTGAGAAGGCCAAGAAAAGTAAATAAGTATTTGATGAATTTTTCATACAAGGACGGGTAAAAACTTGAAAAGAAAAAAAATAAAAATATTTTTTAATTAATTAATTAACCAAAAATATTAACAAAATTAGTTAATACACCAAATACAGAAAGGGAAGGTAACATAACAATAATAACAATATAATTAAACCAAGCATATAAAGGTGAATAATCTTCGTGTTGTAAATCAGAACAAATACCTTTTTTTAATTAATTAAATTATTTATTCCCTCGACAGACTTACAATGACTTGAATTAAATTCCCCTCCTCCATCAAATGGTTGTATAGCCATAATACTAAATTTAAAAATAAATATTTTATTTATTTTTAAGGTAAATTGAGAAGTAAAATATTTGGAAAAAACCTTGGAAAGAAAGGGACAATCCCTTCAACTGTTAAAGTTGTTTCTCTCGTTGCCATTTCTTCCTCTACTTTTTTTTTTGTATTTGAAGAGAAGGCTAATTGGAAGAAAATAAAAGAGAGAGAGAAAAGCTTTTTATGGAAGTTTTTTTTTAACTTTTTTTTTAGAAAATTATATTTTTTTGCTTCTTCTTCTCTTTTAATCACTGCTCTTTTAAATCCCTTTTTGCCTTTTTTTAGTCAAATAAAAATATTTTTATATTTTTAAGTATTTAATAGAGTAGTTAGTTGCAGTCATTAATATATTCTTTTTACGAATTCTTAAAAAAATAATTTTTTAATAAATAATAATCAGAATCTCGATACTTATACTAACAAACTCGGAGGGATTAAATTAAAAAGTAAATTCATTTTTGTTTTCATGAGCCTATACCAATTTATTTAACTATGACAATTAATTAAAGGTTTTACATATTTACTTAAATAAAGCTTGTCTTATTTTTAATATACTATAAAGTTTATGGAAAAGATTTTTTAAAAAATATTTCTTCAAATATATTTCTTAAAACTCAAAAATTACTTTTTAAATATTTAAAAGTCAATAATTTGAAAATGTTGAAAAGAATTGTGAGAATAAATATCAAATTAAATATTTGACTTTTATTAAAAAAAAAAGAAGAATTTTTTAACTATAAATTTGCCGAAAAGTTCTTTCTTCCAAAAAAGATAGATTTATGAGACTCTGGGGATTAAAAAAGAAAAAAATGATAGGATCATTTAAATAAAGAAAAAGTTTTTCTTTTTTTTTAATGTTAACGGCTGTTCTGGGCTCCCATACAAAATCTCTATTCCTTAAAATCGCTATTCCTTAAAATCTCTACTAGGCTAAAAATGCTTAAAATCTCTATTCCTTAAAATAACTATTCCTTAAAATCTCTACTGGGGTAAAAATAATTAAAATCTCTACACCGCGCAAATGGCGGTTGAGTCTCAACAAAAGTGTACCATCTGAATCTTTCTCTGGAAAAACCAGACTTGTTAATGGATACGGGTACAATTAGTTTAAAAATGGCTGCCATATCCGCCTGTATCCGCCTTAAATATCGAAAATATAAGACACGACTGCTTCGCTGCGGTCGTGTTCATTTTCCTTGCGGTGATCGTATCGAAGCGGCTGCTGTCGTTCCGCTGGACATGCCTGGGTTCATCCGCAGCGTCAAAAACTATACAAGCAAAAGATAATCCAGAAATCAGATCAAAAGATAATCCAGAAATCAGAACAACGTTCCCGCACTTAACGTTGGCACTCAAAAGGCTTCTTAATAAAAATAGATATTTTGCCTATTTTTGAGCCTTGTAGAGATTTTAAGGCATTTTACTCGTGTAGAGATTATGAGGAATAGAGATTTTAAGGAATAGTTATTTTAATCATTTTTAGCCGAGTAGAGATTTTAGTGAATTTTAGCTGTGTAGAGATTATAAGGCATTTTAGCCCAGTAGAGATTTTAAGGAATAGAGATTTTGAGGGGATACGGCTGTTCTGACAAAGTAAATACATATCCCCCGTTGTTTTTGAGGCTTTTAAAGGTATAAAGGGTGAATTGAACATGAGACGAATAAAAAATGAAAAACAATCCCGGGGGTAATGAAACAAAAAAAGAAAAGAAATATATAAACAAAAATATATATGTATATACCTTTATATTTTAAAAATTTGAAAAAAAAATTTTTTTTAATAAAATGAAAGAAATTTTTAATAAAAAATTAAACTTTTTTAAAGTAATTTAAAGAATATAAAATAAAAATATTTTTATTAAATATTTTTGTTTAATTAAAATAATTAAAAACCCCCTCCTTCATTTTATTTAAATTTTACACTTAAAAAATGACAGAAAATTGGAAGGAATTATTTTTATTTATTAAAATAACCTATTATTATAATTGCGAAAATGAGGGTAAATAATAAAATGAAAATAGGATATATGTATTTTGTTGGAATAATATTAAAAATATATTCTGTAAAAATGAGAAATTTCCAAAAAAAATGTTAAAATAGAAGAATAAAAAAAATAATTTTAAAATTTAGTTTTCTAAATGAATAATTTTTAATAAAAGAAACAAAGGAAAATTCTATAGAAAACAAAGCCTAAATTTTTACGCTAATTTAAATAAATTAAAAAATCAAAATTGACTTTAAAAAATATTAGAACAAATAATAATGAAAAATAAAATGTCAGCAAAAAAATTTCAGAGATTTACTACAACAATTTGTCAAATAAATTTTTAAATATTTAACTAACGCTGCTTTAATTAATAACTTCTAATTAACGAAGGAATAGGTTTCAGTGTTAAAATTTAAAAAAAATTTCCGTCTTGATTGTCCCACTACTCTTTTTTGTTCTGCATATGACTGTCCTGGTTATATAAAAAATAAAAAGTTAAGTTATAATAAAAAAATATATTTTTTTAAAGCTTTAAAAAATCTAATTTTACTTCTATTGTGCCAATTTTAGTACCTATTCATTTTTAACTTTGAATTTATAGAATGACGATGATACCTCACGCGTTCTTCATCACTTTATAATATAATTTTTGTAAAAAGAATATTTTAAGGTTAAAAATAGGGAAAAATAAATATGTAGAAATTATTTCGAAAAATTTGTTTAAGAGTTTAAATGAAAATTATAAAATTATATAAATACTAAATATGTATAATTCTTGAATAATTGCTCAGGTAATTATTGTTACAACCTCTCTTGGAAGGGATAATTAATAATTAAAAAGCCATCTAAAAAAACTCCTCTTCTCGTATAATAAAAATTTTCCAAAATCAGAAAAAGTTATTTTCATTTTACCTTTTAATTTAAAAAAATTTATCCAAAAAATATTTTAAACAAAATCATTCCCTTCTTTACTTAATTTTCCTTTTCTCATTCAATTACAAGGCCACACATTAATACTTTCTTTATATCTCCGACAGAAAAACCGGACATATATTTATTGTTGTCCATTTACTCATCAAACAAACAAAGCCTTTTATAAATGAAAATGTCCACAGACTAGAATGAGGAAGAAAAAACATTTAACAATTTTCTTCTGACTGAACAGAAAAAGCAAAATTGGTTAGTCTTTTCTTATTTTATTTTTGAAGAATTGTTTTCTAATTATCTTATGTAAGTGAATATTTTTAATAATTATTTTAAATTATTTTTAATAAATATCAAAAAATCCTAACAAAATCTATTCTCTTTTTATTTAAGGCTGCCCCTCGAAGGATTTACAAAACATTCACTTCTCTTATTCCTTTGCTTTTGCTGTATTTGGACACTCTGTTGTAGTCAATTAGCACATTTGGTTGGACTAGCACCAAAATCAAGCCTAGAAGACCACAAATTATTGGATCACCATTCAAGGCACCATTCATTAATGGGACCGTGTCTAGACAGAGGTGAGATATAGAATACAAATTTAAAAAAATTAGCGTTTCAGGTCAATTTTGTGATAAATTAAAACGATTTTGCAATGATTTCAAATATCAAACATTAATAAATAAAGAATGCCGTGCTACTTGTGGAAGATGTTAATTGTTTAAAAAATGATCTTATTTTTTATTTTTGAGGAAAAAGAGAGGTCCAACTAGCTAGGCACTTGAAACGGTTACCAGGAAGGGGTTTAAGATCTATTAGAAAAGAAAGTGAAAGCAGCTCCCGTAACTAAGTCGTTAGAGCACCTTGAGTATACTCGGATGCTTGCCCGGGACTAAACTTTTACCTCTCTTTTACTATGTTAAAATTTGTTTGCCAACCGAATTTTTTTAATTTTAACAAATTAAGTTAACAAAAGTCCAAAAAATTTCATCAAAAAGGTTACTAATTTGAATAAACTTTTACTAAATGACATTGATACATAAAATTGAATAATCAAAGGTCAATATATTTCGGTACAATTGCATTATGTGCCTCCATTTACTTTTATAAATAAATGAGCTCATTTCCGGCTTGATTATGTTTCGGTCCAATAAATAGGGTCTCGCCTAATGTCTAAAAGATGCCCCCTCATAAATTAAAAATGGAGGCACCCAATGCGACGGAATCTATATTTTAGATAATAAAGGAATTTTTAATGCGTTCACAAATATATAAAAAAATTAAAGTTAATTGAAATATAAATAATTTTTCCTTTCGCTTATCTAAACTTCATTTCATGTCTCGTAGGAGAAATTATATTTTGAGAATTTACTACCTTTTGATTTTTTAAATATTTGTCTAAAAGCCACATAGTACCCCATTCTTTCAGTTAAAATTTAAAATTATTTATTTCCAATTTATCATTTTTTAAACAAATTTTTCACCATAAAGCTTCTGGAAATCCATTATCAGCACTAAATCCTTCATCATTCGCCTTTTTCATATTAAATGGAGGAGTAGATCCTTCACCTTCTGTTTGGCGCCAACGCCTTTTTCCCTTTTCTTTTCCAAAAGCACTTTCAGCCAATTCATGAAGACGTGGGGGAACTACTTGTTTTGCCTCTTCCAAAACTTTAATTAAATCTCTAGCTTTCGGGGAATTATTTTGCGTGAAGAAAGTGTAACTCGTCCCCTGTTAAAAAAGATTTTACTTAAAAATAACAAAATAGGTATACCGTTTTATCTTGACGCCCAGTACGTCCAATTCGATGAACATAGTCCTCAGAATTATTCGGATAGTCATAATTGATGACATATTTTATATCAGAAACGTCTTAAATATAAAATAATTTAAATGTTTTAATAGAAAATAATTCCAAATTTTCAATAAAACTAACAAAAAAATTAAAAAAAAAGACCAACCTTCTCCAATACTCCGTAGTACCACGATGATTTCGCGGAACACGGAACCAGGAAAAGGTTTGGTCAGCCAGAGTTGGCCATCGCGCGAACATTTGAACATTCTCCTTCTCTCGTAATAAAATTGTGCGCGACAACCAATCGTGTGAAACGATTTTTTAATTTTATGACGATCCACACAAACACAACAGTAGAGCAGCCAGCCACGTCCTTCCAAAAAATAAATACCTGAATATGACATGACCAACTTTTTTACTGTTGTTTCCCTTCAATACTTCCTCGATTCTTTGTTTTTTATTTTTTTAATTAATTTCCGCCGCATTCATATAATTTTTAAAAAAATATATTAGCAGCGTTTGAGATGATTTTCTAAATGATGTTTTGTATTTATTTGAGGAAGAGTAGTAGGGAGAGTACGGAACATCAAAAGAAAACGATCCACACGATGCACTGGCTATCTTATTTCTTAGCCCCCAGAGAACATACCCAATCCACGAGCAGCGACATCAGTCGCAAGCAAAATAGGGGTTTTACCCTCCTTGAATTCTGTAAATTTAACATTTATTTAATCAAAAATAGTAAGAAAACCCGACCCGCAAGAACCCACTCCCGTTCTTTTTGCTCTTTATCACCGTGAATACATAAAGCTGGCCAACCTATAATAAACATATAATAATTAAACGTCAAAATTATTTACCATCACGCCGCATATTTCGAGTAATCTCATCTGCTTTTCGTTTAGTTTCAACAAAAATGAGTGTTTTGCATTCTCGCTTTAAATTTAAAAAAAAATGAGAAAATCAAAATTTTTGTTTTTTAAATATTATAAAATAATGTAGACCAGTTAAAGTACATAAAAAAGCCAAATTCTAGCTAATTCATGGTTGCAAAAGGTCTTCATTTAATTTTGCGCTTTTCAAAACTCCCTTAATACTGAAAAATCAAGGAGAGAAGAGTAAAGCGCCAAATAATTTTTAAAACGCTAAAAAAGACAAACCTGTCTCATAATATGATCAAGAAGTTGGAAAAGCCGACCTTGTTTTCCAAACTCATCAATAATCTCAATATGTTGTTGAATATTATGATTGGCAGCTAATTCCAAAGAGCCAACATGTAAATGGACAGGATTATTCTGAAAATCGGCAGCAAGAGTCCTAACTTCTTTTGGCCAAGTAGCTGAGAACATTAAAGACTGTCGATCGGGCTAAAATAAATTTCATGAAATGCTAAAAATAATAAAAATTACTCTAATTTGGCCAACAATCTTGCGAATTTGAGGTTCAAAACCCATATCTAACATACGATCAGCCTCATCAAGCACCAAAAATGTACAACGACGCATGTTTGTTGTACCAGATTCAAGAAAATCAAGAATACGTCCAGGAGTAGCAATACAAATGTCTATGCCTAAAATAATAACAATTTAATAATCAGGGGTATAGAAAATAATAAAGGGAAAAATAATAATGTCATCCCAGAGTTGCATCTTTCAGGACGAATAAAACTTGACAATTAATTATATTAAAAATTATTTTAAAAACCTCGCTTCAAATCGCTTGCTTGGCCTTGCTTAGCTGCTCCGCCATAACAGCAATTAATTTCAAGGTGCATTATACGGCAATATTCACGAGCAACTTCTTCAACTTGAACAGCCAACTCACGAGTGGGTAAAAGAACAAGAACAGTTGGCCCTTCATTTGGACGACGAGGAAGCTGACTAAAAATTTCATGTGTGTTTATATTCAAAAGATTAAGATTATACTTCAATGTATGCACAATAGCTGGTAAAATAAAGCCAAGTGTTTTGCCAGAACCAGTCTTTGCAATTGAAATCATATCACGGCCACTGAGAGCTACGGGCCAAGAAATGCTTTGAATCGTTGTAGGTCGATGATAATGGGCACAAAGAAGGTCAATTATCTCTTCTAAAAAGATTTGAAAAAATGAAGATAAATCAAAAACAAACGTGGAAACCCGCTCTCATGAAACTCGGATATCGGACGAGGAATGTTATCACCCTCAAGAGTGACTTCAGTGGTTCTAAGCCATTCAAGAATTTCTGATTGTTCACGCCGAGTAATAGAAGCATGCTCACGATATAAATTTTTCTTGATGGGAGGAAGTTGAGAATGATCCCATTCTATAGGTCGAAGCTTCTTCCCAGCATCATCCATCCGTCTTGGACCTAGATTAATTGTTAAATATTTATTTATAAGTAAGTCAACCTCGATTTGCAAAATCACCACCACCTCCTCCTCCATAATTTGGAACGCCCCCTCCAAATCCTCCAAAACTTCCAAAGCCTCCACCACCACCAAATCCACCAGCTCCAAAACCGCCACCTCCTCCATAAGCGCCGTAACCATGAGGTGGTCCATAGCCATGGGGCGGACCAAACCCACCCGGATGAGGTAAATGACCGAAACCACCTCCACGTCCTCCACCACCACCGCCTCGGCCTCCTCCGCCAGCACCAAATCCACCTCCTCTACCGCCACGGCCTCCTCCACCGCCACCAAATCCGCCTCTACCTCCAGCAGCACTGCCTCGGCCTCCCCCTCTACCACCAAATCCACCGCCTCCTCCACGACGACTAAATTATGTGTTTAAAATACATTTTCTATTCTTACTTTTTGTCTCCACGACGTTCTCCTGGCATTATTTGAATATTAAAGCAATAAAAAGCTAAAGTTTATGAGAATAAGCGCCTCCTGAAATAAATGTTTATTAAAAAAATCAACTTAAAATGAATACTACACGATTCAAAAATTAGAAAAACTGAAAGCGTCAACCCTACAACTTATCATTTCAATCGATTAGTAATGGTTTACGATAAAATTCGTTTCAAAATTAATATTTTAAACTCCTATTATTTTACAAATACAAAAGGAAAATGAACCATTAAAAATTTCAAAAATACTATTGCAGACATTTTTATCACTTTAATTAACACAATGTGCACAAAGAACAATACATACGTTTGTTTATACATTAGAAAATATCTATCCTATTATGAATACATCTATCGTCCAACCACATCCTATCAGGCCCCCGAGCTCGACTTGTTTTTCTTCTTGTCGGTATTAGACCTCTTCCTCGATCGGGATCGCGACTTCTTCTGTTTCCTCTTCCTCTGCGCCTCCTCGGAGCCCAACATTTTCTGTTTCAGCCTATCCATGAACGTCTTTGACCTCTCCCTGATATAGAGCGAAGACTCCCTGTCAGCCTTCCAGAGTTTGAGAGCTAATTAAACAAAAAAGTTTTTTCTAAATTTAAACAGACCTTACCAATTGTCGTTTCGTTTCTCAGGTTGAATGGATGCGCTCTCTTCGGGATATTAGGCATGTAGGCTTCATAGTCAGCGCTATCCTCTCCCTTGTCAGATTTTTCCGCGCTTCCTCCTGCCATGCAAAACAGACAATTTACCTATAAAAAACCATCATCAAAAAAAAGTTATAGAAACTAACCTTTATAGTTGTCGAACAAACAATATTGACAGTGAAGATAATGAATTCACCTTTCTTAAAAGCCTTTTATAGTATGACAACCTCAGCCCAAACGAGGAACCAAAAATAAAATTCTAATGTATTTTTGAAGTAAATTAAATACAAATATATAATGAAAACAATTAAATAGAATCAGCTTTATCAAAAAAACAATTCAATAGAAGGGTGAATGAGCATATATTTAATTGTAAAGAGGTGAATACCGGTGTGTATAGAATCATAAGCAAAGAATAAATTCAGCAAAAATTAAGTAAAGCCAAAAAAGACGAAACATTTTTATTAAAATAATTAAAAAAATAACTTTGTTTAAAATTTTAAATGTTTCGCCTTCGGAAAAAGAAAAACAAATATTTTTATTTATTTAAAAAGCAATTCAATTATTAACATTTTGAGGCAAAACCGAAGGCGCTTTGCGTTTTGCATAAAGACAAATAGCAGCTGAAAGAACAGCAAATGCCAAAATAACAACAATAAAACCAACAACAGTAAAGAACACAACACAGCCCACAAACGGACAGACATCATCGCTGGTGGAATTAGCCTAATTTAAAAATTTTTTAAATTATTTATTTCAAAAAGGCATTAGATATTAGGTTATCAAAAAATAAAATTTCCAAAATGTTAAGTCATCCCAAGCAAGAAAAAACTCCAAAAATCTAATTCAGAACAGAAATATTTTAGGAACATATTTTATAAAAGAAATACAGGTTTTCCAGTAGTGCTGATGTTGTCCAAATTGAAAGTTCCCATCATATTCTCTCCTAAAAATTAAATAATAATATCAAAACAAATTCAAAATTTACCTCCAACCATTCCATCATTACCCAAAATTCCCATTTGGTATGTATTGTTTAATTCAGGCATTCCCGTCGTATTTGTAGCCAACGAATTGTTGAAGACTTCACCATCCTCAACATCCCAAGCAGTACAGAAAATAAGTTGAAGAACAAAAAACATAAAAGAGCAGAAGAACATTTTTAATATTTTTTTGAATAAATCAATCTAAAATACAAGAGAAAATTAAAACAAAATTGTTGAACAAAACCCAAAACAAATTGATAAAAATACAAAAAATATAAAATTGGATATAAAAATATATCAACAGATTTCATTAATAAAATATTCAAAAAAATTTTATCAAATAAAAGAACAAAATAATTATATATTACACAATAAAGAATTTCTCATTACACAGCAATTCACAGAAGAAACCAAATATAGAGAACATCACAGCAATGCACAACAACGCCTCTTACGTTTTGGAATTGGCGGAGGCAGAGCTTCGAGGTCTTTCGCTGCTTAAAAATAAAAGAAAATTTAAAAGAATTAAAGAAATTTTGAAACAATTTTTGAATTAAAGAAGGAAATCTGGGTAAAGAAATTAGTTGGACTAAATTATAAAAATTACCCAACCATTTTGGACTGGCGATTTGTCTCGCAACGAACTAAAGTCACCAACAACTTCATATTCACTCTTCTTTTTAACAACTTGATCAGGCATGTGAAGAATTATAGAATTATAATGAAATATTAATTTTTGATGATAATCCTATTAAAATAATTAAAAAACCAAAAAATGTGCCCACGAAAAATTTTGAGTTTTATAGGAAAAAAGGAAGATAATTAATTTACATTTTCTGTGACAAAACATGCATAAATCCTCTTGATTTATCCTACAAATTAATTTAAAAATTAATCGGATATTCTTTACAAATTATAAATTATGCAAATTGAAAAATAATTGGTTGGCATTTTGTTTGCATTTTATCGCGGTAATTTAAGGTGGTTGTACCTTTCGTCAATAAACTTTGCGTCAATGAACATTTCGTCAATAAGGCATTATTTCTCAAAAATTTTGTGAAAATAGGATTGTACCGTGAACGCTCGGGGTGGGCATGTCGGGGTACGGGGGTTTCACATTTTTTCACCTGTTTCCTATTCTGTATTTCGGCTTTTGTCCACTGAAGATTTATGAGTGTACTTAAGGTTGAAAAACAAAAGCAAGCAGTCTCTAATAGAAGCACAGGATTGAAAAACAGAAGCACACGTGCATTAGAAGATTTACGGTAATTGGAAAACACAAAACACGCCATGAATTCACGATTTTCGTGGTTTCACATCATCCAGCACATCTAAGTATAAGTCCATTTATAGGTTCCTAATAAATATTTTTAAAAACTTATCGACGATGGAAATTTTAGGTATATTTTAAATATAAAAATAATTATGATGTATTTAGGCTAATTCTTTGAAAAAAATATTAATTTAATATATTTTCTAAATAAAATTCTTTTTCCCATGTATAGTTTATACAAAACCCGTTAAAAAAGTTTTACTTTTCACTTGCAAATAAAAAATTTCCACGCTTTCGAAAAATGCGTAAATATAAAAAAACTTTTTCTTGAAAATCTCATACTATGTTAGAAAAAATTATTTATTTTTATATAAAAACCCTTTAAAGTTATTTTAAATATTAATTAATTTTAAAAAAATGGGTAACGGTTTAACCATTTATAATAAAAAATGTTTAACATGTGCAGCAAATCAAGTTGGCGGTAATAATATTCAAATTAAAACAGTTATTGTAACTGCACCATCACCCTTTCAAGGTTTTGATGTTTAAAATAATTCAAGAAAAATTGCAGGAACAAAAAATATTTTTTATAATATTTAATAGCTAAAAATAAAAAAGTGAAGTCCTTTTTTAAATTTATAATGATGACTATTCAAAATAATATTTAACTATAATCAACAGATTTTTGTATAATTTTGTTGTTCAATATGAATTTTATCAAATGAGAATATTCAAAATTAATTACTCCCTAATAAAATTACAATTTTCAAAATATTCACAAAAAATAATCCAAAAATTCTTCGATATCCAAAAATTATTAAATTTAATTTAAACAATTTTAACTAAAAAATTTAAAAATAAATTAAAATATTTATCAAGGCGATCAAAAACACACAGAAGCAATTCGCCGTCTTTCACAAATTTTATTAGATGATTTAGAAAATGGAACACATCAAAGTTTTTCTATGCGTGATAGAGAAATGTATAAATAAATAAATAATTTTTCTTTCAAAAATTTTATTTTTAAAGAATTGCTCGTTGTTGGAGAAAATATATATCTGGTAAAAGAACAGATATATTTCATAAAACAATGCTTAGATGTATTGAAGCAAGTCCAAAATTAAATGAAATAATTGCTTGTGGAAGATATTGTTATAGAGATTTGAGAAAATGGCCAAAATTAAATAAAATTTGGTTTTAAAAAATTTAAAATAAAAAAAAATATTTTTTAAGTCAATCACAATTTAAATTTTATGAAAAATTAATTTACGAATTAAATATGGATCAACAAAAGATTTTAATTGCTTGTTATAATCTTGGAAGAACACATGCTGAATATTCACGTTATGGAATGAAACCTCATTTTTTGGATATTTATCAACAACAATTACTTGGTTAGAAAAAAGGGAGGAGGGGAGGGGGTTACTTTAAAACAGGGCTCTCATTCGTACTTTATTTGAAAGTACAGTACTTTAAAATCGACCTCCGTACTTACAAAATTGAATTTGTACTTTATTGAAAGTATGTACTTTAAAATCAACATTTTAGATTGAAAATGAAATTGGGGAAGGGATTGGGCAAAAAAGTAATTTATTTGGCCTATGGCCTTCGAAATTCTCAAAATTTTCGCCTGCGGCGCTGAAAAAGGAAGAAATCTGGCTTCTTGGGCTCCAAATTTCAAAAAATTTTCGCCTGCGCTGCTGAAAAAGTGAATTTTTTTGCCTACGGCCTTCTAAAATTTTAAAAATTTTCGCCTGCGGCGCTAAAAATGGAAGAAATATGGCTTCTTGAGCTCTAAAATTCTCAAAATTTTCGCCTGCGGCGCTGAAAATGGACGAAAGAAAGTAGCTTGCTTGAGGTTAAGACTGTCAGGCTTTACTTCATGTGTCAGCGAATTTTGACATGTCATGCATTGAAATGCACAAAATGCTCAGTGGAAGCAAGAAATTATTAGAAAAGATTCATTTAGGAGAGAAATATAAAAGATTTGAGCACGAATAAATATTTTCGAATTTAATTTTGAGTGTACTTTAAATTTGAAAATTTTGTCCCTATGTACTTTAAAATCAAGATTTTTGTACTTTTGATTGGCATTTTGTCGATGAGAGCCCTGCTTTAAAATAAAAAGACTCACAAACAAGGCATTTTTAAATAGCAAAATAAATGTAAAAAATTCTTTTCTCCAGTAATTTTTTGACTTTTTCAGGCGGAGAAAGAGATCTATTTATTACTTATAAAATAACTCCTTAAGTAGGATCATATATTTTATCAACCAAAACATTTTTTTGTTGAAAATATGTAGCCTTCTGTCTCATTTTTTAATTCTATGAATTTATTTAAAAAAATTTTTTTCAGGCCAAATTGCTTGTATTGAATACGAAAATAGTAAAGAAATGGAAGAAACAATTGTTGCATTTATTCATATAAATAATTTAATTATTGAATCTTTTCGCGATTCTTATAGTCAAAGAATTAATGAAATGAGGGAACAAGAAAAGATTGTTGAAATTCGTTTATTAGAAGAAATATTATGAAAAAGAAAATTATAAAAATGTACATAAAATAAATTAAACTAATAATTTTTATTAAAGAATATATTATATGCTTAATTTTCTAATAAAAAACTGGAACTTAATATGGTAAATTCGAAATTGGAATGTCCGTTCTTTACTATTTCGTATAAATTATAATCGTTCACAATTGTCCACAAAATTACTCGGACTTTATAAATATAAATATTTAACCGCCATTTTAAGTTTTACGAACACAAATGGCAAAATAGTTTTAAAAAATTTTGAGTGTTAACATGAAATTTGAACGACCATAAAATTATTTTGGCCTTTTTTGATTTTTTATTTATTTTGCAATTTTTTGAGTTAAAATGGCGAACTCTAGTTATGAATCTAATGGAACTAGACTTTTTAAAACGTTAAAATAATTTTAGAGACAAATGTTCATTAAATAAATAATTCTCTTCCATTCAAAATATTTTAGTAAATAAATAATTTTCGGACTAATCGTGACCGATAGCTCAAATAAAAGGTTTTCTAATCGTTCACAATTGTCCACAAAATTACTCGCACTTTATAAATATAAATATTTAAAAATGTCTACTAATAATTTATTTTTTATTTTTATTTTTTCAATATCCACTTTCTCTGTTAATGCTTTACCTCATTATAATCAAAATAATCAAAACCAATTACTCCAACAAAATAATAATTTTCAAAATTTACAAAGAAATAGTGCAAGTATTTCTTCAATTTCTGCCTGTTTATTTTGTTCTCTTTGTGGTTTACCAGAAAATCCTTCATCTTGGATTAAACCAACAACTACATTAATAAATAAAAATAAATGTAAAATAAAAAATAAATATTTTTTAAATTTTTAAAAATTATGTAGGTGAAGACAAAAGTAATAAATGTAGTGAATTTGTTAAACTTTGTGATGATGGAATATATAAATATTTTCTTCGTTCACATTGTTCCTATACTTGTGGAATATGCAATAATACAACAACAAAAACATTAAAAGAAACAAATACAAAAACAATTCCAATAACAACAACAACATCAAAACCAACAAAACATTTACTAAAAACATCAACAACCCCCAAAACAATAAAAACATTCAAAACAACATCAAAACTTAAAAGTCAAGAAATTAATGAACAGAAAACAATCAAAAATACAAAAACAACAAATTCAATAGAAAATAAAAAAGAAATAATTAAAACAACAAAAACAACATTATCTAGTACAATTAAAGGAATTACTAATCAAGTTTCTATTGAAGAAGAAGAACCTTTAGAAGAATGTAAGAAAGAAATTAATCAAAAAATATATACTTATTTAATATTTAAAAGGTGAAGATATTGGACAAAATTGCAAAGCAATGGAATCTGGCTGTCAAGATATAGGGCAACGTAATATTCTTGGGACTTTTTGTCGAAAAACATGCAAATTTTGTTAAAATATTTTTTTGTTTTATTTATTTTTTTTTGTTTTTTTAGTAAAATATATATTAGATATAAAAATTAACACCTGAATTAAAACAAATAAAACCTTTTAAAACAAAAGAATTTTTTTTAAAAACAATAATAATAAAAGAAAGATTATTATATTATTATTATTATAATATAAAATATATATATATATAAAGATATTATTTAAAAATATTTTCATTCAAAAATCTAAGAAGAATAATGGGAAAAATAAAATTAAATTGTAATTATTTTTTAAATATTTTAATTATTATAATAATTAATTTAAAATTTATCGAGACAATTAAAGTATTTTGTGGACGTATGTTTTTCTTTTTATTAAATTAAAAAATAAAAATTCCAAATAAATAGCTGCAATTGGAGTAAGTCCAAATCCTTGTAAATCTCCTTTACTACAAAGACCGGGTTTAACTTTAACAGAAGAATTAATGGATGGCCAAAAAGTTTGTTGTGGATTTGATAAAAAAATAAATGGTTATTTGCCTGATGGAAAAAAAGAAGATTCTAGTCTTCGAAAAAGGCCAAAAGGGAGTAAATTAATTTGTAAAAGTAAGAGAATAGAGAAAGAAACTCTTGTTTAAAAATTCTTAATTTTCCCTTAGATGCAATAACAATTCCAATTTCAAATGGAAATATTGTCCCAAAATGCCCACCAAAACTTTTTTATGATTCAAATAAAGATAAATGTTGTAGATATCAAAAAAATAAAAATAAATTAAGAAAAGATTATTCAAAATGTAAAGATTTATCAGCCCCAGGAAAACCTTCAGATTGTCCAGCAAATAAACATAGATGTAATGAAACTATTTGGTATAAATTAATGACTAAACAATGCCCTAAAACTTGTGACAGATGTGAAGAATATATTAAATTAAATGTATCTCGAGATGTTGGAGGTAAAGGAAAGAAAAGATTTTTTGGGGGAAAATTATTTTTTAAAGTTTGTCGAGACGGAATTGGCCCAAATGGAGTAAGTGAATGCCCACAAAATAAACATCGTTGTGAAGATAAAATTTGGAAAGATTTTATGAAAAAAGAATGTCGTGAAACATGTGGATATTGTGGAAAAAGTTTAAAAAAGAAAGGAAAAAAAAGAAGAAGGAAAAGTAATAAAAACACAACAACTACTACAACAATAATTACAACAACAACATAATTAAATATAATTATTTTTTTTTAGAATTTTTTTAATTTAGTTGTATTTTAATTGTTTAATTTTTAAATATTTTTAAATTAATTTTAGTGTGTGGTATATATGTATATGAAGGGCCTAAAAATTCTTTTTAATTTCCATATAACGGCAAAAATGCCAAAATAAAAGCTATAGGAAATTAGAGAAGATAGTGTTTCTCTCGACAGCATAACCTCCATTTAATTTCTAAATAAGTGTGAGACATTTTAACAAAATTTAAAAAAAATAAAAGAAATTAATATTTTTTATTTGGCTAATAAAAATATAAAATATCAAAATGCGTGTAGTTTTTGGTCATTTAATTATTAAATAGGTAATTGGGAGGGAAGGCAATTTAAGTATATAATTTTTGTAATTTAAAGCTTTAAATGTTTTTTGTTAGTGAATAAAATAAACTGGGCAATAGAAATAAATTTAGAAAATTTGAGAAAAAATATTAGAGAGAAATGAGTAATTAGGTAACCGACATTTTTTAATATTAAATTTTCTGAAATTATCAATTAAAATTTAAATTAAATTAATCAAAAAAAATGTCGGGAAAGGGAACTAAAAATAAATTATTGAGCTTTTAATTGTTTTTAATTATTTTCCTTTTAATTATTTGGAGATAGTTACAATTGTTGTTGTTGTTTTTGGCCCTTTAATTCTGACAGAAGTTCTTAATCGACTTAATTCTTCAGAAAATAATTCCCCAGTCTGTAACATATTCACAATAGCCTCAAAATCCCGATCTGCTTTTCCCACTTTTCCCCCATTTTTATATACTCTAGCAACAGATAAATGAGAAGAATCACGACTTGCTCTTCCACTTTCTTCTAAAAAGAAAATAAATTTAAAATTAAATTTACCCCCCCCCCCTCTCCCTCACTTCTTCGTTGATTAAACAAAGTTTTTAATTGAAATTGTCTTTTTTTAGCTTCAATTTCCTCCCTTTCAGTCCTAACTGTTCGGTGACAATCAGCTAATCCACTAAAACAACGAGCAAATGGCCCAAAGAATTGATCGGAGTGAGGCAGAATAATTTCTGAATTTGGACGTTTTGAGTCAATAGAAGAAACACCAAAAAGATGAACACAATCTGATAACTTTAAAAATGAAAATTAAATTTAAAAAATTAATATTTTTTTATTCATTTTTTGTTTGAAGGTAGAGAAATTATTAATCCTTTTCTTAATCCAAATACAAAAAATTTTATTTTTTTCAAAACCTTTTGTCTCATTTCAGTCAATTCTTCCCTAAGTTGAGTCATTTGCTTTTTAGCTTCTTCCAAAAAAGTTTTAACAACAACCACAAATCTATCAGGTTGTTTTGAACGTTGAATTATTTTCCCTCTTTCCCCTTCCCCTCCTTCCCCTTTTTGTTGAGGAAATGGTTCTTCAGGTATTTCTAAAACAATTTTTTCTTCTTCCTCTTTTCCCTCCTCTAAATTATTAGATTCCTCAAATTTCTTTTGATAATAATTTAATTCTTCATTTAATTCAAATATTGCCTTTTCTAATTGAAATAATTCTTTCTAAAAAAATAATTAATTTTTTCTTTAACTTTTCAAAGGAAAACTTCAATTTGTTGTCTATCAACTTTAGAAGCCTCCAAAACTGAATTCATTTCACGTTTTAAATTAAATAAATCGGGCCAGTTATGTTCAATTGTTTCAACTAGAAAATGAAGTAAATTTTTGTCTGGGCGAATTGTAGACCGAACAGAGGGGATTTGGTCTATTGAAGAAATTGTGAAACCTTTAAAAGGTGAAAAAAAATTTATTTAAATTAATTCCCCCTTTCTCTTTTAACCATAACAATTCCCCAAACGTTTTCCTTCATTTAGAATATTTCCAACAGCAAGAATAAGAGCTAGAAATTGAATTAATCGTTTACTGTTGCAAAGAGTATGTGATGCTCGAGAAATTGCTGTTAAAAATAATATTTAATTTTTAATAGAAGAAGAGGTTAATAGGAGGGGTTGCTCAATAACGGTTATTAACCGGTACCCCCGGTTTTCTGTTTTGATTAAACAACCGTGATCAACCCCCCTAGTTAATGTTAGTCAATAAATTACCTAAAATTCCAGGCCTAATTTCAGAACAACGATCTTGAAAAGATCTAATAGTACACAAACATTTAAGTCTTTGCTCATATCTAGGTACTTGTCCCATTTCCCAAAGAAAACGATCAGCTAAAGCTAAGGATTGATGTTGCTTTCTTTTTTTAGTTAAAGTTTCTTTCATTTTATTTAATTCTTCTTTTAAAGGAACAAATTTTAACATTTGCTCCAAAATATCACGAGAAAGTTTACATCTTTCATCCATACCAAGAAGTGTATGCCGAATGTCTCTATGAGACATTTTTAGTCTTGCTAACATTATTGTACCTGAAAAATATAGAATTTTCTTGAAAGTTTTATTCTAAAAGGATTTTAAAAATTTGTCCACACATTTTCCCATTATTAAAAAATTTCTTTTTTTAATTTTTTTACTTCACAAATTTCAAAATAATTTAGGTAATTATCAAAACTAACAATTTTGTGCCCTTCTAGAGTCTATAACAGTAATTTGATTAGCTTGTCGAAGAGCTAAACTTCTGTGCAAAGTAAAAGAATTCCCCTCAATAGATTGTTGTTGTTCATCTGTTCCCGATTTCCCCGCAGCAAATTGTTCACTTAAAGCTTCAATATCTATCTAAAAATACAATTATTATTTTTCAAAGTCTCTATAGAAGATAAATTACTTGATTATAAATATTTTTTTCGTCTAAATTCTCCCAAATTGTTCCTTTCAATTTATCTTTTGGAATTGGTGTCCAATTTAAAGTTTTGACTGGACATAGAGGAATTGGAACTTTTTTCTTTGGAATTGATTTATTTGAAGAAATAATTAAAGTTTCATTTCCCGATCGAAGTTGTCGAGCAGATGGAGGAGGGGGTGGAGGGGCTTGACCTACTGGAGGTCGAATAGGAGGTAATTGCTGATTGGAATTGTTCCCAAAAATATTAGATATATTATTATTTGATGAATGGAAGGGATCGGAAGGTGATGAAGAATATGAAGAGGAAATTGAAGCTGAAGAATGTTCAGAAACTCTTAAAAAATGAAGATTTTTTTTTGAATTTTTTCAAAGAAAATCACCTAGAAAAAGAAACAAGGGAAGCAGAGTCTTGTAAATCACTTAAACAATTTTCTAATTCCAAAATTCTCTTTCTTTCTTTTACCAATTCCTCCTCTGTTTCTTGTAATTTTCGTTCAAGTTTTTCACATTCTGCCTCAGTTCTTAATCTTCCAAGAAGTTCATCCCAATCTAATTTTTTGCTAAATTGTTGTTGTTCTGATAATTGAGGATCAACCCTTAACGGGTCCAAACCATTCATTGCACTTTTCAATGTTAATCTATTTTTGAAAATTAAAAAAAATTTTTTTTTATTCCTCCTTAACTGCTGTAATAAAAGATCAAAACATCGCCACAAAGGAAGATGTCGTTCATCTGTGGGTACCATCAATAAATGTTGAAGAAGAGAAATAAAATGAGGCAAAGCTAAAGTATGATCCAATCTTTGAGTTAATACTTCTGCCATCACTGAAGGATTTTCAAAATCAATTGGGGATGCCGAGCCAGAATCAAAAGTGGTGGTACTTAATAAATTTTTGTAAATTCTTTTCCAAAAAAACAAATTCTTTCCACCTTTGCATTTCTTGTTCATCTTCCTGTCTCATCATTTCAAAAAGATCAATATGATCATCTAATGCAGAACCAGAACCTTCTGGAGCGGCCGAACGGATTTGTTCAAGCACTTGAACAATTCCCAACATTAAGAACTCGTGCCGTAAATGTATCCGATATTCTAGGGAATGCTGAAAATTGATAAAAAAATTTTCATTTAATTTTTAAAAAATATTTATTTAATGTTAAAAAATGGAAAAAAAATTAAAAAAAAATATTTAAATTATTTTAATCAATAATAATGTAGATTGTTGCTATTTAGTAATTGATGGATGAGTCAAAAATGGCAACGAACAACAACAACATACAGAAATACAAAAATAAATATAAAAGAATTGAAAGAAAACAAATTTAAAAAAAAAGCTTTGTTTGTTTAAACTGAGATTTTAGAAAAATCTTTTTGAATTTTAAAATTGAATAATTTTTTCTCTATTTAAAAACTGTTAGAAAAATAAAAAAAAATAATTTATTTATTTTTAATTAAAAATTTAAAGAAGAAAAAACTTCAAAAACTTGTTAGGTAATTTTGTAAATAAACAAATTTAATAAAAATATTTTTTTATTGAAAATTAAAAATTGAGAAAAAAATGTTTGTAAAAGTGAGACTTTGAAGAAGAACTTACTAAAAATTGTTTTTTTTAATTAATTAAAAGAAAAAAAAATTTTGATTGAAATAAAAAGTCTAAAAAATTAAAAATTAATTAATTAAAATAAAATAATTTTGTTCAAAAATCATTAACAGATTTTTTAAAAGTAAATAAATTTAATTAAAAATTTTACATTAAAAATAAAATAACAGAAAATATTTAAGAGAAACAGTTAAAGCTTATTTTAAAATACAAATAAATATATAGTAGAAGAAGGAATGACCTAAAATTGTTGAATAATTTTTTGGTTTAAAGTAAAAGAACAGAAAAAAAAATATTTTTTTTATTTTCCAGCTGACCAATTTTTGTAAAGAAAAATAAATAAATTTAAAAAACAGTTATTTTTTAAAGAAGAATTTATTTAAAAAAAGAAGAAGATCAAGGCCAAGGACTTTTTGAGATGTTCAAAAATAATTTCTTGGAGATTATTAAATTAATCTTTGAATAAAAAAAGTTTTTTTTTAAAAATTTTAAATTATTCCTTTAATTAATTAAAAAAATTTTTTTAATTAAATTATATATTTTTTCTTGTAATTTTGTAATTTTGGTTGAAAAGAATTGGCGTTGAACTGTGCAAAAATAAAAACAAATGTGTGAAAGATTGAAA